ATAAAAATTCTAAAGCGAGGGCGTATAAGAAAGAAGCGGAAACTCGATATATAGACTTAAGAAAGGCGTATTATAGCTATTAATTGAAGCTATTTAGCTTATTAATTAAAGCTTTATAATAGCTTTATTATTATCTTAATAGAAGATATAATTTTAATATCTTCGAAAGCTTCTTAGTAGTAGAATATTTATAAATTACTATTTAAGTATAAAAAGTAGATATTAAGTAAAGGTAGATCTAGATAACGAGTTTTATCTCTCTCTAGTTAACGATAAAGTACTATTCTTATCTTCTCGAGATTCTATAAGAACTCTAATACGTATACTTATTTTAGAATAGTCGATAACGTTTATTCTTAGATATATCGAGTTTAACTCTAAAATCTTTATTAGTCTATATATAGTATATTAACTTAATAATTAATAAATTTAGAATACTTTAGATTTAGGGTTAAATATATAAGAAAATCTATAAAGCGCGAGTAAGCTAGAAGAAGCTAAGATATATACTCTAAGAATAATTAATAAAGAGAATAAGATATTAAATAAGATATAGATATAGTTAGATTTATCGTAGTAATCTAGCCTTAGCTATAATATATAATATCTCTTAGAGAGTAATAGATTCGAGCTCGGAGAAACTAGTATTGACTCTATAATTTTCGATCTCTCTAAATAATATAATTTTATTATTATATCCGCGCCTCCTTAATTAGCGTTTGATATTCTCCGCTCGCGCTTACGTAATACTTATACGAATTTTTTATCTACTTCTAGCGAAGCTTTTATAGACTCGCTTAAGTTTTAGCCGCTTATTTAGCTCGATAACTCTAAAGATAATATTATTAGCGTATCTAAGTATCGCTTTAAATATAAGCTTATAGATTTTATTCTTAGCTTCGCGATTTAATACGAAGCTAAAGAAATTATATAATTAAACTATATATCTTTATAAGAGATCTTAAATCTAAGAGGTAAAGTAAGTATGAAGGAGCTACCCGCGCGTTTTTTCACGTTATAATCTTAAGTTTATAATAGACTATCGCTTTTATCTTTATAGAGATTAAAGATTCTTATTAAAATAGAGAAGATATTATTTAATACCTCTAAAGTAATAGCGAAGATATATTACTTTAATCTAAGATACTTAATAATAATATTACTTAATATTTAAAATAGAGATATTAAATTATATTTTAATATAATAGATATTATTAATAATACTATCGAGCTATAATATAGCTATTATTAGAATTTTAGTATATAAACCTACTTAGCGAATTATACGAAGTATCTCTAAAATTAGAGTTCTATTATTCTTTTAGACTTTATTTAATATAACGACTTAAACTTTACTTATATATTTTTCTTTAATCGAGATAAGCGATTAAGCTCTATTATTAAGAATTATATACTTATATTAATATATAAAGTTATTATAAAGATATAGCTAGATTAATTAAATTCTCGAGATATAATTTTAGTTGAAGATAATATTATTAAGTTAAAGCCTAAGTAGATTATATATGTGAAGTATATAGCTATTTAATGTATATTCGAAAAAGCTAATTGAGATATTAATATTTTGGTAAAGCTAGTCTTTAATCGCTAATGTTAAAACTATTAATTTATTAATTAATTAATCGCGATTAAGAGAAAGCTAGAGATTTAATATTACGAATATTTTAGAATTATATAAGTCTTATAATCTGAAGTGCTATCGCTACCTTTTATATATTTTATTAATAATTTCGGCCTATATAGAAATATATATCGAAGTTTAATTAATATTTATCTTACGATCTCGGCTTTAACTTTATAGAAAAGATAACGTATTAGAAATATCTTTTCTATTATACTTAAGCCGTATAAATTATATTTAAATAACGTTATTAAGGCGCTAGAGAAGAGTTTTTAGATACTTAAAAATAGCTATAAACTACGAATTAACGGAGAAATTTAAATAGTCTAGACTTCGATTTTAGTATTTATTAAAGATATAAAGTCTTAATAAGAAGTAGCTAGCTTCTTAGATTCTATTATAAATCTATTCTATAGAATATAATATATAAATTAAGATATGCGGGATAATATAAGCTTCGATACTTATATTTATAATTATTATTATTATTAAATACTTTATAAAAAAGCTCGCGATATATTAATAATAATAACTTAACGAATAAATTATTTTAGAAAGTACGATTTAGTAATAGAATCTTCGACGCTATAGGCGATAACTTTAGCTCTAGATTTAATTATAAATTAATTAGGCGATCTAGTATATAGCGAATTTATAGATATAGTTAGAAGAATTATATTAGTGCTTTATAAGAATATTCTTATTAAATAAGCACTCGAAGACTTTATAACGTAATTTTACGTATTCCTATTTCCCTCTAATTAAAAACGTATTTAATCTCTTATAACTTATATAAAATCTTAAATTATATTAAAATATACTAGAGCTTTTATTATCGTTCTAATACTATTATAAAAATAACCTCTTTATCTATTATATATAAGAATAGAGTATAAGACTACGTTAATAATATAGAGATAATATATTACTAAGAAATCAGCGAATAAATAAATTATTATTTTTCTATCTTAGATCGCTAAGAGTAATAGTCTAATTACTTTTATAATCTTAAGCGTTTAAAAACGAGCTACGCTATCTTCTATAATTCTTATTATTAAATTAAACTTTTAAGTAATAATAAATATAGCGATAATAATAATTCGAAAGAAGTTAAAATAGATTAAATTAATAAAGATTAGAAAAGATAAAGCTTGATTAACGATCTTAAAGTCTAAAAGTTAATTTAGTGTTACGATAAGTTAAGTAAGTTAAATAATCTATAATATCTTTAATATAGCTATAAAGCTAGTATTATTAGAAGTAGCTATCGAAGATAAGATGGCGGCTCTTTTAAATATTTATGTAGCTTTATATTTCTTAACTCTAATAATCGAGTATAATTCATTCTAGAATATTAATACTTTATTAGAAAAACGAATATATAAATAGGTTTCCCCTTCTATTTATTTCTAGAATATATTTTAAAATTTATAATTAAGTAGATTATTCTTTCTAGATTTTTTAAGATTATAATATTTTTTACTAATTATCGAAAAGTCGAATATTAACTTCTTATTAAATTATATATTTAAATTATAATTAGACTTATCTTAGAGAGAGCTTTTAATATTAATAATTTCGAGATATCTAATATTCTTTAAAAGCTATAATAAAAATACTTTAAACTATTTTAGAATTTTATTCTAAATTCTATACCCGCTTAGATTAAAGATAATAGCGATAAATTTAAATAGTATATCGGCGATAGTAGATATATTAACCCGCTCGTATATAATAAGATCTCAAATTAAACTATTTATACGTGGGAGTTTTTAATTAAGATAAGTTAGATAGAGATTATAAGTAACTTTTTTCGAGAGTTCTAAGTTACTCTAACAGAGTATAAATATAAAATATTCTCGCTTAACTTAAGGTTTTTTTACTAGTATAATTAGTTTAGCTTTTAAAATTTATAAGTATTCTTATTTAGAGTATATAGCTTTAATATTAACGAGCTATCTAGTATATTCTCTACTTATACTTCATTTAGATAAGATAATTTTATTTATATATAGAAAGAACGGTTTATAGAACGACTATATATATAGATTCTATAAGTCTTTTTATATTATTTTAATTAAGATATAAAGAGACGTATCTTTTTAAAAATTAGAAGACTACGCTTTATTACTAATAGTAAATAAGATTAACTACTTAATATTCTATTACTTAAGTTTACGAAGGAGAAGCGTATCGTTAATATATTAGAGGTATTATCGAAATAAGTGTAAATAGCGTCGACTAGACTAGAAGGAGTAGAATTAGATAAATAGCGAATACTACTTTATAATTAAGATATTTAATTTTTATAATTAGAGCTATATCTTTAAAATCTATTATATTTATTTTATCTTTTATATATATCTAAATTCTTCTCTTAATATAAAAAAAAAAATTATTAAATAATATTACTCTATAAAGTAAGTAAAATTATAGTAAGAATAAGAATAAGTAAATATTTAAATATATTCTATAGTTATAGATCTTATTAAAGAAAAGAAAGAAGTATAAAATAATTTAAAAGAGTAAATTTCAAATTATCTATTAATATTTAAACTATTCATTAATAATATATATATTAATTTATTATTATTATTATTATTATTATTATTATTATTATTATTATTATTATTATTATTATTATTATTAAGATTCTTTTATTTTCTTTAAATTTATAGTTAAAGAAAGTAAAATATTAAAGATATTCTAATATTCTATTTAAAATAAATAGAAAAGAAATAAATCTTAATAAGAGAGATTAAAATAAGCGATATATTAGCTATATTAATATTCTTTAAAGAAATAAAAATAATATCTTAATAAATTATTTAAATAAATCTTTTAAATTAATACTTACTCGCTAATATATAATTATATAAATTAACTTTTTAAAAATAAATAAAAGAAAATATTAAATTAAAGATTTAAAAGAGAAATTAAATAGTTCGAGATCAGTATATATAATAGAATAAGGTAGGGCTGAGCTTGGAAACCTTGAATTTGTATGTGCAGCCAATCATAAATTCAGGGTTATTACGCCTTTTGGCTAGACTGACTGAGTCAGCCCGCTAGCCCTCCCGAGCTCCCTCATCAAAAATTTGTGTGTAGAAGTTTTACACTCTGAAATAACCAGCTCCCTACGGATACTATTTCTTCATAATTTCGTAAATTATAGAGCTCAGTGTGCGCTTTCTAACGCTGTAAAAATAATGAAGTTTGGCCTACTATTGGTGGATTAAATGAACATTCAAATATGGTAGTTATGGTAGCCACACCAGACGCGTCCGGGATCGGATAATAATCCTTCCACCTGTTTGTGTAACCATTCTTCTTCTACAATTCTACCAATCCACCAATTATGAATAAATTCGCCCTCGATACCCCTCGCCCAAATGTTGCTAAGTATCTAAGGCACGTATCCCTTCCGCCCGTCTTTTGAACCCCCTACTGACGCCCCCAGGCCACCCCTCGGCGAATCCGCTACTGCTGGCAATCGAGGCCGCAAGCGAGCCCAACAGCTACCTACTACTGCTCATAAACGCGTTGGAAGGCCCTCAAAAAGAGCCCGAACGGATACGTCCTGTGGTCCTCCCCTACATACTCCTCCCAAGCCAGCGGTAGGTGGGTTAAACTGACATTCAAATATTGTAGTCACACCAAACGCGTCCGGGATCGGATAATAATCCTTCCACCTATTTGTGTAACCATTCTTCTTCCACCATTCTACCAATTCTACCAATTCTACCAATTCCACCAATATGAACACATTTACCCTCGGTACCCTCGCACTCAGTTGAATAAGAGGAGGATCTACAACAGGCGAATGCGGAGAACACTGCGGAGAACATTGCGGAGACAGTCATCAGCAGCAGTGACACAACAGGCCTACTCTCCACGGTCTCACACCAATCCACTCAGCCAGTGCAAGAGAAGTCAATACAGCAGGCGAATGCGGAGAACACTACGGAGAAACCAAGCGACAACAGGGCCCCCAGCACCAAGAACACGGCTCAGCTCTCCAAGATCCCACGTCATATACTCTCCACGATTCCACATCAAATCATCACTCAGCAAGCGGAGAACACCACTGCAACTTAGCCTATCATCCCCACTACATTAAGGAGTAAGAGGAGGAACTACAACAGGCAAATGCGGAGAACACTGCGGAGAACACTACGGAGAACACTGCGGAGAAACCAAGCGGCAACAAGGCCACCATCGTCAGGAACACGGCTCAGCTCTCCAAGATCCCACGTCATATGCTCTCCACGGTTCCACATCAAATCATCACTCAGCAAGCGGAGAACACCACTGCAACTTGGCCTGTCATCCCCACTACATTGAGGAGTAAGAGGAGGAACTACAACAGGCAAATGCGGAGAACACTGCGGAGAAACCAAGCGGCAACAAGGCCACCATCGTCAAGAACACGGCTCAGCTCTCCAAGATCCCACGTCATATGCTCTCCACGGTTCCACATCAAATCATCACTCAGCAAGCGGAGAACACCACTGCAACTTGGCCGTTCCACATCAAATCATCACTCAGCAAGCGGAGAACACCACTGCAACTTGGCCTGTCATCCCCACTACATTGAGGAGCAAGAGGAGGAACTACAACAGGCAAATGCGGAGAACACTGCGGAGAAACCAAGCGGCAACAAGGCCACCATCGTCAAGAACACGGCTCAGCTCTCCAAGATCCCACGTCATATGCTCTCCACGGTTCCACATCAAATCATCACTCAGCAAGCGGAGAACACCACTGCAACTTGGCCTGTCATCCCCACTGCATTGATATGGTACATCACTGCAATGACGTCACAAGAGGAGGATCTACTGCGACGATCACAGTCAATTAGGCCTCTGCAGGAGGAATATCGGACGATGCATATTTGGACGAATTGAAACCGTCCGATGTCTATAGCTATTTCATTATTCGAAAGATTTCACTGCGGCAGGAGATATTGTGGGATTCACACCACTAATTAGCACGTTGTCTCCATTTCAGTCAATTGAGCCTCTGCAGGAGGAATATCGGACGATGCATATTTGGACGAATTGAAACCGTCCGATGTCTACGGCTATTTCATTATTCGAAAGATTTCACTGCGGCAGGAGATATTGTGGGATTCACACCACTAATTGGCACGTTGTCTCCATTTCTTTCCGGTATTTCGATACTTCTTGCCATGAGGACATGGCCTTTCTCTGTTTTTTGTAGGCAATTGTTACGGATCAATCCTCCACACTCAATACACCTTCCTAATTAGGCCTTAGCGCGCCTCTCTCCGTACATATATGCCTGTATACCACATAGATTAAATCAATTTTATAGTGATAGAAGTAGGTCAAAAACGCACAGCAAGCGATCAGAGTTCGATTTGACTTAGGGCTAGGGCTAAAATTCGATTTGACTTAGAAAAATAATTAATAAAAAAAAAAAAAAAAAAAAATTAAAAAAAAAAAAAAAAAAAAAAAAAAAAGCCCCCCCCCCCCCAAAAACCGAAAATCTCATTTGTATAGGGCGTCCTGCCCGAAAATATTCGGCTTCGGGGCCCGCCTTCGGCGTGACTATTACCCGAGCGACTCTCTGAAAAAATCAAGTTTCTGATTTTTGATGGGGGATTCAAGCGTCCTCGAACCCCCGACCCTCAAATTTTCAATGACTAAGCGTGTCACCCTCGGCAATGGCTAGTGTCGCTCCGGAGTGGCTAGCCAGATTCTTTAGGCTATCGACCCGGAAATAAAGCGCAGACACTATTGTTAGCAACTCAGCTAAAAAAGCTGGTTCCGAGGGTGTCTGCGCTTGACAGTCAGACACCCCTATTTGGACCTAAATACCTGCCCGCAGAGGCCCCGTAGGGCCTCGTGAGGACTATTTCTAATATCTAAAGAGATATAATAAGATTTCTTTTATAAATATATATTACTTCTATAATAGCTTATAATTACTCTTTATAATTCGAGTAAAAGCGTATATAAATAAGTAAATAAATAAATAAATAATCTATAATCTATTATTAATATTATTAAATTTAATAATAAATTTATAATTTAGAGATAATAATCTAGACTATTATAGAGTATAAAATTCGTAAAAAATTTATTATAGAAATAAGATATATTTATTAAAGAATAAGAATCTATATTTAAAAGTATATAAGTACTTTATAGAATATTAAGATACTATAAAGTAAGCTAATATCTTAACGACGTTAAAAAAATACGTATATTTCAAGATATCTAATTTTAAGTATTGCAATTATTAAAAATCTATCGTAATTTTATCGAAGTTATCTATTAAAGTAACTATCTTAAAATCTACGTATTTATAATAAAGAGCTAATATCTAATATATTATTATAGAAGAAATCTAAAACGATAGAGTTATCGCTTATAAGCCTTATTTAGAAAACTGCGGTAAGGTATTCAGTTTGACACCAGATCTAATTAGATTACTAGATAACCATTCGAAATCCCCTTTAGAATACTATTTAATCGAGTTATAGGTTTAATAATATTCTAATATTTAATAGCTTATTTCCTCTTTTTCTTAGATTCTACTATATTACTATCTAATCTAGCTATAAACTCGATAATACTCTAAGCTTTAATAGATTATTCCCGCTTTTCCTTAGATTCTATACTTTTCGATGGAAAATATCGAATTGTAATTCTATATATTTGCTGTCGTAATTCTACACTAATATCGATTCTAGAATTTCTCCCTATTCATCTCTATCTATCCCCATTCTTCCCCATCTATCTCCGCATTCATCTCCGCATCTATCTCCGTATCCATCTCTATCTATTCCCATCTATCCCCGTCGAGACCTATCTATCCCCGTCCTTCCTAATCTATCGTTACATATTCTTATCTCTAGTATTCTTCTCTAGTTTTCTCTATTTCCTTTTACTATTAATATCATTTTAATACTTCTTAATACTTCTACTATACCTCTATTACTTTCGCGAAGTTCTAGTTTTTTAATTTATTCTTAATAATTACGCTTTCTAATATTATTATTATAATTATTTCGATACTTTTATTTTAATATCTTCTATAGAATATTACTCGAGTATAAAAAATTATAGTTAGAATATCTTAATAATAGAGAAAGCTTAACGCTTAATAATAGTAAGAATAATTACGTATTAGAATAATAACGCGAGTTAAAGATTTAAGATATAATATTAATAATATAGAATAATAAGACTTATAGAGAATTATATTTTAAAAATTAGAAGAGATTATCTTCTAGATTAGAGGGTAATTTAAATAATATTATAAGAAGAAGAGTTATTAAGGATTTTAATTCTACTAATAATAAAGATAGTAAGATAATAAAGTAGAGGGAATAATAAGATAGGAAGATAATGAGATTAATATATATTATATTTATGGTTCTTAAAATTAAAAGTCTAGTAAGTAATTTTTACGAGTCTATATTTAGAATATTAATCTTCGTAGTTTTAAATATATTAATTAAAAATCTAAGCGATAGAAGAGATATTAAGTATAAAGAGAAAGGTTAAAGATTTAAAGAGTCTAAGAGATTTAAAGAGAAAGTAAGTTGGCTCGTGATAATAAAATTAAATATAAAGTACTCTAGATTTAAAGTATTAATATTAAGTACTTTAGTATATTAATTCTATAAGCTTCGCGTATAAAGAAGTAAGTTAATACTTCTATAAGCTATAGAATTTATTAATTAAGATATATAGGAAACGTAAGTAACGATTATAAAGTATATTAAATAGATTATAAATCTTTAGAGTTCTTAGGAATAAAAGCTTGTTAATAGATTTTTATTTTAACGCTTATTTATTAAGATATAGTTCGATATATATACGACGCAGAATAGCATAAAGTATATACCCGGTTTCAAAAGTAAAGCTTAATAATCTATTAGAATTCTTAATATAAGTATCTTAAGCTTAGTTAGATATATATTAGAAGCTAAATAGAATAGAAGATAAATAAAAGAAGGTAAAGCTAGTCTGAGATATACTATATAAATAGGAAACTAGCTAAGGTTAATACTTAGCTAATAATAGTATACGATAATATACTAATTACGTCTTTTTATAGAGATATTAAAATTCGACGAGTTAGAGTAGAAGAAGCGTCGGAGAAGATAGCCTTTATAATAATATTCTTTACGCGCTATCTAATTCTAATCTAGATATATATTATTTATCTTAAAATAGCTCTCTACTTCTCCTCGCGTAATTTTATTAGTATTATTATAAACGAAGTATTTATTATTAGCTCCTCTTTTATATATTAGTTAACTTAATTATATCTTTATAGCTCCTCTACTCTAAACTCGAAACTATAAGCTAACTCTTTTATTTTCTCTTCGATATTAATAAATATTCTTATTTTAACTACGCGATCTTAGAAAGCGCTTAATCTACTACGAAACTAGACGAATCGATAATACGAATATTATTAAGAATATAGAAATAAGAAGCTCTATAATCTAAGGCTCTATATTAGAATCTAGAATAGAAAAAAATAGTTATTAGAGCGATATAGTAAGAATTAATATAATCTATTAGAGTAAAATATTATTATCTTAAGCTTTTATACTTAGAGTAGACCTTGATTATAATAATAGATAGTGCTATTAAAAGATATTAATTAGAGGATATAATTATAAGAAAATACTATTAAGAGAATCGTAGAATACTTTTTATATATTAAGATCTATATATAAATTATTACTTCTTAAATTATCTTAATATATATATCGATATAAAATATCCTATAATTAGTCCTCTACTAAGAGACCGTCGTTTTTAAATAATTTATAGTATATATATCGTAATTAAAAAATATAGTATAATAAAAATATAATAATGCGCTAAGCTTTTCTATATAAAATCTTCTAAGATATATATCTTCTAAGATCGAAAGTATAGCGCGTTAAAAGCTTTTTTTAGCTAATTATTCTAATATTAATATGTTCTATTAATAGAAAAGCATGCTAGGATATCCTTAGATCAAGATTTTATTTTACACTTTTGCTACTTTTACCTCTTCTCTCTTCTATACGTGGAAAAAAAATTTCCCCCCAATAATAAAAAAAAAAACACAAAAGAATAGTTAAAAAACACCCCCACCCTAAAAAAAACCAACCCAACCAAACGAACCCCCAAAGGAGAAGCAAAAAAAAGGGGGAAATAAAAAGGGGGGAAAGCAGGGGGCGGAGAGGGAGGGGGAGGGGGGGGGGGGGGCCGGGGTCCAAGCAAACAAACAGGATATCAAAAACAAATCTTTTTACTGGGGGGGAGGGGGGGGGGGAATAAATATTGGATATTCATATTCGTTATAGTTATTATTATAACTAGCAGAAAGGAAAGAAAGCCCAAAAAATAACCCCAAACAACAAAAAACAAAACAAAAACTCAACAATTAAACGTTTTATAATTTTTTATATTTTATTATATATAAAAAAATGAGGAAGTAGCCCCGATTCCCACCCAACTAGCAAATCTAAACAAATTAAATTATGCTATCGCCTGGGGGGGAGGAGATAAAAAAAAAAAAAAAAAAAAAAAAAAAAAAAAAAAAAAAAAAAAAAAAAAAAAAAAAAAAAAAAAAAAAAAAAAAAATTAAAAAAAAAAAAAAAAAATTTTAAAAACACCTTTTTTCATAACCGCAAAAAAAAAAAAAAGATATATTGAAAAAAAGAAAATTTACAAAAAACCACCCAAAATTCCCCCCCCCTTAATTCTATCCAGCGAACATGTCCATTGGTCATTCGCTTATCCAGTAGCTAGTTTATGTCTACAGCGGCCGCGTTCCGAAAGTAGGGTTAGGGCTGCACTAGTGCGGGTGCAGGACTTTCGGTGCAGACCTCTGTACACAGATTGTTTACTTTTGTTTCACCAGCATACCGAGAGCGAGGAAAATCAAAGCTCAGTTCCACCCGTCTCCGTATCTCACGATTCGCCTATATCTTGGACTATAAACACAGGCTTGTTCCCCAGACACACCAACACCAACAAACCCAAAACACCCGTGTTTTTTTCTTCATGTTGTGTACACGCTCGCAACGATGATTCTGGTTAGCTTGGTACTTGGCCTGGCATATCGGACCATCAACTTATCCAGGCATTGAAGCAAGTATCGCGATGGCCGAATCGCTGCTGTTCGCGGCGGTTGGACCATTGTACCAAAGACTACCAGAGACTCAAACAAACGCCCTTTATGATCTTTACCAAATTGCATCAAAGTTCAGATTGCACACAAAGCTCCCGAAGAATGGGCTTCTCCCTTCGTACTCCATCGCTTAAAGAATATGAATTTGTGCTTACACTGACAGAGAGGGAGTATCGAAGAGGTGTGACAACAGCAAAAAAGAGAGGGGTAGTACCTAGGCCCGATTTTAGGTACGGAAGCTCGCGGGTAGCGAAAAAGCCCGTACACCTCTACAGTACGGTCTTGATAACATCGCAACGAAGGGATTTTGGTTGATAATTTGAGTATGAGAACTCTTTAGAATTTCTTGTTCTACCCTTTGTACCGCAAAAGTTTTGTCGTTACTGACGTGGCTGATTAGTTGCGACCCTGTCGAATAACTTAGGTACAAGGTTTTTTGCTGTCCGCAGATGGAAAGTATATACCTGATCTCCTACTGTATATAGAAATGAAAAGCATCAAACCATCGAAATGGTAGGATGTGAACATGTTTCTAGGTTCAAGACAAATGCAATACAAAGTGTTGATTTTGTTTCAGATTCCATTTAATTCACAAAATTTTGTCATTCTCGACGGATCGCCGTTTCTCAATTGCTAGCAGACTGTGATCATACCTATGCAGGGTCTCAATTGTTGAGCTCAGATGCGGTTCCTGAATCCTGAATCCTGACTCCACCGGAAAACACCGTTCCAAGTGGCTGGTTAACTATGCATTACTCACGGCGCGGCCTGTTACTTGCACGCTTATATTAGCTCTTCCATCTATGATAACAACGGTCGAGGCTGAGGTCGATACAAAACCTCCACTATATACGGCCTTCACAGCCTATCTTATGTATTCGTACGATCTCTTCCTCGCTCTGCGTACCATCCCCTACCATCCGCCTCCATAGCCATGAACGAAGGCCAGAATACCATGGATATCAGAGAGCCCTACACTGCCAAAGAAGGATTGCACGATGGCTTTCCCACAGCCGAAGCCAATGACGATCGGGATGAGCACGATCTGGCTGTGTTTGGGAAGCGGCAGTACGTTATATTTTCCGAGGCAACTCTACCCCAGTCATGCTGTCCTATGAATTTCAGACGTGTTTCAAGAGTTCTCTGCTCCTAAGACATGTCTCGCGACTCAGAATTCTTCCCGAAAGAGTAACGCTGACTCCCAAATCATCAAGACAGCTGAAGGTACGTTCGCCGTCGCCATGGCTTTTGGCGCTGAAGTCCTACAATAGCGAAACTTTGGCTTCATTTCCATGGTCGGCCTGACATGTACATTGATGGCGACGTGGGAGGGTCTTTTCTCGTGGGTTTGGCTTTGAGGGAAACCCCAGTCACGTTCAGAATCGGATTGACTAACCGAGCACATCAGCGTATTCATCTTTGGTTTCTCCAACGGTGGGCCTGCAGGGCTTGTCTATGGCTTCATCGTTTGCTGGATTGGTACCATCGGCCTAAACTGCTCCCTGGCGGAAATGGCATCTGCGTGAGTTTTGTTCTCGGGAACATAAAACGTGCTCATGCAGGGAATCGCAGAGTTCCCCTCGCTGGTGGACAGTACTCGATGGTCTCCGAGTATGCGCCCCCTGGCGCCTCTAGATATTTGAGTTATATAACTGGCAAGTGCAGTCAAAGATCTGGTATAACGTTTTGCTCTGGCTGACCTTTCTCAGGCTGGCTTACTTGCCTAGGATGGCAGTCGGCGACCGCAAGTTCCGCATATCTGGGAGGGACCATGATCCAAGGTCTTATCGTGCTTAACAACCCAACCTACGTGCCTCAGAGATGGCAGAGCACGCTGCTGTTCTACGCTATAATTCTCGTTAGTTTGTTCTTCAACACGTTCCTGGTGGCATTTCTCCCGAAGATCGAGGGCTTGATCCTCGTCATCCACGTCGGCGGTTTCTTCGGGGTCTTAATACCACTGGTGTGTACGGCACCCCACGGCAGCGCGTCGGAAGTGTTCGGACAATTTGAGAATGGTGGAGGATGGAGCACGCAAGGCTTGTCGTTCTTTGTCGGCATCGTAACCGGTGTTTACTCGTTCCTCGGTCAGTTCTATCTTATAGGCCTCGATCTGGCGGTCATATCAAAGCTGACGTCTTGAGAACCGCCAGGCGCCGATGGTGCTTGCCATATGGGTAGGCTTCCTTGAATGGCTTGCATGCTGGATCGTTGGTTATCGATGGATATGCGCTGACGGTTTGTTGACACGCAGCCGAGGAGATCCCAAATGCCTCGACCGTGGTCCCGCGAACAATGATCGCTACAACTATTCTCAACGGCGTCCTCGGCTTCGCCGCCCTCATGGCTATTCTCTTCTGCGCGGGAAACGTCGACAATGCAGAGATGAGCCCGACCGGGTACCCATTCATCGAAATTTTCTACCAGGCGACAAACTCCAATGGAGGTGCCACGGCTATGGTGTGTGTCATTCTGGCGTTAGTTTTCTTCGCAACGATCAGTCTGATCGCAACGGCTTCTCGCATGACTTGGGCTTTTGCTCGAGATAATGGCCTTCCCGGATCTAATTGGCTTTCCAAAGTATATTCATCCCTTTCTTGCCAATCCATTCCTGTATACTGAGAATCCCGTCTCATCGTACATCTTCGTACAGGTCGAACCTCGCTCGGCTCTGCCTCTCTACTCTATTGGTATCACAGTCATCATTAGTCTTCTTCTCGCCCTTATCAACATTGGATCATCCACGGCTTTCGACGCCATCATTTCCCTCAGCGTCATGAGTGTGTTGGCTTCATATATGATGCCGATTATTTTGATCCTTCGGCGACGTTTTCTCAATCAATCCATCCGGTACGGACCATGGAAACTGGGCCGGTGGGGAGCTTTGGCCAACATCGTTGGTCTCGTGTACGCTGCCATTGCCTTCTTCTTCTCCTTTTGGCCCGAGACTGCGAAGGTCACTGCGGTTGATATGAACTGGGCGTGTCTGGTCTGGGGCTTCGCTATGTTGTTCTGCACATTTTGGTACCTTGTGCGAGCACGGCACTATTATCATGGGCCTATTTGCGAGTTTGACTTGTCCTGAGAGCTTCATCATTTGCATGCACTACGTGCGTACGCATGGAGAAGTCGAAAGATGGGGAGCACTCTGCAAGAGATCCATTGGGTGCCCCCCTGGGGATTGAATAGATGCAGTACCTAATACTTGTGTTTTCCGGAGGTGTCCGTAGGGCATACGAACATAATTGGGGGCCCCCATGAGCGGTACGTCCTAATCTGCCCTATTACTTGCAGCCCGTGACTGCCTCAGTGGCCTGAGCACCAGTCGGATTCCAGTAAGGCACCTCCGTAAGAGATCTTGCCAAGTGAATGCTTTGCTTTCTCAACCTGTCTTCTTATTTGACCTTTTAGCCTTGTCCGATGTTCCTTTTTAAGTTCTTGACAATAAATTAATGGCCGAGTGACATGCAGTAATGTGTGGCCTGGAGTCCAGTCTATTCTTAGACGCGTCCGGCGGCGCCAAACGGCAAGTCAACCGCCACCGCCAAGACCTTGAACTTGAAGTTGGCAACTATGAGTCTAAAGTATGATCGACCCAAAGATCTCTCCTTAACGTGGAGGTGTCATGCTCATGCACTGTTTGCAACCAACGACAGCAGCTTCCGATTATGCAAGACGACTTTGTTCTCGTAGTGCTGACCATTAGGGTCCTTTGCCCTTCGTTTATCGGTTTGCCCTCATCCTTGTCTTCTCTCTCTGGCGCCTTTCTTGATTGGAGCGTCTTGATTGCTGCATATCGCCTTGCAGCTGTAATTTCAGCATTGTTAGAGTGACGAATGCCCTCAACACAAGACCTCGAATCGGAAAATTCTGAAGAGATCTCTCGAAACGCTAAATAAGCACCTAGGCTGAGATCAAACATGGAGAGCCGATTTCCTTGGCTGAGGAGCTGCAGTCTCCGGCCATCGACAGGACGACTAGATAATCATGGATCAAGCCTCGTTTGCTGCTTTGTGTTTTGAAGTTGTTTGCGTTTTCTAGTTGCAATGGCGCGTTTCATAGACAAAATGTGGTCGGTCACTTGGTCAGTTGGTTGGGCAAAATGTGTTCAAGTCGTGGTTGTTGACAAATAAACACCAACAGACCGAGCCTACCAGGGATACTGTTGACGTCGCAAGGAACAACAATAAAATTTGCAACTGCTTTTTCAAGTACTTCCTACATGGTCATCACCAGCTTGAAGCGGCTACTCTCTTCAGAAGATCTCTTATCGTTGCCAGTCATTCACTCACTGTCTCTACAACCTCAAAGATACTCGATTCCCTTTCAACACTCTCTGGCAGCCTTCTCTTCAAACCATCTTGAGGTCCAGAAAGCCACCGCGCTGGATAGCGATCGTCATTTGCAAACGCTTTTAGCGCCAACATGACTCCTAGCAAAGACAAGAGGCCTCTGCCCTCGTCTACTTCGATGGCATTCCACCAGTCTCCTGAGCTGCCAGAAACTTTTCAGCAATGGAAAACAGCTCTCGAGCAGGTGAATATTTTGTATCTGAAGGGACAATGGAAACATTGCTCCGCTCAATGCAGTCAACTTCTGCTAAAGGCAAAGACCCAAGTATGAACCGACATCCCATCAGGTCCGAAGCATACTGACAACGAAAGCAGCCTCATCCATTACACACTACTTACCTCCACTTCTACTCGGCGGTTTCGAGCGAAGCGATAGGTCGTCTCACCCATAATTTGTCGCCTGTCAAGATACACCTCCTCGAGCAGGCCAAAATCTCCTACCAAGCTGCTGCTTCATCGCTCCCTCAGGCAGATGTCACCCACGATTACCATGGCCAATCCGACGCCGATACGCGCTCCACATGTTCAACTCCGAGTGATGAGGGATCCGATTCCTGGAGTGGTAACCCACCCAGACCCCGTGGCTCAAGTCAGCACGAGCACCCCACTCTTAACACCTCGTCACTTTCTTCGATCGACTCGGACGGATTGCCTCAAGCCGGCACGAAGTTCAGGCCTTCCCCTCTGCGTATACGGAAGATCCCCAGCTTCAGGGACGAGCTCACGGACAGCGGAGATGATGAGCAGTCCGTCTCGCCTTGCCTACACCCTCACAGTCCTCCGCAACAGCGCCGTGCATCCACAGCCCAGTCGGATTCCAGACCCACATCCATCACCTTCTCCGTCTCTGTCGACTCCTGGCTTCAGGCCCGCTCGTACGAGCGATACAACAACCGCCTCGCTGCGTTCGCTGAAGTGATAGCCAACCACATCTCAACAATCGACATTTTGATCCAGAAGACCCGAGGGGTACAGAGCGCAAGGTACTTTACAAAGAGACTAGCGAGCCACGGGGCAGACGAAGAATCGAGGGCAGCAAATTTGAGATTCAGGATCGCAAGACTCAAGGCGAGTGGATGGAAGATGGAGCGGTTCGCAGCGGAGAGGTATCAGGAACTCTGCGCAAGGGCGTTGGCGGAATTGTGAGCTCGGTTTCGGGAACTTGGCCCTGCTGCTTTGCAGTCCGTTGGGGCCACACGTCTGGCTGCCGGTTTTTGCTGTTGACCTTTGTACCAGTGGTGTAATCGTTCTGGTCACTGAGCTTTTCGACAACGTGGCCGCTAATCAGGACAGACAGGATCATTTTTGCCTTTTGCGTTTCGTTTTTCCAAGGTGTTCTTCAGCGGTGATACCCGGGCTGGCTCTGCGAAGGTCACCTTTTGTACATAATGATTACTAGTGGAGTCAACGATGGCTCCAATATCGATCCCTGACCGAATCTCTAATATTTGACGGTTTCTTCTGGGGCAGTCCCCCTGCTTTAAGATGCCGTGAGGGTCCCGCTTGCCACTGGCGAACTTCGCAACTTCGGTCCCACTCCCTTGCGCCAAGACGATGTTGCTGCCATGTCAACTCCCATTGATGACCAGTCAAGGCAGATTTAGGTATCAAATGCTTCATCCATCTAGCACGCAGCCGCTGATGCTCCTCAAGATATGGTACAAGCCCCATCAGATGCTCGAGACGCTTTGCCCCAACATCCCTCGTCAGGGACCCCCATCATGTCCCAGATTCTCCCCTCCCGCATTGGTATCAAGCTCCGTCATCCCCTCAACCAGTCCATCACTCTCAGCCTTCCTCCTCAGCTTTTCCCTTACCTCTTGTACCAGATCTTTCGTATCAACCGTGACCCCGTCCTTCTCTGGGTGACCTTCAGGTAAACCCATCTCCTTAATCTTCACTTTCCCCTGCGCTTGCTCGTCCTCTCCTAGGATAACAGCGAATGGAATACCGCTCTGCTCAGCCGACTTGAACTGGGCAGGCAATTTCGGCTTTTGCTTATACGCAAACTCAGCCTTGATGCCAGCGTCCCAAAGAGTCTTGGTGACCTGCATTCGCTCTTTCAACAGCCCGGTGAAGCCTTTGCCTCCGAATGCCATGACGAAGACGTCGACTTCTGTACTTCGCACGGCCGCGGCGCCTTTGTCGGCTTCCATGCGCGCTTTTGTGATTGAGAAGATCCGATCGACCCCAAAGGATATGCCGACACAAGGGATTTGGGTCTTTCCGGAGAACATGCCCACAAGCTCGTCGTACCGGCCACCAGCTGCGACGCTACCAACTCCTACGGAAGGGTCGTTGGACCGGTCTTCGTCGAACTCGTTTGTTTTTTCTTTCTTTGCGGCTTTCTGAAGCTTTTGACCTGTGGTATTTGACGGGGCTGATCCCTCCGTAACGACCTCGAAGATGACCCCGGTGTAGTAGTCCAGGCCTCGTGCCAGGCTTAGGTTGAATTCGACTTTATCCAGCACCCCAAATGCCCCCAAGTATTCGAACAATAACTCCATATCCTCCAATCCCTTGACGAGATTCTGATTCCCCAGCACCCGCTCGTCCTTCCTCAACTCCTCCATTACGTCCTTCCCACCCCTCCTCTGAACGAACTCCCAAATCTTGTCCGCAACTTCTTCACTCAATCCTTTCTCTTCCACCATCTCCTTCTTGACCTCCTCCCAAGGGCTCTTATCCAGCTTATCCACTGCACTACTTATAGTCCGTATTTTCTCCTTGGGCACACCGCATACCTCGAATATCCCATCCAGCACGCCCCTGTGATTGATCTTGATCAAAAATCCCCCTTTCTGTGTCCATCCTAGTCCCTGTTCCCCAAATACTTCACAGACGATCCTCAAGATCTCCGCGTCAGGAACCATCCGATCGTAAACCCCTGCAACATCGAAATCGCACTGATAGAATTCTCTCATTCTTCCCTTGGTCATAGCGGGTTGATCCCTGCGATACACTTTGGCGATATGATATCTCTTTATACTCTGTATTGATGGGTTCATGGCGAGCCATCGCGCGAAGGGGACGGTGAGGTCGTAGCGTAGGGAGCAGAGTTCTCCGCCTTGGTCGGAGAGATCGTAGATGAGTTTTGAGTCTTCGCCATATTTACCGGAGAGGATGGGACGGAGCTCGAAAACGGGGGTGTCGATTGTGACGGCGCCGTGGCGCTTGAAGACGGTGGTTACGGCGTTGAAGATGCGGTCGCGGATTACCATATCTTTACCCTCCCCTGCTTCATATGTTAGTGGCGGACTAGGTGGTGAATGGAGGAATAATGTGTACAATCTTTCGTCCCCTTGGGAGTCTTGAGCTGGTAGGGGACTTTGTCTTTCCCCATGTCTGCGGTCTCTGTAACGAGTGTTTGGGTACAGAAGGCTCTTTTGTAAAAGGAGGATGGGTTGGAAATGCTGACTGAGATTTGTGTGTTCAAATTGAGGCACTCAAGCCGGGCAATAGTTCTGTAAATGTACCGCATGCAAGCTCGGAGGTTGACTCATTGATCTCACAAACGTAGGTAGGCCTCATTTTGATATTGACGCATTTGCGCTTTAACTCTCACCGTAGCGGAGGCCTTCCGCTTTCCGCCAATGATCGTCCACTCCTTCTCCGACATTGCACTGTCCCTTGTCTGAAACGCTGGCATGGCTCCACATTCGGGCATTAATACCGATGATATTCGGGAAAAGGCACGCAAGGATCTTCTGGACTTGCTCGAAGGTGTATGTAAGGCTCAACAACAGATCCTCCGGGCCAGGCAGATGCTAAACATTCCCAGGTCCGTGGAAAGAAGAACCTGGTGATTGAAAAATCACTCGCGGGACCTATCGGGATCTTTGTCAAGTTCTCTACTCTTCAGGATCATGGTGTCGACAAGATCTTCTTCCTGGAGAACGACAACGTCGATGCTTCTCAAAAGAATGTAATCTTCTTGGCGAGAGGAGAAAAGGCAAATCAGCCTATCGCTGTTGCTGGTATGTATGTGTCTGTTTTCCTTATTTTACATTATCTGCATGTTCTTGTCTGGATGCCTTCTCCAAACGTATTCAAAAATCGAAAATGCCTGTCAAGGCTCTAGCATGGGATCATAAAGTAGATTGCGTAGATACTCGCCTACTCTACTTGATCAGTCTTGATCCCAAAATGAATGAAAACCACATATACAGCTCGATCTATAGCGTTTTCCTGCGGTTGCAATAGGTCCGACGCCATCATTACTTGCTGACATTCCTGTTTTGTGCAGAACAGATTAAGCGGTTACAGAAGCAAAGCAACATCGACCATGAGTTTTCTGTCGTCTGGGTTCCACGGCGTACGCTAGTATGCAACAAGATCTTGGAAGAAGCAGGTGTCTTGGGTGATGTTGGGGTTGAGGAACTCCCTCTGCACTTCATACCGTTGGAACAAGACGTGCTTTCCTTATGCCTCGACGACTGTTTCAGCGATTTGTACCTGGTATGATAGGTAAAAGCTTTCGTAAAGTCAGTTCATACTGACAAGATATAGCGGAAGGATCCAACCTCGATTTTCCTGGCTGCTCAAGCGCTCATGCCCATCCAGCAAGCCCACGGCCTGTTCCCACGCATCATTGGTAAGGGTGATAATGCGCATCGGTTGATGGAGCTGCTGTTCCGCATGCGCTCGGAAGCTGCGGCGGACGAAAGCACTACGTCTAAGTTCGGCTTGATGCCAAGTGCATCTGTCGAGAGCCTGGTCATTATAGATCGAGAGATTGATTTTGCAACCGTGCTCCTGACTCAGCTTACCTACGAAGGCCTGATAGATGAAATGTTCGGCATTCAGCACAATCAAGCAGAGATTGACTCGTCTGTCGTTGGTCCAGCGCCAGGAGCTCAACAGTCTGGAAGGACTCCAGCTGCGCCAGCACAGCAAGGCTTGAAGCGTAAGATACAGCTTGACTCTTTCGACAAGCTTTTCGAACAACTTCGAGATACCAACGGTGCAATAGTGGACGGCTTGCTGAACAAGGTCGCTCGGCGCTTGCAAAGTGACATGGAGAGCCGTCATACAGCCAAAACCACATCTGAGCTCCGAGACTTTGTAAATAAACTTCCAGGATACCAAACCGAGCAGCAAAGCCTGAAAACGCACATCGGTCTGACAGAAGAGATTATGAAGAATACTCAAGGCGATATCTTTCGGCGCACTCTTGAAGTCCAGCAAAATCTCTACGACGGCTCCGATCCATCATACCAACATGACACCATAGAAGAACTCATCTCTCGCGATGTCCCACTCACTGCCATCCTCCGCCTTCTCTGCCTCGAATCCTGCATTTCAGGCGGTCTGCGACCCAAGGACCTCGAAAACTTCAAACGCCAAATTCTCCACGCTTACGGCTACCAACATCTTCTTACCCTGGACGCTCTCGAAAAGATGGGGCTCCTGTCATCTCGGGCATCTGCAAATGTACTTCTCAACCCTATCGGTATGGGTGGCGGTGCAGCCGAAGCTACGAAGACGAACTACAACTATCTACGCAGGGTCCTCAAACTTGTGGTAGACGAAGTCAACGAACAAAATCCTAATGATATTGCCTATGTCTACAGCGGCTACGCCCCTCTGTCCGTCCGCCTTGTCCAATCTATCATCCAGAAACAACACCTCCTGACCATCACCAAAGGAGCCTCCGCCGCCTCCAATGGCGTCAGCAGCGCTGCGCATGGCTGGCAAGGCTTTGAAGAAGCACTTCGCAATACCAAAGGGGAGACTTTCAATAGAGTGCAAAAAGGAGACGATCAGGCGGTCAAGGCGAGACACATGCTTGCGGGTACTGGGGGAAAGGCAAAGACTGTGGTGGTGATGTTCTTGGGCGGGATTACATTCACTGAGATTGCGGCGCTGAGATTTGTAGCGAAGAGTGAGGAGGGGAGGAGGAAGATTCTGATTTGTACGACTGATGTTATAAGTGGGGATCGGATGATGGAGGCGGCGATTGAGACAGGGGATTTTGGGAGAGGATAAGGTGGTGAGAAGCGAAATGTGCTCTAGCTCATGTGATATGATATCCGAAAAGACGCTGAGAAGGCGTTGTTCCTCCGGGATTGCGTATCCTTCAATCAATATTCCAATTTCCACGAGGCCCCTCGGGCATAATGCCAACAGATGTTCGCGGTTAGGTACGCGCGTCATGCCGCAGCGCTTCACCTTAGCGTTGACGATCCCCCGGCTTGGGCCGACATGCGGTTGATGCTTCTTGGAAGTTGGTCTTGGAGACTTGGACATTCTTCTGCCTCCACAAGCTTCGGGTAATTTTGACTGCCTGATATTTCTTCCTGACTTCCTCATACCCTGCCCTTTTTACCTGAAACTCCCAACTGGCAGGGACTCTAATTTACCTTCATCGTTCACAGGTCCATGATGTTTGCTACTAAACGTCTGGGAAAAGTGAGACCCCCACTCCTCTCCCAGATCCTCATGTCCTCCTTGCTGACACTACCATTAGGAGCTCATCAAGGTAGAATTCCAACACTTCCCCTCCCAAATCAACCATACCAGCCTAATCCCCAAACCTCAGATCCAACAATCCCTCCCCCCCGGTATTGACTTCGTCAGCGCCCCAGACTTTAAACAATGGGAAATGGACATTCGCGTCCTAGACGCAAACCCGCTCTACTTGGATCAGACATACCGCCTCCGCTTCCGATTTAGCACCAATTACCCAATAGGTACTTCCCACCTTTCCCTCTGGCCCCTCCTATCCCTTAGCTAACCGGCACCTTTCTCAAATCTAACCTTGAGCGAATCTAACCCTCTTCAATCCTACAGAAGCGCCCGAAGTGACTTTCATCCCCCTCTCGCAGCCCCTCCGTACCATCCCAATCCATCCGCACATCTACTCCAACGGCATCATCTGTCTCGACCTGCTCGGCACGCAAGGCTGGTCACCAGTCCAAAACGTGGAGTCTGTATGCATGAGCCTCCAGAGCATGTTGACTGGCAATACAAAAAATGAGCGGCCGCCAGGCGATGAGGAATTTGTCAGGAGAAATACGCAGCGGCCGAGGGACATTCGATTCGTCTACGAGGATAGTACCGTCTGAAGCGGGCTTGGGCGAAGGCGAGGCTAGATGGACGTAGGAGGTGCGGAGATGGAGTTCACGAATGGGTTGAGCTTGTGGATTTAGCGAGGCGTTATTGTTGGCGAACACATGAGACGAACTGCCTACCCTATGGAGAGAACGGTTTTTGAAGACATCATTGGCAGCTGGAAGGTTTTCTGACGGATTTCTCAATGCTATGGAGGGATACATAGAGGACCGCTACTTGGTAATACCCAAGCTCATCTCGGAGACAATATAAAAATTCGATACCTTTAGAACTCTGATGCAAATATCTCGGTTGTGTTCAAGATTGAGAAGCAGAAAGCTCAATAAACATTTCGGCATCGCTGCTGCGCACGCTCAATAGTCCCATTGCTTCAACGGGTGTTTTTGCCTTGGTCTGACATCCACACAAGATCGGGGATACTGCTTTATGTCCGGTCTTGGCAAGTTAAGTATTCGCTGCCGGTTCTCCTATGCGAAGGCATTATTTGACTTCACTCCTAAAGCTTCCTACTTTTCGAAAAGCAGTACACTTACCTTAGGATGTCTACAGTAACGGACGGTAATCGCAATCCAAGAGAGAGATGGTCAAGATCCCAGCATATTCGGAGACGATGAGAAAAAACATTGACGAGCTTCCCAGGACATATCTCGACAACCTCTTGAGTAAGCCCGGTCCGGCATCCGATCCGGACTGGGTCCCCGGTCCAGAGACAATCAGCGCTCTAGAGTCGTCAAAGGTCTTGTCAGTAAGGATACAAGTCTCCCAGCGCCGTTGACACGCTAATATGTTGTAGGGTTATGTAAGTGCTTACTACGTTTCCGAGACCTTGGTTTGATTCTGATGACCTCCAGAGGGGCTGGAGGACTAGGATGCGAGATCCTCAAGAATCTAGCCCTCTCTGGGTTCAAAGATATCCATGTCATCGATATGGGTATACGTCCCCAAGCATGAACATCTCTGGAACCGGCTCTGACAAGAAGCAGACACCATCGACGTTTCCAATCTGAATCGTCAGTTCTTATTCCGAGAAGCTGATGTCGGCAAGTCAAAGGCCGAAGTGGCTGCGGCGTTCGTTGAGAAGAGAGTCAAAGGCGTCAAAATCACTCCATACAATGGCAAAATTCAAGACAAGGACGAGGATTACTACATGCAGTTCAAAATGGTCATTTGCGGTCTTGATAGTATCGAGGCAAGACGATGGATCAATGCCACTTTGGTAGATATGGTCGACATGGAGGATCCTGAGAGCTTGAAACCACTCATCGATGGAGGAACCGAAGGTAGATGCAAAAGCATATCCGATCTACGTTTTGTAGGCTGATGTGGATTTTTCAGGATTCAAGGGTCAAGCCAGAGTCATTCTGCCCACCATGAACTCGTGCATCGAATGCCAATTGGACATGCACGCTCCTCGCGCCGCTGTACCACTATGTACGCTAGCGACAATACCGCGGCAACCATCACACTGCATAGAGTGGGCGCACATCATTGCCTGGGAGGAGCATCGTAAAGACGAAGTGCTCGACACTGACGACCCAGAACACATCACTTGGCTCTACCAAAAGGCTTTGGCCCGTGCCCAAGACTTCAACATCCCAGGGGTTACCTATTCGTTGACCCAAGGAGTCGTCAAAAACATCATACCAGCCATCGCATCCACGAATGCCATTATTGCCGCTGCTTGCTGTAACGAAGCGTTCAAGATCGCAACGAGCTGCAACCCCTTCCTCCAAAACTACATGATGTACAGTGGAGACGAAGGTGTCTACACATACACGTTCGAGACCGAGCGGAAAGAGGACTGTCCTGTATGCGGGAACCTGGCTAGAAACCTGACGGTCAATCCCAATATGACTTTGCAAGACTTGATCGACAGTTTGGGCGAGCGAGCAGAAGCGCAGCTCAAGAAACCTACCTTAAGAAGCGAGGAAAAGTCTCTCTATTCTCAGTTTCCGCAATCGCTCAGAGAGCAGACGGCACCAAATCTCTCGAAGAAGCTTTCGGAATTGGTAGTTGACGGAGAAGAGATTGGCGTTTCCGACCCGGCATTCACCATCGCCTTTAAGTACAAGCTTATCTTCGGCTCTTGATCCGTGGCTTTATTACCAGCCACTCCCCTCCCCATCTAGGGGTATCGACATGGTGACTGAAGAGACACCGGACCAAGCACCTTCTCGCAGGGCGCCCGAAGCCGGTCCCAGTACTTGCTCCCAGCTCGCGATCTTTTTGATTAAGGTGAAGCATAGCGAAAACCGCTGAATTGCCAGCAATTGTCACACCTCACGAAGACGTTGTCAGACAAGATTCTACATGACGTTCACGTTTTACTCTAGGGACTTGAAACTTGAAGCTTGAAGCCTCGATCTGCGAGCACGTTGATATGGTCGGAATGATGAGCCAAGGCATCAGCCCAGAGGCTATCTAGATCTATGTTCCCCCAGCGCCATGCAATGCCGCTATTTGATCATGCTATCGTGTCCCGTATCGTCACCTCATTACATTTGCAAATTGTCGCTTGAGGCGGCTACATTTCGCCTTGAGAGTCTTTACACTCTCAAGGAACAAATAATCACTATCAAACTGGCCGGTGCTCTCGACGCTGAAGATGAAATGATCCCTCACTCTTCCCAACTTCACCTTCCCTTGAAATTCATCATGCCTCAAGCACTCCCTGCTCACAGTATCCTTGAACGTATTCCACACCACGGCCTTCTTCTCTCCGGCCATCCCCTCCAACTCCTTACCAATCTCGCTCTCTTCCTCCGTCACTTCCTCCAACCCAATGACGCCCTTCGGGAAACATCTAGCAAACTTCCTGGCGTCATTCCCGATAATGGGCTTGACAATATCGATTGTCGGCAACAACCGATACGTCGCCGTAGCCACAGGACTGAACTTTGCATGATCTGCTCCGATTCCCTTGATGCAATGCATGTCCAGATCAATAACCTGCCCCGGCCGCATCTTCGCAAGCAGAATCTCCGGGTTCACGGGCCGAACATGCCCATCTGGCTCGGGAAACTCCTGATTCTGCCGTCCAGTAGGCTCGAAGGTGATTTGCTTCGCATACACACTCGAGTTGACATACAGCTTCTCCGGATCCGTCTCCCCACTTTTAACACCCTCTGCTCCTCTCCACTCACACTCTACATACAGCTTCAAAACGACCGTGTTGTTATCCGCAGCAGCGTCTCTGTCATCTCCTCCCTCATCATCATCATCCGGCGTAGCAGATTTCTTGTAAAATTGTAACCAATTCAGACCTGAGAGGGACGCTGTCAAAGGAACTAGACCGAGCCGTGCAGAGAGTACTTCGTCTTGCACTATCGAGGTGTTGTTATGGACAAAGACGGTTTCGATGGCCAGGGTTGGTATTTCAGCGATCATGATTCGGCGGAAGGCGTTGGCGATGCTGGCGTCTATACCGATGAGGGAGAAGGAGGCATCGAGGGAATCGTTTTTGTGGAATTGGATTTGGAAATTCTTGTAGATTATATTAATACAGGAGGTGTGATGAGGAAAGTCAGGAGGCAGATACTTGGTCAAATTTCTCAAGGCTCCATTCATGGTCTTCGCCTGGGTGATGGCCTGGGAAGTCGGTGGAGGTGACATTCGTGACTGTTTCGGCGTTGACGCCTACTATCTGTGCGATAATTAGCTTATAGAAGTTACAGGAGGCTGATGGATATCATACCTTCCGTCGCCGAGCTTCCTCTGGCAATATGGGCTCCGGAGCCATGGTGGTTGCGATCTTACAATTTCGCACGATGAATTGACAGAGCTTCAAAAAGTTCGAGCGCGCCAAAGCGGCAAACAGCCGCCAGCGGAGAAAGTCGAGTGCATCATCGAGCTCCAACCTCATTTAATACCACCTCAACAGTGTCTCTCATACCCCTCCAATCCTCGTGTACTCCCTCTCCTTCCAGCCATCGGGCACAATGGCATCGCCCTTTGCCCGCTTGGCCGGGCACTCTGCAAAACGACTCTGCCTTCGGCCCGCCACCTCACGCACATACCTCTCCCGCCCCAGCTACAGAAGAACAGTCGCAACCTCATCACCTCGCCATTATGCCACACCCTCCGACCAGCCTGCCGAACAAACCGGTACTCGCCTCGTTCCTGTCGACGAGCGCTTCGGCCACCCTATAAACCCCGATGAGCCCCAGCATATGAACCTCACCCCAGAAGACGGGGAAATGGCTCAGAACCGCAAAATCAGGCATTACACCGTGAACTTCGGACCTCAGCACCCTGCCGCCCATGGTGTGCTACGTTTGATCCTCGAGCTCAATGGCGAGGAAATTGTGCGCGCGGATCCGCATGTTGGGCTACTACATCGCGGAACGGAAAAGTTAATAGAATACAAGACGTATTTGCAGGCTTTGCCCTATTTTGATCGGCTGGATTACGTGTCTATGATGACCAATGAGCAGTGCTTTTCGCTCGCGGTAGAGAAGCTGTTGAACATTGAGGTGCCTGACAGGGCGAAGTGGATCAGGACGTTGTTTGGAGAGATTACGAGGGTGCTGAACCATTTGATGAGTGTACTCAGTCATGCTATGGATGTGGGAGCGCTCACGCCTTTTTTGTGGGGCTTTGAGGAGAGAGAGAAGTTGATGGTATGATATCTTTCCCCTATCCTACCCGTGCCTTGTGGCAATCACCTTTCCTCAGGACGAATGGAACTCTAAGAGGACGACAGGAATTCTATGAACGTGTCTCTGGCGCCCGCCTCCACGCGGCCTACGTCCGCCCTGGTGGTGTCCACCAAGACCTTCCCCTCGGCCTCCTCGACGACATCTACCAATGGGCGACTCAATTTGGCGACCGGATCGACGAAACTGAAGAATTACTTACGGATAACCGAATCTGGAAAGGTCGAACCCAAGGTGTTGGCGTTGTTTCCGCCGCCGACGCTCTCAATTACTCTTTCTCCGGCGTCATGCTTCGAGGCAGCGGTGTACCTTGGGATGTACGCAAGAGCCAACCATATGATGCGTACGATCAGGTAGAGTTTGACGTCCCAGTCGGGGTAAATGGAGACTGCTACGACCGCTATCTCTGCCGCATGGAAGAATTCCGCCAATCCCTCCGCATCATCCACCAATGCCTCAACAAAATGCCACCCGGCCCCATCAGAGTTGAAGACTACAAGATCTCCCCACCTCCCCGAGCAGCAATGAAAGAAAACATGGAAGCCTTGATCCACCACTTCCTGCTCTTCACAAAAGGCTACACCGTCCCTCCAGGAGAGACTTATAGCGCGATCGAAGCACCGAAGGGAGAGATGGGTGTCTTTGTAGTGAGTGATGGCAGTGAGAGACCATATAGATGTAAGATTCGGGCACCGGGGTTTGCGCATCTAGGGAGCTTTGATCAGATCAGTCGGGGGCATCTTTTGGCGGATGCGGTGGCGATCATTGGGACGATGGATCTGGTGAGTTACTTCCTGCTGATGTGCCAGTGCGATGGGCTTGCTGACTTGGTGGTTGCAGGTGTTTGGGGAGGTTGACCGATAGATCCCCACATAGAAAGAGGGAATAAGATTGTCGCTCAGGCGTTCAACTGGGTTATTGTACATAGCTTCCACAACGAATCAATGGTCTATATCACCAGGCCGTATGCTCACCACAGGTTTGAATCCTCTAGAGCGACGTTCGCCGGTCACATCGGAACACCTACCGCTCCATCGGTTGGGCGAGTAGCCCTTGGAACGGCTTCTGCAAGAGCGCGCAGGCGCTCTTCCGGTCTACGTGTTGGCTCAAGGCCCTCATACACACCACTATGCTCTCCATCAAAACGCACTTTCACCCTTCGAAAAGCGACCAGTCACGCAGCTCAATGGACCGTTAGAGTGTGATGAAAGCTTGATTATTATCCTGTTCTACGAGCAAGATAAGACGTTATGAAACAACGATTGACCGATCCACAAGGATCTCCTTCCTGACGCCGTGGGGGGGGGGTATATCCAGCGGTAAAGCATCCGTATTAACATAGCATTTCCTGTCCATATCCACAGCATCGCTGCCTCAGACTGCGTACAAGTAGCCCTCAGTATTCCGCCTGATTGTCATCCGGCCCAGTGAAATCACCCCCACCATCCTCCCCGTCCGTGTCTGAGTTCATGGAAGGACCGTCACCCCAAAAGTCAGCAGCGGAGCGCAAAGCCTGTTCCCACCCATGCGAAAGCCTCAGTAATTCCGCCTCCACAACCTCCACAGGAGCGTCGTTGGCCATGGCAGCAGCACTAGGTGGGCTGGGGCGGGCGATCTCGTCGGGATCGGATCCGTCAAAGCTCTCTGCTGGTGTGTGAGTGAGTCCGTTGTAAGTGCCGGGTGCACGCTCAGTAAGGTTGTAAGATGATGTGCCGTTTGTGGCTGCGTGCCCTGTGATCGTGGCGTACTGGGACTGATCATCTTCTGGTTCAGCTCTGGTGGCGGGTCTAATTGCGTCGACATGGTAGTCGTTGCGTGGGGAAGGTGCGTTGTAACCATAGTGGTGAGAGTCGATTACAGCTGCAGGGCCAGCAGCGTTGACGTACGATTGGTAGGGATTCGGGGCGTCGTACCGCTGGGGCGAGAGAGCGTTGTAGCCGTACTGTTGCAATGGTGGAGTGTCGTAGTTATGAATGCCTTCATTCATCAGAGCGTCGAGATCGAGGGTTTGGCGAGAACTCGCGGTGTCGATGTTGTTCTGGACCATGGGAGGCTCGACTGGAGCTGTTGCATAATGGTGAAGAGCCGGACGACTGGGAAAGGCATAAGACTGTCCGACCACCTCGACGTGATCGTCTGGAGCTCCAAGATCCTCGAAGCTGTGGTTAGGGACCCGATGGTCCTGATTCCAGTCGGGGATGATACTAGCCCCCGGAGCGAGCTCATGCTGAGGCTCTTGAGCTGGCCTAGAGGCCATGTCGAAGTCCCAAGTTTGCAGTAATGTTCCGCGACGAGCCTCTCGGTCTATAGGTTGTTCAACAGGTTGTTCGCTTTGATTGGCTCGAGCAGTGTCCACTGGAGTGCCCCGAAAATTTGACTTTTTCTTGTTCTCTTTCTGGCTGGCATCTGATTCCGAAGTATCATTGCGAAGCAGTAGGTCGGAGTGAGGACGACTTGGTTCTGCAGACTGAGTGGCTTCTGAACCCGAGTACCCTGCACCCTCGAAAAAGTTTGCGAAGCGTGCACCAACTCCTAGGATTCGTAATTCTTCTGATGCCGTGGTCTTCATTGTGATGCCGTGAGTGGGGTCGATGTTGTCATCGGGGCCATCTGCCGGATTGCTAGTCAATCGTGGCGAGGCATCTGGCGTGTAGGAGGATTCCGGAATCAGTGAATTGAGGTTGTTCTCTTCGCGCTGTGCCAACTCCAGATCCATGGTAGGATCCATTGTTGGGTCATCGTGGAATGATGGTATCGTGTTATCAACGTTATCATAGGCTGAATCTCCAATATTAACCACACTGAACCTCCAATCTCCGAGATCTTTCGGATCTTCAGGAAATTCAGCAGCGGCGGCTCCAGAAGGCTGGATCAGCGATTGACGTTGGCCTCCTGATGATGCCCAGTCCTCATAGACTCTGATCAGTTGCCGAAGTGTGGTCGTTGGGTGTGATTTTTCAGTCTCGTGGATATACGGGTGTCGGAGGACATTGTCCATAGCCGGGCGTCTTTCAGGTTTCAATTCCAGGACAAATGCCACCAAATCGCACAGCCTCTGTGAGAACCCGTCTTCAGGCTTCAGCTTCGGGTTATTGCGCTTAAGCATTGACTCTATTTGACGCGCACCCATTAATCCTGCGTTCGGTGGTCTTCCTCTGGCCATCTCAAACAGAGTACAGCCGTAAGACCAGACATCGATCTGTTTGAATTGTCAGCCTCTGTCTAGAGCCAAGCCGCAATGTTGCTTTCGATATCTCAATCACTCACCTCTATACCAAACTTTGTACCATCAGGGGCTTGCCGGTCATCTGCGAGCTCAGTTTTCGCGTGCTTTAACAACTCTGGCGCCATCCAATTGAAAGTGCCGATAATAGTTCCACGTCTATCGGCCTTCGTTTCCATCAAACCAGAAACACCAAAGTCGATGATCTGAACTCGGCCTTCTTCATGAACCATGATATTGGCAGCTACACGAGACAAGGTCAGTCAGTCTCTGATCCCATTTACAGGTAGCATTTGAGAGCGGCGCCTGCAAGGAAAGGGTGTTAGTGCTAGGCCTCACCTTTCAGGTCTCTGTGTATTATCCCGGAATTGTGGACTGCTTTAAGGCCTTTTGCTACCTCCCGAGCAATAACCAAGATGTACGACTCATCTAGTTTTCCTCCAGTTCCTTGCATCTATCATTTATCAGCATGTCACACAAACACTGATACCTGAGCAGGGCTGAGATGGGTTCGGGAAGATAATTCGGAGTCCGTGACCTACCAGGGTTTTCACACTGCCCCCTGGAACATATTCGCTGATGATCCAAAGCTGAGCCTCTACTTCCATAACATCAAAAATCTGATTGACGTTCGGCGCTCCTGCTAACTTCTTAAGAACTTTAGTCTCGTGCATGAATTCTTTGATGCTTTCGTCCCGGAATTTCGCGTTGGCTCGAATGTCCACCGCATCTGCGTCCATAACCTTGATGGCAAACTGTTGCTGAGAGACTTTATGAACCCTGTCGAGGACATGTTAGCCGAAGCATTCGTAAGATCCAGGAGTGTGTGGAGAAATTCAGCTGCAAAATTACGAAAGATATTGGTTTGTAACACACAATGAGACAATCTCTAATTTTCCGGCTTTGGGGTGATGGAACAGATGCAAATGATAAAATTTTCAACCACGGTATTTCCACAATGATGAAACTGTTAAAGATTCGGACTTACGCTCTGAAGACTCGCCCATAGGCACCCTTTCCGATGAAGTCCTCGAATTGGTACGGCGGAGCAGATTTGCCAGTTCGACGGGCCCACTCATCGGTTGCATCTTGTTGTCTCTTGACTTGGCCTTTCAAGAAAATCTGGTGCGGGGTGATTCGCTGAGTATTTGCAGCAGCCACATCGAGATAACCAGTGCGTCTGGTCCCCGCCATGATGGATCGTACGCGTCTTGGTTGCGGATGGTGAAGAAGTTGGTGGATGGCTGGAAAAACTCTCCTGCCCCCCACCCTCTGGGCGCTCGGATCGTCTCTGCAACTATCTGGCGAAGTCTCCCGTCTTTGAAGACCTGGACGAGTTTCCCGAAGAAACCTACTGACCTCAGCGTCACTCGGTGAAGTCACTCGTCTTCGATGGTCTAGCTGAGGCTGGGGGAGGTCTGAAGTTTCCTGGTGATTGACTGGTGGCTTCTCTTGGAGTTGACGCTCTTGTTCAAATTGATGCTCTTGTTCAAGTTGATGATGTTGTTGTTGAATTTGCTGGATTCGTAGAGTATAACCTGGACGGGTTGGATTTCTCTCAGGAACTGGCGGTGGAGGAGTATCTACTCTCTGCGGAATCTCTGTCTGCACAGGACCTGCTGGACGCGGCTGTGGTGCGACTGACTTTCTATGCTTCGTGTTAGCCCATGTGAGATTTGCCAGACCCTGCTGCAAGGCTTCTTCCGTGTTCTCGATTTCTGGAGCCATGACATTCATCAGGCCTTTGAAGAGGCCCATGACGGCGGTGTTGATGATTGTGGTCAAGGTATGATCAAAGTATGAAAGTGGTACATGCTGATGAAGAAGAGTAAGAAAGATCAGAAGGCGAGCTCACTTTTTGGTGTTCGAATGGTTTCTACAGGTTCTGTTGTTATTTCACCAGCAAGCCTAGCAACACTTTCCCCCCTCCCTCCACCACCAGCAACGATAGGGTTCTATTCTTTCATGGGGGTCACAAAGCTTCATAGGGTACATACGGACGTGCCAACGGCGACAGAAATCAATTCCGAACGTATGTCGTCGATGCGACCGTCCGGGGAAGATTCAGAGTCGGAGAATTTGAGGTTCCAAGGCTAAAAACACTAGATTCACACCACTTCTTCTCCAGATCTTTTGGATTTTAGCTGTCGATCATCCGGTGGCTAGCCATTTCAAGTTACTCTTACCTTACGTCAGGACATGCCAAGGCTGCAGGAACATTGAGAGAGCGACATGTGAAGTATTTACGGGATATGGTGTTATATTTTGTCATTGAACGTGCATCGGATTCATGCATGGGAATCATAGAGATGCCTTTGTCGCTAGCAGATTCAGCAATCCGGAACACATTACCAAGCAAGTCCTTACTCTTCGGCGCAAGCCTTGGGCCATGAGAAAGCACTGGCAGGCTCTCTCCTACAGAGGACATATTCCCTGGAGGGGAAAATCACGGCAATCATTCGAAGTCTGTGCATCTTCGAAGGCTGTTCCCTATAAACAGAGGACTGGAAAAGCGGCTTGGCCTGAGGAGACGTGGAGCCTGGGAGCTTAAAAACGGATACGCCTTCCACACTGGTGACCGTATTCTGTAGAGTAGGGTACCATTGGCGGCCGCGGTATGACAGTGTCAGTAGAAACCGACCTTCAATTGCTACAGGTGTAGCACCCTAACCGGAGCCGTAAGAGCTCTACTCCATTTCAGCAAGCCCATCATCTCCAGGTGGGATTATTCATGAAGGAGGAGAGTGGAAAGAGTCTCCAATACGCCGCTACTCTAATCTGAAACATGCCAAGAAAGCCGAATGTTACCTAGTGAGGCCGCACGCCCCGCTATCCCGCCATCCCGCCATCAGCCTTGCCCATATCCGGTATAGCCCCGTAACCGGCTGTTTTGAGGTCACGGCACAAAATCTGTTGGTTGCTGGTCCAAGTAACGCTAGAAGGCTAGTCAGTTTGAGAAGTAAGGTACGGTAAGCCTCACGAGGCGTAAAGTACTCGTATAATCCAGAAGTGAGCTCTTTGATAGAGTGAGGACACCAATAGATTAACAGAAATTCTGCCAAGTGGAAGGATTTATTGGTGTCCTCACTTTATCAAAGAACTCACTTCTGGATTATACAAGTATGTGATTAAGGTCTGTCAGCGAGCACAGCCAAGTAGGTAGTCTGTTTCATAAATTGGAGAACATATACCTATCTCTGGGTCATGGGCCCCTCTTCTACTCTTCTACTCTTCTACTCTTCTACTCTTCTCCACCTTCCCAGCATCACCCGTTTCCCTTCCCTTTCACTTGGTGACTGACGTTTCCAACTTCGCCACAAATGCTTGTCTCATCGCCCAAATACCTAGGCACTTTCCTTACCCTCTTTGCCCTTATCCTTCTCTTCCTCACTCATCGCCATGCTGCAGATAATTATCCTGGGCAAAGAGAGATGGGATATGCCGACGAAACCTCTGACCAGACCGTCATTGGGGGCGGCATGACCGAGCTCCAGGAGACCGTTGCATATGACAAGCTTTCCGGAGACACACCGAGCGATATCGAAGCCAATTGGTCAGCAACGATAGGCGCGAAACGTCTCTTGCAAAAGGTGCAAGACTTCCGAGATAGCACCCAGGCAAGCTACAATGATGCCTCCAAGGAGAGCGTCCGTCACACGCTAGAGCACGCGGAGCTCGAGCTGGAGAGTCTTGGAAGAGAGTCTTTTAAAACGAAGAAGATAGTACAAGGCGTGCGGAAGCTCGAGGTCGCGCTAAAGGCGGCTGAAGAGGCCATCGCTCGGGGTCCCGAGGCCAAGACTATGACCTCCAAGTATGGGGAAGGAGACACGGCAGATACTCAACTGGAGGAAGCCTTTCAGGAGGCCGAAGCAGACAGAAAGGACAAGGAAAATACTGCGTCGCTGGAAAAATTGCAGAAACCCGAGCTCGATGCAGTCATCGCGGAGTCGAAGGAGAGTCCCGATTTCCACTGAAGGGCCACCCTCGAGAGGACAGCTACCACAGGGATGCTGGAATCTTTTGCTTCAAATCATTGCCGGTATCGTTGGGTCGAGCTCCGTGGGACGCGGCCCAAGCTTGGAAGATCTACGCCCCAGTCGGACACAGACCAAACGACTCTCACAGACCGAGACCGGAAGCCAAGCTAAACCTGTGCAGAAGCAACCTTGGTGTGATGCCTCTCGTGCTCGCATCGCCAGAGAATCGTTCTGGGCCCTAACTCGATCGGTACAAGTCTGTGCGCGCTTTGGAGAGACTCCGGGTGTCTTCGATCCCATGCGCACTGCAAGACTTAGACCTAGAGTATATCTCCAAGGCAGCTTCTCACCGAAACGTCTGCTTAAATCTGTTCATCCCGCCATACTCGACGAAAACAGAGTTTACCTCGTTACAACAGCCGGCAACCTCGACAGCAACCTTTGAAGGGAAACACCAAGCCAACCGGGAAACATGGGCCACTGCATGCCTCACCCTCACTACCACGACGAGCACGTTGCCACCTCAAGCAGGACCACCAAGCGGAAGGGTACACGGGCAAGTGCCAGTGCGAGATCACCGTCTTCCAGGAAGCCGGCGGCGAGGAATGGAGACGGGAAGGAGAAAGAGTCACAGCGACGGCGTGATGATGAAAGTTGGTCGATAATCAACATGTTCATGATGGATATTGCTCTTGGTGTCGTCTGACAGGCCGCAGTAAAACTCTGTATCATATCCCCAAGCTGGCACGGTCTGATCCATTTGTAGAGAGTCTGCCGATAACGGTAAACATGAAACAATTTCTACTTCCGTCCCGTTAAGCTCCTGCTTAGCCTCGTAGAGTAATGCTATAGTCTCCCGGAGTTTGTCTGAGTCAGGAGTGCTCTTCAACCTTCCCCAACGCCAATCTCAGGACGTCCCAACGCGGCGGAACCATGCTGTCCTCCCACGACGATATCCGTGCACACCGAACCTCCACATCAACCTCCAACCCGGTCAATAACCGAGCCCCTCAAGATGTCTACGCTTCAGCCAAATGTGCCGAGGACTCGATGCCGAGCTCGGTGCGTAATTCTTCTTTGAATCCCTGAGAGATGCAGACACCGACACGCCCGCCGTAAAATGCGCTCCAATGGTGTCTTTCGAATTGTCTGGTCATGATACTTTCGGAAAACTCCCCCCACCACTCCGTAATGGCCGAACCGTTCGTGCGGTCTTCTTCCGTCCATTGGTGTGTCTCGTTGAAGGGATGTATGACTTCGGCAGTCGGCGGTACGGTCGTAGGACATTTACCTCGGCCTTGGAAGGGAGAATCGCGACATGGGCAGCGTGCTGCATGCAGGGTACACGACCTCAGACCGGATATCCAAGTGAGGTATTTCGTCCACGGTTTTGCCATTTTGCAAAGACGTTGCATGTCTTCCACGTCAGTCTTTTGAAGGGAGCAATGATTCACTAGAACTAGTGCAAGATGCTTGAGCTGGACGTTTGACGCCAGATAGCGACATATGGATGGCCATCCGGCTCCCGGTGATGTGTCTTCGAGACGCCGGGTAGCAGCATAGATGCGTATGCTCCGGACGAATCCCCTGGATGGCTCACTGAGAGACGATAGAAAAGTTATGACATTGTGACTCGGATGGGGACCCTGCCAACAGAGCAGAGCATGTCATCGAGAGGAAAGTCGAAATGGAAGAGGTTGCTTCCATAGAGGACCTTGCAGGCTTCTTGGTGGATATATTCTTCAGGCTTTCTGAATCAGCATCTCCTTTTCTATCATGTGATCTGGATAAAACAATTCCATGGAGCACATAGCCTGCGGAACTTGTCTTGAGATTCAAACTCTGGGTGGACCATGAGATAATGGCTGGGAAAGGTAGGCTCACTGTTGAGGTACAGCATCGAGATACACATTTTGCCGAGAAGCACTGTTCGCGAAAGGTATTCGGTAATGCTGATTCTGTTGCGCACCACGCTGTTCCTTGTGACGTTGATCCATCCACAAGGACTGATAAGTGCATATTCGTAGACCCTTACTCTGATTTCTCGCGGTAGCTTCTCAAAAGGAAAGAAGCCTGGGCGAGAAGAAGCCAGAGCGAGGACTTGGCCTTAGCGTTAGACGTACGACCAGCTTGTACTCAATGATGATTAGTGGCAAGGGCGTTTCAACTCACCCTCCAGGCTTTGCTTCTCGTGGTTGGATACCATCTTATTTAGACCGCCTTAAGCTGTCAGAAACCGCTGTTCATCGGGTATACCTCTAGGAAGATACCAGTCGTGTTCACAGCATTGAGAGAGGCAGGTAGGAAGTTCGTGCGGCACCGGCATGATTGTAGATGCAAGAGCTTAATTCGGTTAGCATGAGTAGAAACGCGCGCCTGCACTCCTTAAAAAGCGTCGTTTGCCTTGCCCTACTCTACTCGACCTACAACCCAATACTCTCTTGTAGGCCGGTTGAAAGCGTTAAGATGTCAAGCAATAGGACCTTTGCATGCCGTTTTTCTCACTCACTAAGACATTTAGATTTCAAGCTACAACTCGTCAAAAGCCTCGTCCAATCCTAGGTGTTAGAGGTCTCTTCACTGCTCCCTGTGTTGACACACGCTTGATCGCTGAAATGACTGGCCTTTTAGCGGCCGTCCCAAGCTCCGCAGCTTTCGTGATCCTTTGAGCCTCTCGCTCTTTGTCTTCAGCCATCTTTGCCTCGATCTCCATCTTTCGGTTGAATTCATGTTCGGTGACTCGCTTCTCGCGAGCCGAGTAGCCCTTTTCTTTCACAGAGTAGAAGACGCCTCCAAGTTCGGCAAGCCACTATGAAAGCTGTGAGCATGTGTGCAGATATTGAGAGAAGAAATGTGACTTACGTGTGGGTCCACAGCAGTGACAGTAGACATGTACTCCTTGGAAGTGAGGATGAGCTCATGATACACCACGTAGTCCGGCATGAAACCCGACCCATATAAGGCACTCGTCGGATGTAACTGAACAGTGACGCTAGTCCTCAGATTGATGTATTCTCCAACACCCTTCTGTTTAGCAGCCTGGTGATAATATCCCGAACAAATGCATTTGCGTATGACATCCCAATCAGTACCACAACTGGTCAGTTCCATCTTCTGAACTTTCATAATGTCGTGCAGTTGCTCTCGAATCTCCTTACCTCGTCTGACGGCCTTTGGGTGGAGAAAATGCCGTATGCACCAACCGTCTGAGTAGCCGTTTGCTTTCCATAGCGTGTAGACGTGGAGAAGCGTGAGATGATCTGATTCAGAGACGAAGAACTTCTCTCGTGCAGCATCTGACTCCTCCTGTCGCTCCTTTGGACGGTAGAAGACGCTTGGCACTGAAAGCATGGAGACAATGGTGAGCATTTCCTCACTGCAGCCGTATTCCTCCGAGGTTATGATCAGCTTAGCGAGTGAAGGGTCCATAGGAAAAGCGGTCATCTTCTTGCCCATTGGGGTGAGATCCCCAATGTTATCTAGAGCTCCAAGGGCCCATAGGTCGAAAAGAGAAGTCGTGATCGTATCTTGCGGTGGCGGGTCCATGAAGTCGAAGTCTAGAAGGTCTCTGACGCCCAATGACTTCAGCAATAGTACAGTGTTAGCTAGGTTGGTTCTCTGAATCTCTGGTATGGTCTGGATATAGAATTCGTCCTTGAATGCAGCCTCCGTGAATAAATGAAACGATTTGCCCGGTCCTGTCCTTCCCGCACGCCCAGCACGCTGAGATGCATTGGCCTGAGAAATCGGCGTGATCTGTAGAGCGTCCATGCCCATTCGAGGATTATAAACTTTTAGCTTCGAGAAGCCAGCGTCAACAACGTACATAATACCGTCCACAGTCAGACTAGTTTCCGCAATGTTTGTGGCCACAATGACCTTGCGCACGCCAGGCGCAGCCTTTTCGAAAATCTTCGCCTGTAGATCCGCGGGCATCTGACTGTAGATTGGGAGAATACTTAACTTCGGTGGGTCATTCAGCAGCTTTAATCGCTCCTCCACAAGCTCGCAGGTAATTTCGATATCCTCTTGGCCGGTCATGAAGACCAGGATATCTCCCGCAGGCTGGGACACGTGGATGGCCAAGACTTGCTTGACAGCGCTGTCCACATAATCTTCGCAAGGCGTTCTCGAGTATTGTATATCAACAGGAAAAGTACGCCCGGGAATAAAGAACTCTGGAGCTCCACCATAGAAACGCGAAAATCGATCCGAGTTCATGGTGGCCGAAGTGACGATTAGCTTCAAATCTCGCCGCCGAGCGAGGACTTTCTTTATCAGACCCATGAGCACATCAGTGTTGAGTGCGCGTTCGTGAGCCTCGTCCATTATGATACAAGAGTACCTGTCCAGATCGGGTTCATTTAGGGACTCGCGGAGGAGCACCCCATCAGTCATGTACTTGATAGCGGTCTCCTTGCTGGTGCAATCTTCGAAACGAATGGCGTAGCCAACTAGTCCGCCAAGCTTGACTTCCATTTCTTCACTGACTCGTTTAGCGACACTCATGGCCGCTACTCTTCGAGGCTGCGTGCATCCTATGAGTCCTGACTGTGCGTAGCCGTCTTCGTAGAGAAACTGTGTGAGCTGCGTCGTCTTCCCTGAACCTGTCTGGCCCACCACGATGACCACTTGGTTGTCTCGTATCACTCGAAGTAGCTCTTCCCGCACCGCAAATGCAGGGAGATACTCCCTTTGCTCTCGAAGTGTTTTACTCTTACTAAAGAGACTTTGTCCTTCGTTTTTCTTGAGGTGCTCAGCAAATTTGTTGCCGCTCTTGACCTCTTGGTCGCCCGGAGCAGGCGCCGCACTGTCCCCTTCATCCTCTTTGACACCCATAAGATTTCCCAACGCAGTACCAGCCATATTCGTAGCCTCTTGCGCCTGCTTCTGCCTTTCCTTTTGCTGCCTCTTCTCCTTCACCACTTTGCTTCCTTTGCGACTGAAGACAGCCATGTCACTTTGAGGGTCCCTCACTGCTGGCACTGGATCGAGCTGCTTAGTGAAAATCTTTCGACCATCTAGGAATGGCGGCTTAATATCATGGACCAACAGGTGTACCCTTGTAGCCTCTTCGTCATCCTCAAAGTCGGCTTCATGATCTCTGCGCTGCGCAACACCTGAAGTGAGCAATCGATTGGTCTCCCAAGCATCCACGTCCCGTTGTTTCTGGACAGCCTTTGCGCTGACCCGGCTGCTCTTCTTCTTCTCGGCCAGGGCCGCTTCTGCTTGCCGGTTGGCCCATGACGCATCTGAGCCAAAAGGATTGTGGGACTCGTCACCCAACGTATGCCCAAACTCGTCTCCCGCATACCAGTCTCGGTCTAGAGCGTTGGCGTCTTCCTCATTGACGAATGGCTCCGGTCCGTCGAATTCCTTTTGGCGCGGTGTAGAGGCATATTTAGAGGCTTGTGGTGTCGAAAATGCAGACGCATTCCCAACCCCATTCTTTTGTATATATGGTGTCTGATTCCCACTGCTTCTACTGTGCAATGGGGTTTGAGCTGAGCGGAACGTTTTTGCAGTCGACGGTCTTGATGGTACGGCAAACCGGTCAGAGTCAAGTTTACGCCTCTTGGGACTATCTTCGCGAGCCATGATAGCAAGAGAAGTTTACAATGAGCATTGACTAACTCATTTCGAGAGGCCCCTCGGGCCGTTGACATCCGCGTTGTAGAGCGTCAAGTGCCGACGCTTCGCCGAAGATCTTCCGACCCACGAACTTTCTTGTCTTGGTCTTCAAGGAAAAACAATGTTAAACGCCGATCGAGTCAGCCATGTCCATGATCACGGCCTCCTTATGGGTGCCGAGGGGAGCGGCGGCGGTATTTCCCGAAAAATATGATATCGATGAAGACGAGCTTGCAAGAATCTCGAAGCTCGCAAAGCTACAACTTGAGGATGCCAAAGAGGACCTGAGCGATGCGAAGAAAGAACGCCTAGGCGAAACGGAGACAGAGGATTCAGATGCGGAAGAAAGTGGTGTGAACTTGGAGCAATCGCACGCGTAAGTAACATCCGTGCGTATCATCATAGGTGGTCTGATCGATGCACAGAGACGCAGATGATGATCTCAAAGAATACGACCTTGAACATTACGACAGCGATACCGAGGTCAGAGATGGCGAGACAATGGCGATGTTTGGAAACGCGAGGTCACTGGCGTATCATGAATCTAACGCAGATGATCCATACATGACAATGCAAGAGAACGACGACGAGGACGAGGAAAGAGAAGATTTGCAGATCTTGGCTACAGACAATATGATGGTCGCTGCCAAAGTGGAGGATGAAGTTGCCCATTTGGAAGTCTATGTGTACGAAGATGGGGCTGATAACCTCTACGTCCACCACGACATTATGCTCCCAGCAATACCTCTTTGTATCGAATGGCTAGATCTACCTGTCGGAAAGAATCCTAATACCGTTGACCCAGATTCAAGGGGCAACTACGTTGCTGTTGGAACCTTCGACCCTGATATTGAGATCTGGGACTTAGATACAATTGATTGCATGTACCCTAATGCCATTCTAGGTCAAGGTGGACAGGAAGCAAAGGCGGATCCTAGTCAAGAGTTGAAAAAAAAGAAAAAACGAAAGAAGTCCAAGAAAGCCAACGACGACTACCATGTTGATGCAATTCTCTCACTGGCAGCAAACAGACAACATCGTAACCTCTTAGCCTCATCTTCTGCAGACAAAACTGTCAAACTGTGGGACCTAAACACCACCAAATGCGCCAAATCATACTCACATCATGCAGACAAAATTTGCTCGATAGCTTGGCATCCCAAAGAATCCACCGTGCTCTTGAGTGGCAGTTATGACAGGACCATTGTAGCGGCGGATATGCGAGCCCCAGATGCAAAGGTACCGAGATGGAGAGTGGAAAGCGACGTTGAGACAGTGATGTGGGATCCGCACGATTCGAATTACTTCTACGTCACCACAGAGAACGGAATTATTCACATCTACGATACTCGAAACGCTCCTTCGACGCCTGAAGTCTCTAAAGCGGTCTGGCAATTGCAGGCTCACGATGAGAGCATCTCGTCATTCGATGTCAATCCTGTTATCCCCGGCTTCCTCGCAACAGGGTCGACAGATAAGACGGTCAAATTATGGAATGTGCAGCCAAATGGACCTAGCATGGTGGTGTCGCGCAACGTCGACGTAGGGAGAGTCTTTTCTACCAAGTTTGCACCTGATCCTGAGGTGGCCTTTAGACTGGCCATCGCAGGCAGTAAGGGCGCGATGCAAGTCTGGGATACCTCTACCAATGCAGCGGTCCGTCACGCCTTCGCCAGTCGCATGGTTCCAACCAGTGGCGATGCTAAGGAGGAGAGAATTGTAGGTGTTGATGAAGACAGCAGCGATTCTGAAGACGAAGGAGGAGTCGAGCCTGGGGGTGCTGATGCCATGCCGGAGAATGGGTGGGAGTCAATGGATGACGATTTACCATGAAATCACATCGCGATGCGACAGAAAGTTGATCGGCATGCATCGCTTGAAGCTGTGCAGCATGCGAATTGAATCATTATTGCTTCCAGATACCCCTTTTAGTTACACAAATTCGAGGATTAGCCATCAGCCCGTCGGACCTCTGCGCCTTTTCCTCAATCCCTGAGCCCACATCCATCATCCTACCGCTAATATTATTGGAGTTTTCGTTCGCTGGCAGGACGTCCTTCCAGTATTCGGTGAGATTTGTATTTGACGATTCAAACCAAGATGAAACCTTTGGCTCTGGATGTGCCGCGCGTCGACTCCTTAAAGTAGGGCATTGGCCAAATGAGGATTGCGTGCCAGAGTCCCCTCAATTCGCAACATCGGAGAATTATTCGAGAGGCAATTTGAAATGACAAGACCTTGCAGGGTGCTGGTTCTCGTAGAGTAGTTGTGACTCTGAAAGGGAGCGCTTAGCAGAGTTGCAGAACGTTGCTGTCAGAGAGGAGCGCTTGGATCATGGACGTTGTCACGTCGAGACCAATTCCGAGACCCCATCGCCAGCTTGTGGCTTCAGCCAATAATGATTGCCTGATGGCTCAGCTCACCTGAAACTGGCCCTTTAATTCGGTGGGATTTGCCCAGGCCTGAGCCAACCACGATCGATTCGCAACGGACACTCCACTAAATCACGCTAGGATATCACAAACGATACTATGTAATCAAAATCTTGTAATAAGGCTTCCTATGGCTGTCTAAGCCAATCAGTGTTGCAGAAAGCTTACTTTGTGTTTTTACTAAACAAATCTTGATGTTCGGAACCGTAAGGAACTAGTTCTCCTGGGCCGCGCTAGCATGCTGGCGTTCGGTTAGCGAGAGCTAGCTCGAAATCCAGGGGAAAGTGTGTAATGCCCCCCCGAAAAGACTGGCAATTCCTCTCTCTCCCTGACCACCACCCACTTTCCTTCACCAGTCGACGCTCTTCCTTCTTTCAAACCTCACACATTCTCTTGCCGCCCAGGGTGTTGTACACTCTTTCGCATCACCCAACAACCACGTTCTCTTTATACATTTGTTATCAGTTTAATCCGGACTGTGTCCGCAGTTTCTACAATTTAGCCACACTCATTCGCTAGAAAGCATCGCAGGACACTCTCATTCAGCCTCAGCATCGAATCAAGTCACATTGGGCATTCCATTTCAATCTTCGCCGCACATCACCATCATCACACTCAACCTGACAGCAGCTTCGCAGTACTGATATCTTCGAGCCAATTTTCAAGACTTAATCTAGCCAATCTCCATCTGTCTCCCTCCTCGATACATCGCGATGGAGCTCGCACGAGCACTCACCAGTCGCAAGAGGAATATATCAGACTCATCTCGCTTTGAGCCTAAACGGGCTGCAAGCATGAGGAGGACAGGGACTATCAAGCGCAGCGAGATATCTGCACCACTCCAGCTCCTATCGACAACTAATGTCCTCGCCTTCAACGCGCCCAATATCTACGGCTCATCGGACACCGAGTCTGAAGGCTCCATGACATTCTCTAATTCTACGCGCGCCACTACTCCGGACAACGATCCACCTAGCCCGGTTGAGCCAAACCACTTGTCCTCCTACTTCGCCGACGCCAACCGCTCTGTTTCGCGAAGATCAAAGGATTCAAGCGATTGCGACAGCCCCGCCATTCCACAGCGAATGCCATCACACACCAAGAAATCTCACCAACTTGCTGCTCGCAAGCGATCCATCCAGCAGACCGTTCCGCCTCCTGTTGAAATCCACAGTACTACTGCTGCACGTAACAGCATTGAAATGTTCTCCCACAAGCCTGAAGCCGATCATCCATTCGGGGCTGAGCTGACAAAGGTCAACGAGCTAGCAGAGGAGATGGGTGCGAGGGACGTCCTCATCTTGGACGAGGAGGAGCAGTATCTGATGAGCAACGGATTCTGCAAATTCGGTGCGGAAGACTATCTCGACGAGATCATGGGTCTATTTGGATGCAGCTATAACAACCCCTTCAGCAAAGACTGTCCAGTATGGATTTAGGCAATGCACCTTCGGGCCAGCACAAGCGTCGGGACGGGCTTCCCTATGGCTTCGCAAGGAACTTGATCGACTTTTATTCCTGTGGATATCTTCTGTGTTACGAAAGCTTCGCCGCTGCTCTGCTGGGAACAAGACGCGAAGGCTACGACGGGCGTCCGGGTTGGCCTGATGTGAAGGGGTTCATTGTGATGTTGTCGCTTGCTCCGATCTGTCGCTTCAGCTACTCACGCTCATTATCTGCGATCATTTCCTTCGACCTCGATCTGGCAAAGAGCTTTAGGGGGTTAGTTCGGTAGAAGGAGTTAGAATGTTACGAGTTCATACAATACCTTGCGATCCACCATTAACAGTGACTTTACGTTCCCCTCTGTGAGCAGCTCCAATTCCGAAACGACTTTCCACAAACTCGAGACCCTCGTGTTGTAATTAAGAAGTTGGCTGTAGTAGATATGCGGCGCTGATGTAGCAGGCCTAGCGCCAAGGAAGACAGACAGACCTACAATGATCCTTGTTAGCTCTTTGTGGCTCATCAATCAATACCTTAGTTCGTCGGTCGTCAAAGCTACCACCCTGACAGCTTAGAATGTTTATAGTCTTATTCAACCCCACGTTGGCTCAATTGCATGGGTCTCCCCATGATGACCGGTAGTGAGCACCCAACGGAGAAGGACGAATCGCCCTCGAACGTGTCTGTAGGGACAGCTATCAATAGCCCGCCAGATGCGGATACGGTCGCCCATGTAGGGATTTCGAAGCATGGGACAATCGAGCATGAGGAGGAGACGGATGACTTTGGTCTACCTGTGAAGAGGACACAGAGGTCGCCCAATGACCCGCATGACGAAGGTACTGGACCAGAAGATGGAGAGCCACAACCAACAGGACAGCACTTCGAGGACGCTCCAGAATCGCAGCCAGAACCTCCCACACAAGATCACGTAGCCCACAATGACGGGACCGTTGACCCGGAGCGCGAGAAGTCAGCTGAGTCGCTAGTCGATGGCCAAGATGACCAACCCTTGCCTAGCAAAACCGAAGAGAAGCCCCAGGAGGACTTTAATACTCGAACTGTACCACCAGCTATCGTGGATAACCTCCTCCAAGGTGGCGCCACTGGAGGCGCATCAGGCTGGTCCCACCAAGCGCTTGCCCCTCACAAGCCAAGAGAAGACCATGAGCAGGAGGAGGATTGGAAGGACATGCCGGCCTTTGCGCCTTACGACATTTACGATGATCACAATAGGCTGGTAGCCCGGGAAGAGAAAGACTCTGATGACGAAGATAACGCATATGCCGGGCTGGGGGGTGCGGGGAAGGGCTATACTCGGGTTCAGGTCGATGAGGATGCAAGATCAGCTACGAGTATGGATGATAATACGAATTATTTATTCAAGCCCAAGGGAACGGATCTGGCAGATGACGACGAGGAACAGAGAGACCCATTGGCCCAGCTGCAGGCTACGAAAAACCTGCTCACGGAGGGACAAAGGATAGCGTACGTGGGTGTAACGCGACTGGCAATGGCAAAGATGGTGATGGAGCTGGATGAAATGGAGGGCACGAAAAACACGAAGAAGGGGCTCGCACTTGCGGCGGAATCAATGAAGATGTGGAGCCAGCAGATGATGGTGAGGTTGTATATGCATATGGAGGTCGACTCGTCTGAACAAGTTATGATCGAGCAGCTCGCTGAGCATGGCGTTGAGCCAGGAGATCTGACGCCGACGCTGATGCAGAATGCGAGAGTGAAAAACCCTATGGCTGATGAGTCGCCTGCGGACAAAGAATGTTTAGCCTCGCCGAAGCTCAATGGCTACAAGCGAGCATCGACAAGCTCGCTTTCCCTTAATCCCTCAGACGAAAAGGTCGAGAATCCATTCACCGACAAAGAGTCTCTGGCTTCTCCGCAGCTCAATGGCGAGAGGACTCAATCAGTGAGCTCTCTCTCCGTCAATTGCGCGGACCAAAGGGCCGAGGACACCTCAGCTGGCGATGAGTCGGTTGTCTCTCCTCAAGTCAATGGCGAGTCTAAACGATCGACAAGCGCTTTGTCAGTAAGTCGCTCAGATGAAAGGGCGGAGACTTCTTCTTTACCTGCATACTCCGAACATGACGGCAAAGAGATGCCCGAGGTTCGTACTCCGTCACAGCTTGGGATGCCAAGAAACATCGACCTCGATCTCCGCTGGACAGTGCTTTGCGACCTCTTCCTCGTCCTCATCGCTGACTCAATCTATGACGCCCGCTCGAGGGTCCTTCTCGAGCGTGTAGGAACATCCATGGAGGTCTCATGGCTAGAGATTTGCCGCTTCGAAAAACGCGTTACTGATTCGCTGGAGATGCAAGAAGCAGCCAATAAGGAGACCTGGAATGAAGCTGAGCACATGGAGAATCGAAGGAAGCAAGCCTTGAAGCGCAGGTACATGATGATGGGGCTGGCTACCGTCGGTGGCAGTCTTGTCATTGGGCTCTCCGCCGGCTTACTTGCTCCTGTGATAGGTGCCGGCCTGGCTGCTGGATTTACGACTATAGGCGTTGCAGGCACAAGCGGTTTCCTCGCAGGAGCTGGAGGCACAGCTTTGATCACTTCTGGGGCCGCTATCTCCGGTGGAACTATTGCTGTCCGAGCTTCCAATCGAAGAACAGGTGCCGTTCAAACCTTCGAATATCGGCCTCTACACAATAATAAACGAGTGAATTTGATAGTTACCGTTTCTGGATGGATGCACGGAAAGATTGACGATGTCCGGCTACCTTACAGTACTGTTGATCCGGTCATGGGAGATATGTACTCTGTGCTTTGGGAACCGGAGATGCTGACAAGTATGGGTGACACCATTAATATCCTAGCAACAGAGGTGAACAATCATTCCTTCCTGTCCAGTCTCAGATGGAAGCTCATGACGTACAGGCTCTTACTCAGGGACTACAGCAAGTCCTTGGTAGCACCATTCTGGTCGCTCTTATGGCTTCACTCCAACTTCCCATCGTCTTGTCGAAGCTTTCATACCTGATAGACAATCCATGGACCGTCTCCATGGGTCGAGCAAACGCAGCCGGCCTTATTCTGGCGGACTCGTTGATTGACCGCAACCTTGGTGTCAGACCCATCACACTCGTTGGCTTCTCCCTAGGAGCTCGAGTCATCTTTGCCTGCTTACGAGAGCTAGCGGCCAGAGGTGCTTTTGGACTGATCCAAAATGTGTATCTCTTTGGATCGCCGATCGTGAACAGCAAGGAGGAATATCTGCGGGCCCGATGCGTCGTATCCGGAAGATTTGTCAACGGCTATGCTTCGAACGACTGGATTCTTGGTGCGTCTCCTTTTCTTTATCCTCTTCAGTCTTCTCTAATCAGAGTTGTAGGCTACCTCTTCCGTGCCACCTCTGGCGGTATCATGCGAGTAGCTGGACTTGCGCCTGTTGAGGGCATCCGCGGCCTCGAAAACGTCGATGTGACAAAGCTTGTCAATGGCCACATGGCATATCGAGCTGCTATGCCCCGATTACTCCGCGAAGTAGGCTGGGAAGTCGAGTCTGACGAGTTCACCGAAATCGAAGATCCAGACCCAGAAAACCATGAAAAACGGCAACGTGAACTTATTAAGGAATTGGACGAGGCAAGAAAGGAAGCAGAGGTCAAGCCAGGAAAGAGACGATTCGGTTTCTGGAAGAAGGGAAAGTTGGCGGAGAAGAAGGGCTGGGAGACTTACGATGACAGCATGAGGAAGAGCAGCGACGACTTCGGCACGGGTAGTGCTGAGGGCGGGAGTGTTCTATTCGACATTGAAGCTATCAAAGCCGAATTGGCTAGCGAGCAAATCGAGGTCAAGCAGCTCGAGTCCACCTTACCGCCGATGAAAGTAAGCCTCAATGGTTCGGCCACAGATGGGGGTAAACCCCCACAAAACCCGCACTCAAGTCTACGCGAAACCAAAAGCTATGACGCGAGCATGGCTATGCACCCCAAGAGCGAGGCAGTTAGTTCGCAGAACTCCGTTGAAAACATTCCTCAACAGCGGGAAAACCCCTTCAACCAAGGCTACGACGAATACAACCTTTCCGCCGAAGCAGTCAACCTGGACCATCGAAGCCCAGGACATAGCAAACTATCTTTCGAAAGCTCGGTCCACTCCCCTTCTCCACGGTATTCTTCCCACTTCCCTACCGACTCGCGGGGTCGGATAATCTCCCCAAAACGAGAACCGATCAACGAGGCACCAGCGCTTCAAAGCCCGCCACTGCGAACTTCATCGACCATGCCCAGCAGTGCGAGCACGAATAACCCAGATCTGGGAATCGAGCACAACGCTTGGGCTGATGAGGACGATGAAGATTTCGGGCGGGAAAAGGAAGTGAAGTTAACGTTCGGATGATTTGGGAGGAGTTTGATGCTTGGCATAGCGCGGTGTACCTTTGAGGGATTCATCTTTGTAAATGATACGAAGGGAGTAATAACGGGTGTTGGACGCATTGGCATAGGTGCATTGACATAGTTGCCTTGGCATGAGTACATTGGCTCGCCGGCATTTCGAAGAAGCATATATCATCGTGACGCTGGGGTGGCTTTGGTACGTTCCAAAAGGGGAGACGAGATACACTGATAGCATTCCGTCTCGATCAGAAAGGAGGCATCGAGGCTCAACCCAGAACTATCAGGTTTGTCCCTTCGTAGGCCGCCTACCAACCCTGAACCACTCACGGGCACATCGCCACGTCCTGTTGGAAAAGGCTTTTATTAGAAAAATAGAATTACTCCTTCACATGCATGCATGCATCATAAAATCTCCTATCCTGACCGCGGCCCCTTCCCCATATCCATGCACTCCCTCCCCATCAACCCCCCCCCCTCAAACTGGGAGACCTCCTCCACACGCTCCACCGACGCCTCGATCACCGTATCCGCCCGAGCAGCATCACTCGTAGCATCCAAGGGAGCAGGAAGGATCCTTACGCTTCTAGTTAATGGTCTTTGTGTGGAAAAACTCCGCAAATACATACATATTGCTACCATATATATATATCCGGCACGCAATAGTCCACGATCTCTTCGCACAGGCCGATTGATGATCGAAGGAAGACATCGCCAGACCCGTTTTTACAACTCCGGTGCGAAACGATCCGGGCTCGGATCAGCGTTCGAGGACTCTTTGTTTTCTCCCTGGGTGGGTAGGCAGAATGGTTCGCCAACATGATTTGCAGTTGTGGCGAACGAAGGTCGTCTTTTGCACCACCATCCCTATCTATCTATCTATCTATCTATCTATCTATCTATGCCAACAACCAAAAGCAAAAAAATTGGTTCCGAGACGGGGGGTCGAACCCCGGTCGCGACGGGTCAAATAATTTATGAAAGCGTCGAATGCTAGCCGTTACACCACCTCGGATAGGGAACTCAAATTTCAACACTATTTTAATAATATAACCTCTAAATATTATCATAGATCTATTCAACAAACCTTTTTTAAATAGACGAGATTTAGCATTAAAATATCTACCTTCTTTTCAAAACCAAATCAACTACTTTCGACCCTCTGTAACAACATGCTCCGCTCTCAACTCTCGTTAATCATCAACCTACGAGTGAGTAACCACCGACATCTCCGAGGAGGATTCGAGACCGCTGCAGAGTGAGAAGAGCAATACTCTACTACCCCAGGGGAACCCATATTCTCAAAAGCTCGTTTCCCAAAAATATCAAACCCGCGGTCGAAATCAATCATTCCCGGCGAGGAAACGCAAACACGCTATCGACCAACGAAATCTGGGAATTCGGAGACGTCTGCATCCCTACATGTGGTCCTGGCTCATATACCACGAGCGAGGACAGGGAATGGAATGACATCCTCACTACGGTAACGTACCTTTTAATCATGTTGATTGACGATGATCTCACGATATGGTACACTTCCGGTAAGGCGTCTCTCTAGCGCGGATCGTTCTCATTGGTCACTTCCTTTCATCCAATTTTGCATTCGGGCTGCTGGAGGCAACTGCCAGCGATGAATTGCTTACTACCTTGCGTCTGGGATCTGCACCGCTGTTCAGATCGGTCTTGTATCGTGAAACGAAAGGCTTGTCGCTTTACGCTGATTTGGATTCTCGTCCCTGTCGAAGTTTCTTCTTGTTCCCCTGTAGTCGATGGCGAGGATGAATGGTGCTGTAGCCAGTGCAAGGGTTTGTAAAAACACATAACCGAGTCCAGTACTACTCAAATCTCACTGCTATAAGAAGCTGGCCCCTTCCATCTCTCTCCGTCTCTATCCTTGATCTCCTATTTCTACACTCACAATCCAGTCTTTACCTCACCTAGTTCCAATATAAGTCCAGTCTTTACCCCACCTGATTCCAATCCAACTCCAGTCTTTTACCACACCAAAACCCACTCTTATTCCATCGATCCACCATGCCCTCCATCGCCAAAATCACCACCGTCTTCCTCCTCGCCCTCACCTCCGGAACCCTCGCAGAACCTCCCCGCTTCCCGGCGCCCGAACCTCTGGTCACATGCCTCGAGAACATCTACCATGAGGGTTACCAATGTCCCGGCGCCGCGGGAGTAAGGGGCTGCTCCGAAAACCGCTATGATTTGGTATATACCTACCCTGTCCTGTTCCTTCTCCCATATTATCGCTTTTCAACCATATCGAAGGAGCAAGAAATTCTCGCTGATACGATTACGCGCGTTGCAGTTGATTTGCCAGGCGGTCAGCTTCAACGGTGTGACAACTGATCAGCCGTCGTTGGTTCAGCACTGCGGTGCAGCCTCTTGTCATGCCGATCCCAATACCTGCGTCCTTTCCTGCTGAGTAGTCGGGTGATCTTCTGGTCGACCGTCGCGAGTGGATTCTCCCTGTATTGTTTCGGTAGAGAACACAGTCTGGATGGGTGTCCTATTCATCTCTGTGTATTAAATTATTCGATTCGAGTCCCTGTATCTCTTTCTTCGTTGAAGTTGCTCGGACGAGGCGCCTTGTAGGAAGTCGTCAGTGTCCGACTGTTCGATGTGATGAGACCTGGACATAAAGTTTAATATTTGTAGATACATATGTAGCATTATTATGCTTTCACCAGCTCTTCGGCCCAAGACCACTTCCTCATCATACTTGCGACCAAAGTGTCTTCGATCACACCGTTACCTAGCCCGCTGCCACCGTCAAGTCTAGCGACGTAGGATCTCTCGCCGGGGACGCTCTCAGGATCAGCATGAGGAATCTCGTCCCCCTTTTCGCTTCCATTCTCATTCATCTCGTGCTCGTCGCTGGCGTCGCGCGGTCAAACCGCCGCGTGACTTCACCAGCTCTAGCGAGCTTCCCCTTCGCCGGGAATCTCAAGAGCCTAGGACCATTGTCCGTATGAGAACGCGTCTGATTAGAGATGGTCTGGACAGTGATCGTCGTACATGACCATTGCTCTCCCCATACGTGGCTCAAAGCTACGTATGGGGTGTATGTGATCCGGCTGCTGGTGTTCCCGTTGCTCCCGCTTTGGATTGAATGTTTCGGATAGCTATTCAGACAACGGCCTCTTCGGCTAGAACCCTCTGAGAATTTTCGCTACCTGCGAGCTCAGTATCATTCATCTTGGATCTCATCCGCCGGTCGATCAAATGCCAGGGCCTCATCTGCCAGACCCTTGTTATCGTTCCATCCCGTTGCTTTTTGCGTCTGCCGAGAAATGCATCTTTCCAACGCTTCTGCAGGATATCTTCCTAGACAAGGTCGACATCAGCGTTAGAAGACAACATTCCATGACTGCTTCGCGACCTACCTTGAACCCGACGCAGTCTTCGCAGGGGCCCTTCACGGCCGCCAACGTGTCTGAGCTGCTATTTCCGTTCAACTGGCTTGCCTGGTACCCTGGAGGCTGGGCTCTAAACGCCTCAGGCACTTCTTTGTACAATGTCTTTATCATAGCATCATCGAGATGTCTGTGCACTGGAGCGATTCAGCCCAGACGCAGTGCGTGTAGCAATGGGATTGTTGACACTGAAGATTAAAGATCATCTTTGATTGAGCCATTTCTAATTCTCGCTGCCGGTTTATGCGAACTAGCATAATCTTTTTACTAGCAACGGAACCTTGGAAAACTAATTAGCATACGTAGACCACGCCTACCGGGCAATGGTGTTGCAATGATAAATCCACGCTCAATACCGTTGACGTGCGGCCAATCCCCCATTCCGAAACTCCAATCCACGACTTACGTCTTTGAGCCTGTAAAAAGAGTGCAATTGTATAGTCCCATAACAGCCTTGCTTACCATTACCCTGGCGGAATATTAATAATCGACATCGAAGAGGTCGTAGCTAGGGAGCTGTTCAACCAGCCAACTTATAATCCGTTGGCCCAACTTTAGATGCCATCAAAGACTTCGACGCCTAATTTCTTGAAGTCTTCTCCAGTCTTCTGGATCGACGTCACTATAATCCTCATGGTTCAATTTATATGGAACACCCTGGCTCTTGCTACCATTCGAGCTCTTTTCAATAGTATCCCTACGCAGCCCCGGAGTAGATAGGTGATAAAAGTGACCCTGGCAATAGAAGGACCAATGTTTGATCGACCCAGTTAGCTTTCTGTTTCGATCACTCTGTTTAGCGATGAAGCAAACATCATGTGAATCAGGACTTAGATTGGCCAGCCGAGGATCCATATATACGCGCCTCTTGATGTTTATCATGAAAACGCCGTTAAGGAGTGTTACGGATGTTGACAAACCTTCCGAGCCAGCGTAGAGCTAGTCTATCTTGGATAGAAGAGCGGGTTCCAATTCGCTCAGAGTTGGAAGAGATCCTTGGCCAGTAGTTACGTTGGTCAAAATGGCCGAATTGGGACGTCGGGACATAAGCATATAATGGCGGAGAGCCAGATATTACGGGTGATTGTGGTTACTTCACCGCTATAAGGAGTGAAGCCGGTGGACCACGATGGCTGACAGGTCTTGGGCGCGTTTTCACTTGGTCAAGGGTCAAGCTCGCGCCATTGGCCTGGATCCTGTGCTCGTATGCAAGAAAGCAATACTCAAGAGTGGAGGTTGACCCCGGCAGCACTTTCCCTTCCGGGAACGCGCTGGCGCGTAGCTTAAAGTACCTCGGAGCGTGAGCGTGAAGTGAAACTACTTTGAAAGTACATTTGTATTCAATCGAAACATACACGCTGTACGCGAGCTGATCGAGCTCCGTTATGATCACAAGACAGGAGTAATGGCAGGTCCGTTAGACCTCAAGCCAGGTCCCCCGAGGAGCATCGGCTTGACAAGACACGGCCATAATCTCGCCAGTCTGCATGGAGATCGCAAACGACAATCAGAGCAAACTCGAAAGCCCAGTCCTCCACTCCTTGCTCCTCCAAGAGGCAGCTCTAGCGACGAAGACTCTGAAGGGCAGCGACTTCCAGATGATGGGGCGTCTGATGACTCTGAGTTTGGACAAACCGAGAAAAAGGAGAAACTCAAGAAAGACGCATTGCCGAGAACAGGGACAGATTCTAGTCTAGGCAAGGGCGAGGACGCCAAAAAGAGGGAGTTGAGCGTTGAACCTTCGAACATACGAGCGGGTAGCTTTACGTCGGGGAAAGGCCCTGGGAGCCGCAATGGCTCGCAGAGCAGCCAGAAGAGGAAGAGTGCTGGCCTGGACGAAGATGATGTGCCAAATTCTTTTTCCCAGCCGAAAAAGTCTAAGCAAGGCTATGGCTACGGTAGTAAGAATACACACAGGGGTTCGGTCACGAAGTCTGGAGACTCCAAAAAAATGCCTTTTAAAGAGAGCGGGAGAGCAGGACCTGCTTTTAAGGACCCAACTCATCCCATGCTGCTAGCTGATTGTAGGATAATGTTCAAGCATTGGCCATTTAAAAATGAACATGGCTGACCTCGAGTAGTTGATAGATTGAGGGCAAATGGATTGAGTGAGACTCCATCTACGCAGACTTCGCTACGGGATCAGAGGGCTTCACAACGCTCGAACAAGAGCACACAAGAGTCGTCTCAAAGTTCTTCGAAAATTTTCAAGCAGCCTCCGCGACTATCTCCCAAGAGAGTACCAAAATTCAGAGCTAGTCCAGTGATATGCGAAGAAAGGGATCCTCCACGAGCTACGAGGTCTCCGGCGCCAGTTGAGGAGCCAGCTGCGGTCGCCGAAGCTAACACATTGAAGTCATCTGAATTACAGAATGCTTTTAAAACTGCTACAAACAAACTTGGCATATCAGATGTACAAATCAACCTTCCACGACCAGAGATACGTGATTCATCGGCTCCTCCAATATCTCTTGATGCGGCTACTACAAAATCTTCACCGCTTTCTTCTCTTGACGACTCTACTCTCGGTTCTAGCCTAGAAGGTGTTCCCATCATCACATCTGGAGATATACCAGATTATGATGCAAAACCACGACCAGCCGTGTGTCCAATGTGCAAGCAGCCTGTTGACCAGTCGTATCTGGAACAATTTACTAAGGTGGGTACGCGTATGAGCCTCCGCCAACAGGCTCAATTCTGCAAAGCCCACAAGGAGCAAAGTGCCGAGTCCGAGTGGGCAGAGCGGGGATATCCCAAAATCGATTGGCTGCAGCTGGACGCTCGAATTGGGAAACTCCATACTTCCATGGACGACATACTCTCAAGAAGGAAGTTTTCCTTCTACAGGAACGTCTTTGAAGACTCTTTGAAGAGCGGAAAGAAAAGGAGGATACAAGAGAGCCTGATGGCAGGAGAGGAGATCGAAGGGACTTCGCCAGGATACTATGGCGGCAGAGGTGCGAAGGTGATGTATGGCTCCTGTTTCCTTCAGTCACCTACTCCCCGTCATACAATGCTACTGCGTTGAACGACCATGCTTCACCTTGGAAGTTTCTGACCTTCTCAGGGCGGACAACATCATGTCCCGATTTGCCGGCAAACTTCGTCGACTGGCGGCTTCAGACAAGCTCATCTCATCTGGTGGAGTCTCCAGATACGTGCAAGCGGTCCTGGTCCCGGAACTGGCAGTACTTCTTGTCATGGACGACATGAAAGTTGACGAGGAGAAGGCAAGAGAGATATTGAGGGACAGTGTCGATATTGGCAACCTACTGAACGAAGAGGAGGACGAGATCATCACGGATCCCGCTCCCGAAGATCGCGGAGTCGCGGACTTGATATAGAAGGACGGCTGGACGTATTTGGGATGTTTTTGCACATCTTGCTTGCATTTCTTTGCAGATATCAAGTCGCACAGATACCCCATAGTCATGCAATCGAACCTGTCATTAGCCCTCCACAGCTCGGGACTCCCTTCCCACCATCATCTCTCACACCTGAGCTCTCCACATGGTCCCAAATCGATACAACCCAAACGCAGCAACAACGCTCAACCCAATCGGCAGCGCCTTCTGCGTCTTCATCGCCCTCGGTACGCTACTCCCCGCCAACACCAGACTGGCGAGCAACGCCATCTCCACCCCGTAAGGCTGGCGGTTGCGCATGCGCAGGCCACCGAGTCCGTACTAACCGGGGCCGTTCGTCAAAAGAGCCATCCATTCACGGAGAGAAGACGACGCGCGTCGGGGAAGGGCGACGTACGAGAGCGCCGACGGTCATGCCGGCCGCGACCGATGGTATGGAGCCCGTGCGGATGTAGCCCGTCAGCCCGCCGCCGGCGGTGAGGAGGGCGAGCAGGAAGGCTTGCGTTGCGGGGTCGTCCTGCGGTGAGTGTTGAGGCGAGGTTAGCTGGGGTTGGGGATGGGGATGGGGCGCGCGTACCATTTGTGAATGTATGGGTTGAATTGAATTGGTTTGATCCGACGACTCGATCGTAGCCGTGAGTAAGTCGCAGAGGGTATTTCCAGAAAGAGGGTTTCCAAAACGATTTGCGGACAAAGCTCGAGCTTCCCCATCAACATCCCTGCCGCGGAAGGAAGGAAGCTTCCGCCGCGGTCTTGGCAGCCCAAAAACCCGGGCAACGTTTCCCTTCCTTTCCTCTGCAGCTCCTCCCTACCTCTACCCAACCACCCCACCAGCGACCATCTCCCCTCCTCTCCATCCATCCATCCACCCATCCACCCATCCATCCATCCACCCACCCACCCCGCTGCACCAATCCACCATGCCCGCCAAACGCGCCCCCCAAATCTCCCCCCACGCCTCCGCCGTGCCCCCGATCCCGAAACCCTCCCCCAAGGCCGCCGCCGCCCCGCCGTCGTCGCCCGCGGCCCAGTCGGCGCGGGAGGTGTCCTCGGCCCTGTGGCGGCACTACCGGTCCACGACCCCGCAGCGGGTGAAGCTGACGGACGCCTTCATGGCCTTCCTGGTCGCGGTGGGCGGGCTGCAGTTCGCGTACTGCGTGCTCGTGGGGAACTATGTGGGTTTTTCCTTTTCTTCGGTTTGTTTGCGTGTGTATACATATATGTATCCCGCTTCTGGGCGTCGAGGGTACCGTTTTAGGGAGGTTCGGGGGGAAAGGGGGGGGGGGGTAAATAAAAATTTATTGACGGAGATGCTGACCCGCGTGGGGTGCGTACAGCCGTTCAACGCCTTCCTGTCCGGCTTCGGCGCCACGGTCGGCCAGTTCGTGCTCACGGCCAGCTTGCGGATCCAGACGAATCCGGAGAACCGGCGGGAGTTTGAGAGTGTCAGTCACGAGCGGTGAGTTTCTAGGTGGCCCTTTTTTTCCCTTCTTTTTCTTTTTCTGCTGCTGGGCCGTCGGAGGAAGAGGGCTTTTCTGGGGGAGACGGAGGGGTGAGGGGAGACGTTTGGGCTGACGAGGTTTTGAATCCTGTAGGGCGTTTGCAGACTTTGTGCTCGGGAGCCTGATACTGCATTTCTTCTGCGTGAACTTCATCAACTAGCGCTAGGCGAGTGGGCAGTGTAAGAGATTGTGTGTGAGGAGAAAAACGTCATGGTCTCAGATATCAAAAGAGCCGGAGCCGGATCATCGTGTACGATATCAAATTAGGGTTGGCAAAAGCCTGTCTATCCTAGGAGTCCGAGTCTATAAAGTTGTCGTTATCATGGCGTAGGCATCTCATTCAAACACAGATAACATAATACCGCTTCTTCCCAAACGGTACCGACTATTGATGCAATTAGATCCGTTCCACACTCCAGTTACTGCCCATGGCCGTTCGCGGCCTCCAAATGGAAGACAGCTCTCAACGCAGTACCAAACCTCTCAATTGCTTCAGCCACTTGGTCCGCGGGGGCAGCAGCAAAGGTAGTCCGGAAGAACATGTCGTCTCCCGGATTGCCAGTCTCAGCCCGGAACCAGCTGCCTTTCGATATCAAAGTTCCTCTTTCAATGGCAGCATGAAAGATCTCGTCCTCAATCTCAAGCATCGATTTTCCCTCTTTCGAAGGATGCTTTCGCCAATCAATCTTGATCCAGTGAAACATGCCCGCCATCGGCGGATTCCAACTCGCTACTTCCCTCGGTAGGTATTCTTCACAAGCGTAGCAGATGTTGTCTCTTCTTTTCGTATATTCCAGTCTGATGTTGATCAGCCAGTCAAGGTAGCCTGCATGTCCCCACGTCTCTTCTAGCAACTTGAACATGATCAACTGAGAAGGCCCGCTGGGAGTCTGGGTGCACGTTTCGGAGTGCCGCACGAAACGCTCAATTATTTGTTCCGAGGCTGTGATCCAGCCTAATCGCATACCAGGAGCGATGACTTTGGAGAAGGAGTCCAGGCGCATGACTCGACCGTCAATGTCCATGCTGAGCAGGGAGGGAACCAGGGCGTCTATGAAGGCGCTGTGAGAGGATGGAGGTGGGACGTCAGGAGCATTTGGACCGGTGTAAGGTTGCATTTGTAGAAAGAAGTATGGCTCGTCTTCGAGTATGTAGATATCGTGCTTTTGGGCCATGCGGTAGATATCTCTTCTTCGCTGCTTGGACTGTGTGGCACCTGTGGGGTTCTGGCCGGAAGGTACAGTGTAGAGCAACCAAGGTTTGGGAGCACCATTGTGAGCGGCTGAATCCCAATTGCTAATGATCGAATCTAGGTGTGAGGGAAGAAGACCTTGTTCATCCATCTTTACGCCTATGCATTGCACGCCCATCGGTCGAGCTGTTTCAGCGGCTGAGGAGAAGGTGAACTCTTCGGTCAGGATGCAATCGCCACGCGTGCAGAACATGCGGTATGCTATATCGAGAGCAGAAGTGTTGCCAACGGTCATAGAACATTGCCAGTCTTTGTATGGCGGATGGTGTACAATCTGGCAAGGCTTCATCAGCATCGATTTGGGCGCTTCATTCAGAGTCCCGCACCTCTGTATGCTCTGTGATGAATCGCAACATCTGTGCCGACCCTGTCGACTGACCGTAGTTAAGGGCCACATGGATGTCTGCACCCTGTATCTCAGTCGCTGTTGTAGCTCTAACTCGTCATCTGTCGAGCGTACCGTATATGCTCTTTCCTTCCGCAATATCATGCTTTCCTATCCTCTTGACTACCCCAGACTCTTTCGTCTCCTGCTCTGAGAAGTGTGGTGGTACGGGTACTTTGATATCGATGTGCTCTAGAGGAAAATACTGGCTCGAAGGTAGACCGCCGCCCAGAGATATTAGGCCTTCAATGTTTGAGAACAGGTCCTGTGGTTTCGGTAATCTACGTGGTAGGCCACTCACCAGGGATTGTCAAATATTTGGCAGCTCCTTTCAAGGAAGACGGCTGTCGCAATGTCAGTAATCGGCAACGAATAGTCTGACCCCTTCCTCATTTCGATCTTGTTCTGACCTGTCTTGCCAAGCTTTCTTCACTCAATCGATCTGCTACCCCATCAGCTCTATGCCCACTGGTCCTGACACAGGTGGATGGATACGAACGTACGATCCCATCTTTTCGCCTTTGGTTTACCATGTCCCTATTACCCGATCAGAACGTCGTCCCCCCAGAGCCAAGCTGCAAAGCCTCACGGGACTCTTGAACATGTCACTACTGGCATGCGCCGCTATGCCTCCAGCAATTCTTGGCGCCTTGGAGCGTCGCGCTGCAACGCCATTGACGCTGAGCTTATCAGAAAAGGTAGCGATCTGTGTATCTGTCGTGCTTCGCACGTCCAGGGCCGATGGAGGCACCATGGTAATCTTTTGGCCGGAGATGCTGGAAAAGAGTTCGTAGACTGTTAAGAATGGGGGAAAGGCGATAAAATGTGCGGATTGGCGAGATGTTTATTGGATGTAAATTTGTGGAATGTTTGCTACAGAGAGATACCTACCCAGCCATAGCCATAAAACGGAGAAGCTAAAGCTGTGGCGGAGATAGAGTTTTTTTTGCGTGATGGTGTAGCAGCCGTTTTGGATGCGGAGCATTTGTGCTGCAAAAGTGCGTCATGGGCGGCGGACTTTCGGAATGCCGAGGCTAGCCGTAGGCAGCGCAATTCGATTCGTGCTGTTCTACATTTGATCTCTTCTTGTCGCGTCTGTCAAGGTACCAAAGGATATTGGAGCGCGTGGAAGGAGGAAGGAGGCAAACCGAAGTTGGACAAGGAAGTGGGGCTCATGTTCGTCTTTCATGCAGGTACAAACAGCATGTGAGACATTTCTACCAGGCTGTCAAATTCCGAAGCGCTGATTGGTCAATGGCTTGGGATAAGATAGGTGTGTCCACTTTGAGCGGATTCGCTGCTGGAGCAACCCAGCTTGGGGATGGAGGATGGAGAGTTGAAGGTGATGGGGTTTGAGCTTGGGCTTGAGGCATTCGATAAGCCCAAATGGAAAGGACGATTGATGAAATCCATCTAATATAAAAAAAAATCAGTATGGTACATAGACATCCAGGTCTTGGTATCTCGCAAGTAGAAATCCCAAATTCCTTCCTTCCAGATCAATTGCCCTTTCCCTTGATCTAATTATGCAAAAAAAAAAATCCTTTCACTCCATCGCTAAGATCCTTCACGGCGAAATGCTCCTCAGTGCTTTTCCCTGCTGCAACTATCAGATCGCTCCCTTTCCAGAGCATGCTCGATGGAATATACAAATGTGTGAACGCGTCCATCCAGGTACACGTGGTCCTAGAGGCGCCCCACAAGTCCTGGCTGCAAATAATCACAATGAAATTCAAGTTCCCCATGGAGTCTCGAGTGCGAGGGGACAGTGCCGTTCCATGCTCCTCGGTATTGGCAGAGCGGGTAGACAGTAGAAGAGGACCATCCTTCTCGACTCGAATGCAAAAGACGCTGGTAGGAGGAGGTCACTAATAAGGGTCGTTACCGACGCCGTTATTGCTCGAGCTCGGCGGGTACACGTTGCCGTAGCCGCTCAATTGCTGAGAGGGATCTGGTCCATGGGGACTGAGGATGTTGTTGACACCCTCTTCTTGTCCTTGATAGGCGGTTGAGCTTGATGGATCCGACTGCCCAGCTGTGCTCGCACTGGCTGCACTCGGCTGCGACGTTTGAGCGCCGTAGCCACTGCTCGGCCGCGCCTGCTGTGCCTCTCCTCGTTGTGATTGGGACTGTAGACAGCGGTCAATATGATTGATATGTCTTACCCAAATGCAAGTGAGAAGGAAAGGAAGAAAGGACTGTCAAGGAAAGGCTGGGGAGGCAAAGGGCGGATGAGCTTACTTCTCGGTACTTTGCCAGGTAAATCTTTAGTGCCTCAGCGTAGTTTTCGAAGCCGGTAGATGTCATAGCGAATAGGATGTCTTCTCCATTAACCGTCTTCCTCTTCTCTTGTTGGCATTTCTCCGAGGCTGAAGATCAGATTAAGTCAGGCAATTGGTCATCGTAGAGGATTTGAATGTGCAAACCTTCGGAGGTAATAAATGAAATGAATTCGGAGACACATTCTTGCATGCACTCCTTCGCTTCCTTCGCGATTTTCGCGTTTTCTGGCAACGCCGTCTTCATGATCCGGGCCACTGGAGCAAAGTTGCGAATGTTAGCATCCGAGACATGGCTGTGAGGTCTTGAACCACGGGGAGGAGGTGATATAGAGTGCGGGGAATTTCGGGACATTGTGTGTGCCCACTAAGCAAATGGGCAAATATTTGTTGACCATAGAGATTAAAGAAACAAGATGCTGGCGCAGATCTTTAGACTGTGGAGAAGGAAGCCAACGATTTTGCGCGCGTAGGAATTGGAGAAGCGACGGCAATACGATATTCCATCATCATGCAGCGTCGCAAGACGAAAACGCGCAAATTCAGTGGACGAGAATGCATGAGGAATTGAGCGTGACCAACCATTCGCTATCGGCAACCACCTATCTTGTTCCTTCACCTCAAAGTCGTACGCTTCCCTCACTTGAGCTTCTTCTCCTCTCTCCATACTTTCCGAGTGTTCTGGGGTCGCATCTCCTTGCTCGACACCCTCTTTGGGCGGGGATTCCGACATAATAATATATGAACCGCTGCAGCCTAAGGCAACCAACAGAATAATCGGGGGTCAGCTTGAGAATGGGGTGAGCTGTGAATTGGCACGTTGGGCTCTCGAAATGACGCACCGCAGCTTTGTGCTGTGCTGTTCAACAACAGTTACGGTAGGTACTTTGCGAGACTTTGGCTTCAGAGCAGGGCTAGTGATTTTCTCCGCGTGCGCCGATCTAGATGAGGCTGTGTTATGGACTGGTATCGAAGCGCCAATTTACCCCAAGGCCTGCATACCGATTCGACAATATGAAGCGCGATCGAAGTGAATACACTCCCGCGCAAGAGCGTGGGTTAACAACCACTAGACCCAAATTCGTCTTCACAATGGGATTATTATGACCGGGTGCCCGCAGTCGCTCGTCCACTGGCGTGGTTTTGTGAAGGAGGGTGCCGCCGGGCAATTGGGCTCCAATGGCGGTCAGAGAATCTAACTCAGCACTTTAGATTTCCACGAGAAGGAGCTTGACGTTGGAGGCGCATACGATTGCTTCCTAACTTTAGTAGCGCTGGTACTGGAAGGCCACGTCTTGCTTCAGGCGCAACTGGGCGGTGGGTGTGTCGAGAGAAGTGTCGAATGTCGAATCCGAGTGCAAAGTGAAGCTTGGTCTGAGTCAGAGATGGCTTCGCTGAGCTTTTCGGAGCTTAATGTAGAGAGTGAAGCTGCGATTCTAACTGGTCGCGTCAAACGCGTGTATGGTCGCCTCAAGGAGTGTATGATGGTCTGCTCTGCTGCTTGATTCACACCAATTGAGAGGTGGGAGAGGGAGGTACCGTGTTCACCGTTCAACGACATGGCACGGCTTCGAGCACGGTCTCGGACTGAAACCTTGGGGCTAGCTTCTAGAAACCAGCAAGGATCCCTACCCGTTGAGCACACCTCCACACTTCCACCACAAACGCGGTCGACGCGGCAGTCAACCAAATCAGCATGGCATTACTTAAAAGTGTCGTCTCCCAATGACTACTGGCATGGATACCCTAGGGGGCTGCGCCCAAAAGCCCAACAAAGTCCTCGGGAATCTGGTACCTAAAGTCAGTGCAACTGGGCAGCATGTGCTCCACGCGCGGGGCATGTGGCACCCACACCTCATGTAAAAGAGGGGTTTCAAGTCTCCGGCTGGGTATCAATACTTAAGGTCCCAACGGCACTACATGAAACGGTCTTCGATGTATGCTGGCTACATATATGTGTTGGCTACGTCAAGGATCTGAGGAAACTCTGCAGGATCTAAGATTGGAGAGCTCATGTCGAGTGGCGGCTATCACATCAACGCGTTTGCACTTTACAGACACAGCCTCAAACAGCAGCCCATCGCATCTCCAAGGCCCAAGGGTATCCGCTGATGCGCAAATGACTGACCTTTCATTGTACATACATCCTCCCATGATCATGCAATGCTTTTGACACTTGGAAGCATGGAGCGTATTTTGCACCATGCAGCGGCGACTCCGTTCCGATCTCTGCACGTTCAACGTTCAAAAAACCTTGGTTCGGATGATGAGGCTGGGCTGCATATACGACGCAGGGTAGGATTGCCGGGAATGCTGTGTTGGCTGCCTCAAGATTTGGGAGCACATGTCCGTGCCCGTGTCCGATGACGCGTAATTTTATTTTGGAGAAAGCAGCAAACTCGCTCCCTGTCTCCTAGACATGTCGAAACTCATATGTATAACAGCCATATCTCCCCAAGCAAAATTCGGGGTGACGTTGATCCGTCCAGTCAAATCAGTTTCGTACCTTGAATTAGCATCCTATGACCGCTCCTCCCACACTGAACTAGTCCTGCATGACCACCGATCCAGTCATTCATACCCTGATTTCATGCCAACGCACCTGCAAGCCATAATGTTCCGATGGTATCGAATAACCGTTGTAACGGTAATTCTTGTGGCTTGACGCTCGCCCTAGAGAATAACCGTATGACCTCGTGGACGAGAACTCAGGCATCAACGCATCCCGATTCTGGCTAGCAAACAGTATGCTCCTGCCAAGGACACCTTGATGACACGGCACCGATAACACTAATCGAACAGTTCGCTCGTCATCCACGATGCTGCGATTTCGCCATATTGCACATCTTCAATGCAATGAAAGTGCCTTGTCATGGGCCCTCGGTCCCTTAGTAAGGAATTCTTGTTTAGTGACGAAGGCGGACATGAAGCCGCTTGGATTGGAAATTTGTGTAGAGGCTATTGTTGCACGACTTGGATGTTATTTTTCTTCTGCGTCCCATGTAGACTCATCAGCAAATTCCCGAATGGTAGGTCCACGAATCAAGGCCCTAAACTAAATCGAGACGAGAACCGTGTGCCCATCGTAACTGTGGCTGTAACATTCTCAAATAAAGAAACTCACCTTCCACTTCTCCATGTCATCCTGCTGCCGCTTATACTGCTTGACCAGCTCCTCCAGAACTTTCTTCAATCCTTCCGAATTTGTCTGAAGCGCGGGAGTAACATCCTTTACGGTTTTTTCAACTAAGACTCCATTTATCATTCGAAAGCACTTGCGGTCCGGAGGAAGGGGAGCCAGTGTCTCTAGTACAAGTCTGTTTGAACAACGAATGAGCGGTGTGGCTTCCGAAAAGGTCTTCGCCAGCAAGCCGAGTGCTTGATCCTAGATGTTAGAGATCGAGAGCCACGTAGATTACGTACTTATGTTCTTCAGTATCTTGTTCAATGTCGCCGATCTTCTGAGCTAACTGTTGAAGGCTGTTCTTGTAGTTGGTGTATTGCTGCTGTAGCTCTAGCCAAGGCGGTCAGCAGCGAGAGAACAAAGCAGTACGGTAACATACCTTGCTGCTTTCTGACAGTGATCTGTGATTGTGCCATCATCGTTTATCGAGCCCGACACAGCAGAAGCGACGTTTGGTGGGGAGGAGAGAGTTTGATGGCGGAGCATCACAAGCTTTTGGACGGCAACGGATTTCTTCCGCACCAAACATGCCGCAAGAGGCTCTCCGACTCCGAGTCTCCACCACTACTCAGCGCCCAATCATTCTGACCCTGCAATTCGCGGTACCCTGTCACTATTGATACTGCAATGCATCCTCATCTACACACCAAAGACAACAGGGGTCTGCGCACTCATACAAAGTTGTCTCCACTAGAGAATCCGTACTGACCTCTCCACCTAGGCTGCGAAGAAGTAATGGCTGCCCTCGACGAATGCCACGCCCAAGGCTTTCTACACAAAGTCCTGGGCAACTGCAATGGTGCCAAGCGGGAGGTCAACAAGTGTCTACGAGCAGAACGGCTTGAAAGGACGGCTAAGAACCGAGAGAAGGCGAAGGAAAAGAAAGAGAGGATACAGAGAGTTTGGAAAGAGATCGATGAAGAATCGTGACATTGACGTTGAGGTTGTAGAGATCCTGGAGGTATTTAAGGGAGAGGATGGCATGCTGGACTTCATAAGGCTACACGACGGATTAGAGAGGGTGTACTTGGGAAGCATAGCGCGGCGTTATGCATTACTCGGGGACCAAGGAACACGCCGTCAATGCTTTCGAAGAAGACCAGGAGCCTTGAATCGAGCGGAGACGCGGTCAAGTGGATATCTTCTCTACTCAGGTCATTGGCGCGAAAAGTCACAGCCATAGTCTACTCACTGAAGAAACCATTGAACGGGGTATCAATTCGATAGCATTCTGCCTTATTCGGTGCCTTCATTGCCATTATTTATCGCAGCGGTTAGCCCTTCAAGCTGTTTCGACTTGTGTTTCCTCTTTCTTTTTCGCTTTGCTTCACGATCTTGTGTCTCGTCAAAGGGTCCGTCAAGATTGCCTACAGCGGAGACTCTGATCTCTGACTTTCTCTCTTCAGCGTCTGGAAAGCTTAGAGCTTCATCCGATCTGCCTTCCCTCCTCGTTTCCTCTTTACGGTCGCTAACCGTCGCCTTCTTCGGTCTCTTCACGCTCAACGGATTCGGGCCTTTAGGCCCTTTCACTTTCTTTTTCTTTCCGGCTCTCTCCTCACTTTCAGTCATGCTCTTCGCATCTTGGCCCTCTCCCGTAACTGCATCACCGTCATCTTCATCCCTCTTCCTCTTTCCAATGAGCCCTATGCCTCTTGTCTTCAGCCCGCTCCTAAACTTTTCCCTTTCCATACCTTCTCTGGCTTTGACACTGCCCGCAGCCATAGGCTCCATCACCATTACACTCCTCTTCACAAAGACCAGCGGCACCCCCTTGATCCCCCTGCAATGCCTTCTTACGTCATCATCCTGGCTTGCAACAATATAACGGTTCTTGTTTGTGTGCGAGTTCTTGGGGTCAATAACAGAATTGTAGCATTCGAGAGTTGAGAGCGGTTCGTCAAGGACATGGTGGTTGCAGCGTCGTCTTTCCATTGACTGAGCGGTGAGGATCAGAGCATCTTTTGTTGGTTGAGGGAGGTGCTTCAAAAGATATAGGTGCCGCATAGAGCATTGTGTAATCACTATTACAAAACGCAATGATTAGCTTAATTCCCATGACTGTAGAGACTGGAAATATACTTGGCTTCACCTTGGCGCTGAGTGTACGCTCCAATCCACCTACGAGGTCCATCTTAAATTTCTCGGTATCTTGAATGATTTGGGCATCGACTGTGAGAAGCAGCGTCAGCTGCAGAATATCAAGGGAAAAGGCTTGCAAACGGACTGAGAACTTGGTATGGGCCCCGGAAACCAAATGTCATCTCAAATTGGGCCATAAGCTTCCGGTATTGTTTACTACGCTTGCCCCTCATCTTGACTGTCGATAATTAATGTGGTCAAGAAAGAATTGTTCAGGTAACCATCCAGAAAGATATATATTTCCTAAGACCAAACTTCACACAATTGCACTAGCAATCCCAGCCCTACAGTCGCGTGCCTTCGCTTGCTACCGCAACTTTTTCTTCCTCCGCACAGAAGAGTCATAGTGAACAACGCCCCGTTTAACGTCATTAGTTGACTCTTCTCGATTGTTGATATGTATTTCAGTGTTGACCTCAGCTATGTCCACTATCCAGCGCCTCACGGGCGCTATCGCTGCTACGACACCAAAACCACTCCTCCGCCGCCCTACATTGGTCCGCAAGCGAGAAGATGACAATGAAGCACCTCCCTCTAGCCCCAGAAAGAAAGCCAAAGTCACTTTTGATTCGGATGTCGAGGTGAGGGTGGTCGGCGATTGGGAGAAGGCGCCGCATCTCATCCAAGAAGAAGTGCGCCGCGCCTTTGCAAAGCGAGCATTGGGCGACGACTCAGGCTATGACAAATTGAAGGATGTCTACTCCAAGAAGAATGGCAATGAAGAGGAGTTCAGTCCTGTCACAATCAAGAATTACACTATCTCATTACTCGCAAACGTTTCAGTGCTCAACAAATCGAATTCTGACTTGGTTCATGCTGTCTTGAGTAGCGACTGGCTGGGACGAACAGAAGACTATGTGGCTCTGTTTGTGCGGCTAATAGCAAATGTTTCATCAGCACAGGGAGTGTTCTTAGGAGACGTGGTGCAGATGTTGGTGAACAATCTGACAGCTGGTCAGACCCATCCTCTCTAAATGCTGGGGGCCTTTTCTAACGGTCAACAGCACCTCCATCTAACGGCCGAATAAGAGATCTACCGGTGGTTACACGCTTGATGATCTATGCTCGAGTACACAGGACCTTGCAGTACTTGCTACAGCTAATACCTTCCGCTGGTCGCATATTCTCCTCCACAATGACCACCGCATTTCCTCATCCAACGGACTCAAGGCGCTCTCATGTCGTTTACGTACAAAACCTGCTCAAACTCGTTGGGTATTCTCCGGAATTACGAGGGGAGGTGCTGGCGCTTATCACGGAACGCCTCGTCAAAATAGATGTTCAGGTGCAGGTTGACCTTGAAGACTTGGCGGAGGATGTGGGAGAAGGCTTGGTGGATCAGATTCCACCAGCCCGACCGGATCTCATGGATGACATGGAGGATTCAGACATGAGCGATGAGGAGGACTCTGACGAGGATGAGGAGGACGAAGAAGCGCAGAGAGCGAAAGAAATCACAAAGAATGTAGAGAAGATGGATGCGATCTTGGACATTCTGTTCTCGCATTACGAACAAAGCTTTAGTCATCCTTCCGTCGAGGAGCAAGTGGGATCCCTCAACATCCTTCTATCTCAGTTCGTTACCACCATCCTACCTACGCACAGATCTCGCCACACACAATTCCTTCTCTTCCATTTCGCGCAGCAATCTTCCGAGTATATCGACACTTTCGTTGGGACTTGTGTACAAATAACCTTCGACAAAGGCCAACCAGCTATTGTACGCCAAGCATCAGCAGCCTATCTCGCAAGCTTTGTTGCCAGAGGGATGCATGTGCCGTCCAATATCGTGCGAGATGTCTTCGGCTATATTGGCGGCGAGCTTGCGAGACTCCGTCGAAACCATGAGCCCAGTTGCCGCGGTCCGGACATGAGACGATACTCATCATTCTACGTCCTTGTACAAGCTCTACTTTATATTTTCTGCTTTCGATGGCGAGATCTCGAGTCTGCTCCAGACGATGATTTTGAAGACGACGATCTGAACACTCCCTACGGTCAACAGCATCAATGGAAATCTGGGGTCAAAGAAGCTCTCTCTCAGAACGTCTTTTCAAAACTCAACCCACTCAAAGTGTGCTCGACGGCAATCGTCACCGAATTCGCCCGGATAGCGAATCATCTCAGCATTGTCTACGTCTATCATCTACTCGAGACCAATAAAAGAGTTCGGGTTCTGCAGTCTGCCGGCACCGGATATGGCCAACCAAACCGGGAGACAGCGCTCTCAGCTAGGAGAGACGAAAGCTACCAGCACCTGGACGCGTACTTTCCTTTTGATCCTTACCATTTGCCGAAGAGCAAGAGGTGGATAGAAGGCGACTACAGAGAATGGAGCGGCATTCCCGGTTTGGACGACGAGCAGGCATCAGAGACTGACAGTGATGATGAGGAGGGGCTAAAGAGTGAGGCAGAGGAAGGGACTGAGACTGACGAGACTGGCGGATCTTTCTAGGCGTGATTGACACGATTCATGAGTCTCCAATTTCACGATCTTGCATAGCATGCATAAGGCGCGGCGTATTCCATTGTTTTCTATTCCCGGTGTGGATTTAGGGAAGGCATAAAAGTTGAGGGATCTGGAACAGCTGGACAATGGCTATTCACTCGTAAATACTTTAGCGAAGGAATTGAGAGATTCGACCATCGTGCATTTCCAGGCCACGAAATCTTTCAAGCATGTTGGCAGCCTTTGCCATTGGCGGCTTTTCCGTACGCACAATTATGAGTATCGAAAAAAAAGAAAGGAAAAGAGGGAAATCAGGGAGGTGGATGCATTGCGGTCACCGCTGTGTAGAAGCTTAGCGCTCAAGATGCTTTTGCCTCGCTCACGGCTTTAAAACAATACATAGAAGTACCTATGAATGGGAAATACTGCTGGTAGGCGTCCAAATGGGCCTCTAAATCTCTTCTGAAAGAGCTTCAAAACTGCAAAGGAGCAGGGCAAGGCAATTGGATTCCCTAGCGTATTCAAAGGTAGACCTTTCCGAGGCAGCTCGATGGCTGTGGCGCATCGGGATTCGAGCTCATCAATCCAAAAGAATGAAAGAAAACAGCAATCACGGTTTTCAGAGGGTCAATACAAGTGTGTTTGTGCCGTCACGGCTTCTCTAGAATAAGGTACTGGCCACAGGCCCTTCTCGGAGGCTGCACAGCGGGCGGCTCTCAGGGCTTCTCCGCCTTCATCTTAACACTCCCAATGTAGTCCAATTTCCCGACAGGCACCCCGTTGTGTCTAAGGATGTCATAGGCCGTCGTGAGGTGGAAGTAGAAATTCGGCAGCACGAAATCCAAGACGTAACTCTTCGCGGTGGTAAACTCCAACGTCGCCACTTTCACGTTCAGGACTATCTCCTCCTCCTCCTTCCCGTCCATGCCGTCCTCCGGCACCGTCTTCAGGAAGTCAATCGTCTTCTGAATGCGTGTCTGTAGCTCTTCAAAGGTGGTTTCGTCGTCTGGCATTGGGACGGCTTCGACTCCGGCGAGGCGGGCGGCGGAATCTTTGGCGTGATCGCTGACTCTCTGGATTTGATATGGTAGAGCGGCCATGTCTTCGATCAGGCGGGCTTCGAGAAGGTGGGCTGGGGGGAGGTTTCTGGTGGAGTGGTGGAGTCAGCGCTTTGTTATTTCAGATGAGCATTTCGGGTTCTCGAAGGATGTTTCTGGAGTACGGAAGTTGGGAGATATGTCTCAGGACTCCCGAGGATGCCCAAAAAGGAGAAATGGGGCTGGAGGATTCATACTGTGCATCGGCGTAGGTTGAGCCCTTAGAGAGGATGGCGGAAAGGTTGGTGAGGCCGCGGATGAAGACCGGGACAGTGATGTCGTAGAGGGAGAGAGGCATTTTGGGAACTTCGGTGGGTTTGAATTGCAAAGTGTGAGAGAGGGATATTGGAGTATAATATCATCCTGACGTTTGGAGGCAGGCAGATATTCATCCCTTCACCGCCCTGGTTGATTTCAAAGCAACATTTGCTAGTCCTTTGAATTATAAATCACCTTTGTATGTTTTGATTGTTTGGTCAGGTAAAAGGTACCCTCAGGCGACTCGAGAGCTAGGGAGATGGCCCGGGTCGAAGCGCCAACTCTCAAATAGCGGCGGGCTGGTGCACCGGTTCTCCTTGGGGGCATGGGGGGGTGTTTACTCGAGTCGGAAGGTGCTTCCTGCGGGGTCTTTCTTGCTAGCCATATGTAGTATAGCTTGCTTGGCTGGATCCTTTTAAGATCCTTAAGGATTCTTCCACAGAAATCTACATCCTCTTCCTCTTCTACCCACACGAGCTGATTCCTTGCTACCGTACCTTGTTGTTTACTCGGAGTCGGTGCCAGTTTCCAAGCGAGCGCGAATAATTGGTTTGTAAGTACATATGCCTCTAAAGTAGCTCTGTAGATTATACTGATTACCTTGCATACCTAGCTTTAGCTTTCTGGCAATCGCAACATGTACCTAAATTTATACATCCCCCATCCCCATCCCCCTTCCATGCCACCAGGAGCAAACTCTCTAAGGTCGACCTCGAAGCTGCCGACGTCCTTGAATGCTGCCTTCAGGTAGATGCCATGAGCGGCTTGCGAAGACTGCAGCCAGCAATACAAGCCATGATCATCAGCCTTGTCCGTGACCCAGCGTACCAACGCAGTGCCAACGCCATGACCTTGCGCAGCTGGGTCAACGACGAGCGTGTCGAAATGTATGTACTTTCTGTTGGCCATCCAATCCTTCTGGACTCTGACGTAGTCCTCCTTGAGCACTGAGCGGAGAGTGCGGCCATCATCTTTCTTATCTTTCGTCTCGCCTTTCACTCCTTCGACCCTCGTAATCCCTCCCTTGCTCTCCAAGTGATCATCCTTGTCAAGGAAGCGGCATGCTTGCCATCCCAGGATGTTGCCTGTACCTTTGCTGATGGCCTTGATCACTGCGAATTGGGGGTTGGAAAACTGTGCCTTGAGCATGTCCAGCAGCATGCTTTCGTACTCGTCGTTGTTCTTGAACATGAGCCGTGCCGAGTTGTCATGCGAAAAGGCGGCCATGTGGACGCGTATGAGTGATGGTATATCATCTTCCGAGGCTGGGAGAAGGAATGTTGCGGCAGAGCCAGGTGGATTCATGGTGAGACAGTAGGCGGAGGGAATGGCAGCCTCTGGAAGCTAACCCGATGCCCCGTATATGCTAGAGACAAAGATTGGGGGTTGACTATTAAGAGTACGATAATTGCAAAATCTATGGCGAAACCGCCTTTGAGACGAAGCGCTACTATGAACATGGAATCCCTACCTACATAGCGTAAGCAGTCCTGAGGTGGGGTTCCCCAACTCTTTGTGGAAGGTACTTGAGACTTTGTTGACTCCTCCTTTGAGAACGACGTGCTCCTTTCTACGCTCATTGGAACGGATTCTGCATTGCCGTCTTTCGAAAAGTGTTTGATTCGGCAAAACGAGCATAGTCTCATTATCTCGGGACCGAGCCCAAATTCGCCAACATTTATTATTATTCTATCATACAATGTATCCATGGCGGAAAGAAAGGGCATGAATGTTCCGCTCCTCTTTGCCCACAACCACTCCGAGCTACATATGTTCCTCAACAAGACATCGGTAGGTCATCTTTGGATCATGCTATCTATCATCGTTAGTCAACGCCAGAACTTTAGTGGCAAAAGACCTACGTCCGGGAACTCTTAGCTGTTCACGCCTACGCGGCTGGCCTCAGGGCTGAGGCGTAGGGTAGTTCGCACGCTTGAGCTGCTTGGATTTGGCAGCCACAGGTGCCCTTTTCTCGACCGACCAGATCCCAGGCGCGCCGGGTTCATCATCCGCCCTTTTCTCCACTGACCAGATGCTAGGCGCGCCGGGTTCATCATCTGCCCTTTTCTCGGCCGACCAGTTCTTAGGCAAGCCGGGTTGCTCATCTGCCCTTTCCTCCATATGAACCACCGCAGTCTGCTCAGCGCGTACCTCTTCGACCATAGCTGTATGGTGTGTTAGCATCGTGATGGCTTTCACTATGAAGATAACGTACCACCGCGTCTGCCGATAGGAGTGCCAAGGACACTGAGGGCCAGGGTTGCCAGGAGGACAATCGTGAAAAGCATCGTGTCGATCGTCGCTTTCAAAAGGGCGCTATCAGCACACTGACTGCAATAGCAGGACAAACAGCTGACTTACTAAATTATTTATCGTATTGGGGTTGGATGTGAAATCGATGTGAACTTGGTGGTGTCGTTTCTACTTCTGGTGTTTGGCTTTGATAAAAGCGATTGCTTCTGAAAAGTGAGGCAAGGGAGAGAGAAGGAGGAGGATCTTTGCTTTGTATAATAGAGCCTTGGGTCTTCGGCTCCTCTTCTCGATCAAGGGTGACTTGGATTTTAGCCCCAAGAGAGTTTTTCCGATCAATGTGCGTCGAGGCTCCTCGCTCGTCTTGCTGGGATGAGGCAAGCAAATGACTGTCAATGTTTCAAAAATGATGAGTCGAGACCACTAGGCGGGTAGGTGCACACCGATGATCTGATGTCTAGCCCGGAATACTTGTGGAGACATAATCGTCCGCGGCCGTACAGGACCCTGCTTCTCCCCTCTGGACCGCCAATGTGCGAAGGAAGAGTGCCTGATACGGCGAAGGTAATAGGCCAGGACTTGCCAGGTACCTCCGTCACCGCCTCCCGAGTCGCCGGGCTCGTGATTTTTGGTAATTCTATGTTCACCAAACGGGTCGGTGCTACGATGTTCAAGTCCGACTTCCTAGTTCGGAGACTTCCTGATTGACAGAGGGGTTTTAACGGCCGTTCAGGACCCTGCTTCAATTATGCGGGCCGCCACTCGGTGGAGAAGAAGTCAAACATATTGGAGATGATCTAGCAGGTCCGTAGCATTGGCAACCCTGCCTAAAGGTGCTTGACTAGCTTCGTGGCTCTGGTGGAAGATGCCGTTCCTTCACTAGGATGACGGCGCAGACCTTATTCGGGGTACTGTAGGCTCGTTGAAGGCCCTTCACCACGAGATACCAAAATGCAGCTTTGATGGCCGTCTGGTAGGCGGGTCTAGCTTTGGTGTTCTGGCGCAGATGGAAGGCCTTGTAGATGAAACAGAACCAGCTTCCCTGTTCCGGACCGCCACACTGATTATCTCTTGGACAAGGTCACAATTTGCGAACAGTCGGCTACATGCGTCAGAAAAATCTCCAAGAGTATGTATCGTCTTGTCTGTTGTGGTGGCAATTGTTAATGAAGGCTTCTGGCAGATTCTACGTGGATGAATGATCGTCTCAAGGTATCATCAGTAACAGCATCATCATTAAACGACGATGAATAAGAAATTCTATTACTTGCTCTTAGTGCTGTCATGATCGAGGCTTTGTGTCCGTGGACAATTGGGCGGAACTGCGGGACAGTTTGCCTGAAGGCCTAGCACTAAGCCAACGCATACAACATCAAATGTAAGCAGGGTCTACCATACACAATAGGATCAAATTCTTAAGAGGTCTCCCCAGACTAAAATGCCGGTCCGACTATTTAGGTTCTGGATCTCCTCGAGATGAGACATAGTCGTAGTTGATAACTCGACCGGGGATTGTCTCTTCGTCCGAGATCTTGATCCACTCGCTGGCATTCTTGCCATCATAGACCCTCCATTTCTCCGCGAAACGAAACACTCTATCAAAGTCTCGACACTTGTGCTCGCCGTATCCTGTAAACGCCGCGTCCCGTGTCCCCAACGCCACTCGAAATTCCAGATTCGTGTCGACGTGGCATTGGAGTGCCTGGCGGATGTAGTCCAGACAGTGCACCATGTGCTTGTCCGTCTCGGTTGTCGCGGCGCGCTGTTGACCGGCGAAGTAGTTCTTGCGTATGGTAGCCTTGTGGGTCGGATCAGCAAAGGTTTGTCCTGGAGATGGGAATGGAATAACTCACAAGACAATGAAGCTGGTGGACGAAAGCTAGATTGACTATTTCTGGACCAATAACCGGATGCTGCACAACACCAAGACCGTCTAAGCATTCATCAGTGCGGCTCTTTCCATCGTGGGCTGAATTAGACATACTTGGGAGAATACTGCGCCATGCTTCATCACTCTCCGGCGACGGTTTCATCCTGAACTTCTCGTCGAGCGTAAATTCTGTGGAGAAGAGACCAGGGGGAACTGTAACGCGAATCTCGGTTAGCTACGATCTCTTTGGCAGATGCCTTCTCCGGAGACGTACTCAGAATCGAGAGGTCTTCCGCAAGTGCTGTCTCGTTTGAAAAGACGTATTGGCCGGCGACGAGGCTCATAATCGTGAAGACGCAACCACAAAGAAAGCAGGCCAAACTCGAGACCCATTTCCACAGCTTCCGGCTGACATTTCTGGTACCAATTCTCGAGGGAGTCGCGACTTCTTCGTCGTGCTCCTTGTTCTGGAGAAGATGATATGCTGCCATGCTTCTATGTCCCTTAGTACGACTGAAACTCCGGATGCTTGGAGCTGATCAGAATCTGGACGATTCCTTGAGCTTTCCGACTGCGTACTCCGAGAACCGTCAATGGTAGCATAGGCCTTACAGTGCCTGGGATGCGTCCACTCGGGCGGTATTCTCCGGCATCTCCCCTGTCCATATGGCGATTTCGATCTTCATTGAAGTGTCGGACATACGTCCAAGTTGGGGAAAGAGTGTCTGTCATTGCCGAGTCATGTATGTTCTCCTCGCTTGAAATGTGTCAGCTACTCAGCATCCGAGAGCCCGTCCGTTTGACAGCGGAGTTTGAAGTGGGGCGTCGCGTATGGAGTAAGGCGGCAAGCAGCGTTCAGGCAAGGCCGCCTACATATGCGTTCCGTAATAATCTCGGGCCGTCGGCGTTATCGTCGCTTTAAGCCTTGGCTGGTGGTGGCCCAGTTGAGAGGACAAGTCATGGAAGACGCGTTCCAGGGCCAGATACATACCGTATTCAAAGCCATGGCTCTCTTGGATTTTCTAGATGCACAAGATTCAGAGCGCGCGGCTCCAAGATCGCAGACAAAATCAGCACCGAGTCCGTCAAAGTACTCGCCGGTTTGCACAGCTCATCGCCTCCGTAAGCCATCTACACCTGCCCGTGCTAGCTTTAGGATCGAGTGCCTATACTCTTCCAGTCGTGCAGCGGAACGGTATGATGGGTCTGTTTCAAAAATGATACCGCTGACTTCCTTCAGAGAAAGGCCCTGATGCTAATCCCGAGCCGCTGGTGCCGCAAACTTGGAAAACCAAGTAGGCTCTTGCGGGAGGCCTACAGCACTTCTGGCGCTATCTACTGCGGAACGTTATCGGATGGCTGTTGTTGGGCTGCAGAAACGCGGTTCCACCGATGTATCTAAAAACATGAACGCGAATGCCTAAGGCCTGAATCAATCACAATACAAAGCGTTGTGCCACATTTCCGTCTGAAGAATGATCTGCAAAGAGTGTTGGTATAGGTACCCAACTCCCCAAGATTGTACCGTACTGTCTTCGGTAAAAGCTGCCGCTGTTCTGCAGAACTGGCACGACTGAGAGCTTTGGCCAAAAGTAAAACTCATCAGGGCCTGATTTAGCCGTGGTATTCCATTCCTACGGCCTAGAGTCTGGTCGCGAGAAGGGAGCTTGATCCGGACGTGTGCATGGCTAAAGGGCGGCGAAAGAACAAAGTGGCGGGCCAAGTGCATACTGCCAAAGAGGTAGAGTTACTGGTACACAGCTGGATCTCGGTCACGCACGGAAGCACACTGGAGCGAAAGTACCATTGACAGCGTTCTCCCGAACTCTCCAGAGTCTCATCCAGAGCATTGGGCTCTACCCCTCTTCCAAGCTTCCAAGCTGATGATTCGTCTTCCACCCTCCCGATACTGCATTGCATACTCGCATACACGATACTAGCCTATGATCAGCATAAAAGGCTACCGACAAGGCATCTCTTCGTTCGAGCCGAGCCACATTCGTGCAAGCGCTCGGGTACGTGCCTGTATGATGTGCATGGCGCTAGTTTTTTGACGACCGACCATCGATGATGAATTTGCTCATTGCGGTGTAACATAATCCCCAGCGTCCAGCTCTTCGCCCACTTCCGACAAAAATGTTTGCACTCTAATTCGGTGTAGATGACTAGGAGAAGTATTGGCATCATCATCTCGAAAAATGTGCCAAGCGTTCAGGACTGTCCCTGAAGAAATCCCACTAGCCGGATTATCGTAGGACTTTCGATTTGAGGCTGTGCAGGACACAGCTTTTGACTGGACGAAAGCTCAGCGATAAGGCATTACCACGCAGCCTGATCTTCCCAGTTGAGGAAGATCCTGCATCAGCATAAGCGTCCATGATGCCTTCCTGCTTCCTTGACGCTTGCCTATGGCCGTAGGCTATGAGCGAGACGCGGGCACCCGCAATCGTTGTAGCTGGAAATCCAATGATGGGGTATCTAGACGCCGCCTGGTGCGGTCACTTGACCCAGATCCGCACGAACATGGACTTGGGTGAAGCTGTCCCCATACTACGGACTTCTACAGCTACCCCATGCGCCTGAGTGAGGACCGTGACCCTCAATCTTTGCACACCCGGTAAGTTACAGAGAAATGCGATGGCACTGAAGGCTCCCTTCAGCAAGTCTCCTCTCTCCCCCATCAAATTTTGAAAAGGACAGTATCCACCGACCTCCATAATTCTTTCTCTCATTTCATTCCAAGACCCTATATTTGGTCATCCTTTGCTTGTACTCCTTGCATTAACCACACCATCACCTAAAGCCATGGGAGACGGTCAAACTGTAAACGGCCAAGCAAAGGTCATCGTCGCTGTTAGTGCCGTCCTATCAGCTTTAGCCATCCTAGCCGTCGCTCTCCGCTTCTACACCAAAACTTACAAAAGCGCAAGAATCCATAAGGAAGACTGGCTGATCCTTGGTGGTCTGGTAAGATCATTCTACCCTGGCTGATTTGAGTGGCTGCATTATTTTCTCTCTCAAATTCGCTTACAGAACGTCAGGCTCTCACGCTTGGTGTTACTATCAACAACATCGTCGGAGTCGCAGTCGGTGGCATTGGCGAGCAGGAGATATGGACCAACATTTACGCTGGCGATGGTGTTCCATTGTTCCCCACTCCCAAAGAGTTGCTGCCTGATGGCAAGGTCATGTTTGTGATGCAAATCATGCATACATGTGCCATGCCGGTCATCAAAGCTTCGGTCCTGACTTTTTACTGGCGTATCTTCGTCACTCCGGTCAACTCCTCTCGCAACCTCAGAATTGCAATCTGGGTGATCGCCACCTATGTGCTCCTCTGGTGGATCAGCATCTTTTTCGCCACTCTTTTCCAGTGCAATCCGATCTCAGACAATTGGGGAACCAATCCCTTGCAGCTACCAGGCTGTCCGAACAACATCAACGTCATGTATCAGACTGCCGCATTCACAAATCTCGTCAGCGATATAGTAATCCTGGCGCTTCCCTTTTTCCCTATGAGGAAGGTTCAGCTTCCCCTGGAGAAAAAAGTCGCAGTGCTATGCATCTTCATGACTGGTGCCGTGTAAGCAAACAATGTCACCGTCAATGAGAGAATGGAAAGCTAAATTTGTTATCTAGTGTAGTCGTAGCTGGTATTGGTCGAACGGTGTCCTACTTTAAGCTTCGAGACCTCGCAGACTTCAACTTTTCATGTGAGCAACTAATTCATCCTCTTCCCGCTCAACGATCCATCTTCAAGTCTTCTCTCCGCCCTCCACCTCAGCTTTCTCACTAATTCTTACGCTTAGTCCACTATTATTGGATCGTGCTCTGGACCTCCATCGAGCCTACTCTTGGCGTCATCGGCGCCTGCCTCCCCACCCTGCGCCCTTTCTTCAACGGCGTATCGCCAGAGTCCGTCATCCGTTCCATCCGCAGCCAGATCAGTCTTCGCTCCTTGCGCTCTCCCAAAAGTTCCCCAAAAAGTTCCCCTAAAAGCTCTCCCAAAGGTTCCCACAATACGACCAGTCGCCCCGGACCTGCAAGCGAATCGAACGAGAGATTTGCGCACTCGGTTGAGGCCGTGGAGGGTTTTGGTACCGTCGACAATCATATCACCTCTATGGAATTGCAGGACAGGAATCAGTTGGAGAAGATTTCGGATGGCAGGGGGAACAGTATCCACGTTAATCGGGACATTCATCAGCGCACTGAGGATATGGTGTGATGGCTCCGACGGCCCTCTTGGGTACTCTTGCGTGGAGACAATCAATATTACACGCGCGGGATGCTTCGATGGGGTGGGTGGAGAGGTGCTCTTACGCTTGGAGAAGAACAATGCCACTGATCGAAGTCATGAATCTATGAACGGCAACGAGAAAAGAAACTATGACTTGTTTGCGGGTGGGATGGGAGCAAGCCCTTCCTCCTTCCTGCTTGCTTCGGGTGGTTGTGGTAGCGTGTCATTTAGAGCTTACATACCTTAGCGATAATATACTTTCTATTGATAAATCCATTCTTTGAAAGAAGTCGTGTCTCACTCACAGATCCTTCTCACATGGCGAATATCCCTGCCACCCAGCACTGCTCAATTGCTCAGTATGCCGCCCTCATACTCTGCCTTTGCCGGGATACCACCCTTCTGAAGTTCCCATCCACTGACTCTCGTATCTTGAGAAAGACCATTGATTGCTTCGCTCAAGCCTTCCTTATACGGCCATCTAAGAGCAAGGTTCTGCTCGAGCTATGTGATACATTCAAGCTTACGGTCTCGATGTCTTTCACACTCCCGGTCCTCCTTCACTAAGGCTCCCACCTGCACAGGGAAGTGAAAACCTCCGCACTGTACTCAACGTTATCGCACGGTACTTCTATCGGCTCGAAAGAGTCTTATGGATGTCAGGATTCCTACGCTATTTGCAGCTTGTGGGCCTAAAAATTCTGCTTGTTGAAGGGTTGTACGATTTGTAGTCTTATCAGTCCGCAAATTTCTCGAGCTTCTAAGAAAAGCTTCACTTCGCCAAGCCGCCAAGACGCTAGGCTGTATCATCTTTTGAGTTTCGAGGTTTCTACTATTTATTTGGACAGGGTGCTTGAAACAACGCTTTGCTCATCGCTGAGTGGGCTACTTATACCCCTATTTGCCACCATGTGGGGTAGCTTCAACACAGGTGCTGCAGCAAATCTCAACCCAATGCGTCAAGTGTAGCTTCAGATTCAACACAGCCTTCGTGGGGAGGGACTGCTTCTTTACGGTCTCAGCTTGGGAAGCTCGGAGACAGCGACTTTTAGTTTGTTGCCACAAGGGCCATCGAGGAGGCATAATATCCACGTTTCTAATCTAAGTCGACCGCATGTTCCAATAGCTCCCAATCGCATTTCAGTCTATCCGCCGCATACACTCATACTTCCCTGCATCAAACCAGTCCATCAATCATCGACCACCTCAGAAGCTCAGTCTACGTCGCCTCTCACCTCGACCTCTTGGCGAGATCGACCTTGCGCGCCTTTCTTCCGGAGCACGATACACCATCTGCACCCACTCCTGCGTCCCCCAATCATCCCTGGATTCACGAGGCTTGTAGTCGTTTAGGTTCAAGGTGAACGCTCTCACATCTCTGAAGCCGGCCTGATGGAAGAAGGGCCTCTGGCCCACAGGGATTTGTGTCCAGATTGGCCAATTGTGTCTATCTGCATACTCCACAGCCCATCCCAGCAGTTTAAAAGCCATCTCCCACGTCGAATCACTATGTGAAAATGGCCACATAGCAAGAGTATTGACGACTAGATGTGGATTGGTGATATACCTGGCTTGGCCATCTTTTGACCGGGTTCTAAGCTCAAGAGCTAGGCGAAAACCAGGTTTATCGACGATCAGCTGTCGTGGATCCTCACCCCTATCTCGTGCTTCTGTAGCTAACAACTTCAACGATGCACAGACGGAAAGATCACTGGCTGCATAAGAATTCATCGAGGTGCTGTCAGGTACGAGCCCTACTGATATCCATCCGTAGCCTGGCACATTTTGGAGTTAGCATTCCCACTCAATGATCAAGGTTTAAGTAAGAAGACGTGTTTGGAGAGTAGAAAGAGTGGCAAAATGGCTAACTTGTTCCTCCAACGTATCTCGCGACTCAAGAAGCACTTTCGAATAGGAAGAGATAACTCCGAAAATTGCCTTACTCATGCCTTCGTCTTCGTCAACACCCTCCATCTCACAGCCCGGGTCCGGGACCAAACCTTGCGTCACGTCGTAGGCGATCATGAATCTATTGTACTCGGAGTGCAAATAGGTCTTCAGTATGTCTTCAACCGCCGGTCCGGGATCGGATCCGGCGTACATGACTCGCGCGAGCTTGGGGTTCTCGAACGGGAAGGCTTCCCCAAAGATAGCGTACATGCCGACGATCTCTGACGTTTCGGCTCGGTCGATTTCAATCTCCAAGCGTCCTGGATTGTAATTTCGGAATCAGTATTGCCTATTCGAGGGGTTGCATTGAGCCCTGGAACATTTCTACAGAGTAGAAAATCCCAAGACATGTCTCAAGAATCAAACCTTGGTCCAAAGGAGGAAAGATGGACTCAAAATATACGTACGAAGAGGTCGGGGAGGCATTACGGAGATTCGTACTGGTATGCTCAAAGCTCGACGATGTCACTTCGAAATAAGTTAAGGTATGGGAGGTGGTTAGTAGGATAAGTCTTGCAAGTCACATCCGGGGCGAATGATAAAAGGATGAGGATAAAGTGTTATGCCAGAGGACGTAAGCATTTAACACAAATAAATGCGGCCAGGGAATACTGTGATTGGTTTCCAGTCGGCAATCACGGCGTGGAGGCAGCCTCACTTCTTGATGTCGAGCGGGGTCGTCAGGAGAAGTACGCGGTGATCGCCTCACGCTCAAAAGACTGATTGGGGGAAGGACGAGTAAAAAGAAGGTATGCAGAGAAGGTCCCATGTGGCCCGAGCTGAAACAGCTATGCAGTGCATCTCTGATTCTAAAGTGTAGACCAGGCCAGTAATCTATCAGATTCATTCGCTCACCCGACAAATTGAGAAATGATCGACTGTTTGAGAAGCCTAGTACCGTCGTCCGCATTCCCAGTTTCCGATTTTCAATACCCACTGCGTCCACTTCTGCCACCCCCAATTCCTCCTTCTCCTCCGATGTTCTTCGTTGGTGTACCCGGTGAGGTTCAACTCGAAGGAACCCACTTCGGCGAAGCCAATTTCTTGGAAGAGTTCTTCCAGGTTGCCCAGGGAATTCTGGGGCAATTGCGCCCAAAGGGGCAGACCCTCTCCCTTCGCGAGGTCCCTGGTATCATCCATCAATTTGTAGGCGATCTCTGGAATCTCTTCTTCAAATACATCCGGATGGATGGCGAAGGTGTTGATGACCAGGTGTTGTCCATCAATCTCTCTTTTTTGACCATCGCGGTTCCTTCGGCAGAAAATTAGTGGAAGCTGCTTTTTTCGGCCAGTGAGTAGAAGTGAACCTTCTGCTAAGTTGCGTGATCAGACCAGCCCGCCTCACCTCGTCCACGTGCAGTGGGCCTTCGCTTCTTCCCAAGTGTAGCAACCGGCGACCGGCCCAGACGGTCGAATCGCAGAACTTGAAGTGGTCCTCTTGATCCGAGGCCACGAGGCTTACCGACGTCCATCCGACCGTCGTGTCGGTGTATCTGTCCTCGGCTACTATGACGTGGGTGTAGTCGTCGTCCAGGTAGTTCCTCAGCATCTCAACGACCACGGGCCAGATTTCGTCGTGGGGGTACAGGAGCTGAGCGGTCTTGTCGTCTTTGAACGATTTGATGAAGATGTTGGCCATGGCGCCGACGTCGCCCCTTTCGGCTTCACGGGTCATGATGAACAACTCGTCCAGCTCCGTAAAGTCGAGTTCGGCCGGTGAGTCTCCTCCGGACTCTGTTCCTCTGGGCATGGTAAAGAGTTGGTGGGTACCTGTGTACTTCTTTTGGGGTACGTCGAAAATGGCGTGGAGTCTCGTTTGCTGAACTCAAATTCAGAGCTTCCAGTGGTGAAGAAGATGAAGGAGATAGGATACCTCTTCTAGGACTACAGTTTATAATGGAAACAGGATCAGACTAGTATATGAGCAGTCACGCATGATGGCATAGCTACACCTCACGGAGCTGGCGTCCAGTGAATGGCCTGATCGTAACAACGCGTGACCTCCAACTCACGTCCAGAGCCGAATGAAAGCAAGATACGGCAAGAAGGCTGTACGTGGGCGAAGAAGGGTCAGTCAGGCAGTTTTATTCTTCATTTCTCGGTATGGACCAATCAAACATCGGTTACATTCGCACACCCGACAGTGTTATCCGTCAACTATTGGCTAACTCAAAAGCGGGTCTTACTCGCCAGCTACTCGCCACCCGTAAAGCTGGTCTCTCCGTCAGCTATCGGCCAGCTCAGAAGCTCTCCCTCCGTCCTCTCCCACTTCGATGGCCCCGCAGATCTTCCATCCGAACATTACTCCTCCCTCTAGGATTCCGATACACCATCTGCACATACTCCTCCACCCCCAAACCAGCACGACGAGGCGCAAACTCGTCCAAGTCCAAGCTGAAGCCCCCGACTCTCACGAACCCCGCACGTACCAAAGGGCCGACGTGCCTTGCGGGAAACTGCGCCCAGATCGGCCAGTTACGTATCTGAGCAAAGTTGATGGCCCATGTCAACAGGCTTTGGTAGATTTGCCCGGTAGAGCCTTCGAGATCAGCGGCAAAGGTGTTGAGAACCAGATGTGAGCGACCGATGTATCGATCCTGGCCCGCACGGGAGCGATTGTCGACCACGTCCGACAGCCCTAGCCTCGCGTCGGTCAAACGCCGTGGATCCTCGCCTCTGGCGCTGGCTCGCTCGGCCCGCATCGCCCAGTTCGCGTACACGGAGAGTTCGCTGCCCGTGTAGTCGTCCACGTGGACGCCATCGGGGACGACGCCCACGGAGATCAAACCGACGGGGATGCGCGTGTCGATGTCCATGGCGATCATGAACCGGACTTCCCTCTCGAAGTCGATGTAGCTCTCGATGGTGTCGAGGATGGTGGGCCAGACTTCGCTTGTGGTGTACATGAGCCGGGTGGCTTTGTCTCCGCCGTACTTGTCCAGGAAGAGGTCGGCCATGGGGGTCACGTCTGAGGGGACGGCTTTCCAAATTTCGATGTCTGGGGGCGGAGACGTGGTGGCGGGTCCTGGCCGAAGCGGAAGATTTTGCATGCTGGGTGGAGGCCTTGTGGTGTATGTAAGTGGGAAGACTTTGCGGACGTATTGAAAATTGTAGAGACGGTCTTGCTTTGCTAGGATGGACTCTGAATCTTTGAGATAGGAAGATGAATGCTCAGACGGCGTAGCTATTATACCTATTCAGAGCACAAGATCGGGCAGACATGTGACGACACCTCGTGATGGCTGGCAGCGCATAGTCACATCGAGAGCCGACGTAGCCCGCGGCACTCCATGGCCAGAGACGAATGGTTGCAAGATGCGGAGCGAAAGGCGTTACGTGGCGAGTGTAGACCAATTGCATTTCGATCGATCCCCATGGTCCGCCCGGACACACTGAAACAAGCATTGACATTATACAATCTCTGCTGAACTCATCCGATACGCTCACTACACGGCTACTTCACCCCTCGCCCCCGTGACCTCTACGCATTCCGCATCGGAGCCCTCAACGCCATCTGCGTCCACGACTGAGTACCCCACTCCCCTGCTCCCCCAACACTCCCCTTCCCTAGCCTCTTGCCTATATGTTTGAGAGTGTGTGCTTGTGTGGGAGATACAATGTAAGAATGGAAAGTCGTAGCGTGAGATTTTGTTAGGTGAGCGGGAATGTCGACTGCTTTGGTGACGGGTGTAATTTCATGCTTTGTAGGTATGTAGGCATAGAGTACGCCCTGAAAGGAGTATCACCAGGCAGCGAAATGATGGGGTTTGGCTAATTGGGACGGCTGACGGACGCAGGTTGGCGTACGAGCTCGCCGAAAAAAGGGTCTGACTACCGCCTCACGGACACAGACGAGTGGGAGACGATCGAATATGAATCCCGGACGCACAAGGGAGCGGGGCTGGGTCCCGCTGAGGTCGGCTTGAAAAGCTATATCCATGTGAGCAGTCCGGTAGGTAAGTTGTAGAGCATTATTGCATGATGCCTGGATTGAGAAGAATAGACGCTGAATGATGTTCTTATGTGAAGATGAACTTGATGGAGTCTTGCTGCTAAGGGGGCTTATCGCTATTCTAGAGGATGCGGGAGTGTAGACATCAGCTACCGATCAATCTCCCTCAAGTCTTTAATTTTCTTTTCCAAAAGAACCAGCCATCTCCGTCTGTCCACAACTTCTTCCGTCGTAACGATTGCTGTTAGACGACGGTGACGTGCGGCTCCGTCCTGAGAAGCCGTTTCGATGAGCGCCGAGCTCGAGCTCGATTCCACCATGGACATATGGATGACTAGGGGACGCTGGATAACAGCCACAGCCGTTCAGACCCAATCCCTCAGGTCGTTCTGTGAGCCGTTGGAATGTCCGTCCGTTCACGACTACTGCCAGCGCAGTTTCACCTTCATTCTGTCCAAGGAGGAAGTTGACTAGTGGGTCGTAGTGTTTGCAGAAGCCGAGGACGGAGGGGACGTGCTCCTCGGATTGGGCACATGTCCACGAGTACCTTCGGCCTCGGCCGTCTCAGCTATCGCCCTTTCCAGCAGCGATTCGGCTCTGCTACCTAGCTTCATCTGCCTCCATGTCTGTATGCCGAGTTGTCTCCCATGAACACCCATAGCCACTTCCTCCGGAGGCTTGAAGGCATTGAGATCCAAACCGAAGGTACCGACGTCATGAAATCCGTTACGCCCTTGATGATATCAAAGTCAGCAGTACTCTTTCGGGAGAAACTCTGAGTCGCGAGACATGTCTTAGGAGCAGAGAAATCTTGAAATATGTCTGACAATCCGTAAAACCGAGTGGATGGGGAAGAATTTCCTCGGAAAGTATCACGTACAGAACAAACCCTCGTATACAGTTGGGGTCTGGACCCATATGGCCCAGTCAGTGCTTCTAGCACGGTCCACGGCGCACCTCAAGAGCTTCCCAGCAACGCCGAGACGCCTGTACTCTGGGTCGGTGACGATGGTGTTTATCACTAGCCTATGTCTGAGCATGTGGAGACTCTGGCCATGGCGAGATCTGTCTTCTAGCTGCGCGGCGAGAGGGTAGCGATAGTCGCTCGCGTAGCTATGTATCAATTTCTGCGCTGCCCAGCTTGTCATCTCGTTGAATGCAAATTCCGGCACTCGCCCCAGTGCAGGTATGACGCCAAAAGACATCCAGCCAGCGAGGCGTCTTGTATGCCGAGCCACAGCTAGTCTGAACTGGATGGCGTCATCGTCGATGTAGTCGTGGAGGATCTCTTGTATAATTGGCACAATTTCATCTTTTGTATACATGAGTTTGACGGAACCATCTAGGTCAAATGAATTGATGAAGACGTGGGCCATCGTGGAAACACTGGAGTGCTGGGCTGGCAGAATGTCGATGTCCAGAATACTTTGCATGGCGGCAGCTGTCTAGGGGTAGGAAAGCGTTTTTGGCGGTCCCTGGTTGAGTATGAGGAAAGCCTTTTTGGTGGCAGCTGGTTTGGTAGGTGGAGGGTCTTTTGTGAGCTGATGACAGCGAAAAGGCTTTTCGAGGCGTTTCCCAGTGGTAACGCCGAGTCGTGGAAGGATGGAGTAGAATTGTGGGGAAGTATGTGAATGTCTAGAAGACCGGAAGCCAGGAGGCAACAACAAGGTCCATGCAGTCCAGCATAGCTGGCAGCGTATGAGATCATCACGATAGGGTCGAACCGGCCTCTTGATGAGAGGAAATGGTAGTCATCGCAATTGGACGTTGAGGTTCACGTGCCAGGAAGGGTGAGTGCTGTGGATGGTTAGGGTAACTCGTCAAGACCGTGCAAACCTGGTCCTGAGCTCTCACTGCAGGACCGCGGACCCGAAGAGCTCATAGGTTGAAGGGTAATTCAGGCACCAAGTGTTATGAGGACGTATCATACGACTGGCCAATTTTGAACACGATTCGATGTCAAAGCCTACCCTTCCGACACTTTGACCCCTCACGGCTGTTGTCCGTGTAGGAACCTAGCTCAAGACATGGCTTGCCGAAATTGACTATCGTCTCGAAACGTCGAGCCGCATAATTGGCCAAGTCTGAGAGGGTTTCCGTACTGTACTGATGTTCTATTGGAGTACAGCGCTGGGAAGCGCTGAGAAATACTTGCCACCTGGTGCTGGCTCGCCATTTGACGGGTGAAAGCCGAACCAACCTGGGTCCAAAACTGCTCCACCCCCAGGTACATTGTTTCTTGAGGGATTGTCCCCTCTTGCTTTGGGCGTAGGATCATCGAGCAGAGCTATTTTAGTTCTGCCCTGCTCCCGGTCTTATTGGTACCATTGGCTTGTTAGTTTTGCGAATACTGGGGGCGGCCAACAGGCCACATAGCTCCCCGAAAAAAAGTGATAGCTCATTTTCAAAGAGAAAACACAGCATAATCATGGGACCGCCAACCGGACAAAATGTGCGCTATCCAGGCGGCACACTGGGGTTGAGACTTATTTCTTGCTAGGCTGATTTCACTTTTACCGGCTGAGGCAAGCGCAGCATGTAGTTCCATTTGTAAGTACCAAGCGAGACTCCTTTCCCCTTATCGCACTGCCGAGACCCCGAGGCATAGGAATCCAGATCCAAGTTCAGCTCACCAGCACATGTGAAGCCTGCTCGCCGAAAAAGCCCCTCCTTGAGCGCTCCCTGCGCAACTGCAGGGTCTTCCGGTGCCTGAACCCAGATTGGTCTCTTTCTCATGTCCGCGATCTCTGTGATGGAATTGAGTAGCGCAGAGGCGACTCCACGTCCTTGGTGTAGAGGATGAACGACGAGGGCATTGATGACCAGACGACCAATGGGGACAAGGTACATTTGGGCCTCGGTGGCTCGAGCCTGGATCGTCGACGCGAGACCTTGGCCGACCTTTCTCTGCTTCGAATGCTCAGCTTTCTCCTTTGCGCTTTCCTTCGTTGTTGTGAATCTTGATATTTGCGAAGGCAGGACGTGTGCAGCTGTCGTCCAGTCCAGGTACGCTGATGGATCTACGGGCCTTGCTTGATGCGCATCTACCTCCTGACATGCGACCCATCCAACAACCTCGCCAGTGGATTCCCTCACGGCAGCATGGAGCACAAAGTCCCGTTCATGGTAACCTCGTTCGAGCATGGTGAATATGGCAGCCCAAAGGTCCCCGTTACTAGACATGAGCCTAGCAGACGGGTCGCGATCAAAGACGCTTGCGAATATAGTCGACATTGGGCCAAAGTGCGTCTTTTCTGGCAAAACCACCCTGAAGGGGACTTCATGGTGAAAGACGCCCGTTTCCGTTGAAGATTGTGACGAAAGAGGGGACGATGCATCGTAGTACCACTGGGCCTTGTTGAATTCAGATTCTTCTGTATCTCCCTCGGCTTCGGAAGCCTTAGGAGCAGACTGTTCTGGTTCGGCTTCTTCTTCTTCTTCTTCTTCTTCTTCAGCCTGTCGTTCAGGTTCTTGCTGAGCTTCTTGCTCAGGATCTACAAGATCCCATCTGAAAGTGCTCATGTTCGACTCAAGATTAACAACTCTGGATCTTTTCCGTAGTATGTCCAGATGAGCATTCAGTGGATCCATAACAGGATGGCTTCCCATTGCAAGCAGGACATCTCTAGCGATTGTCTCCGCATTGTATTTCGAGCGCCTGAGGGCGTCTCGACGCTTGTGTATAGGCTGTACGATATCTTTCTGTTGTAAGACGTCCTGTCTAGGTGGCGTGTACACTGGCTCGACACTCCCACTATTTTCTTCGACAATAGTAGACAGCGGTTTAAGTACGAGGGAAGACGACTTTTTCTCGTTTCGATGTAAGTCCGCTGCCTGCGGTACAAAGACATTTTCCTGACGTTGGTGTCCGCTGCGAGCATAAAATTTGACGGTTCCCTCAAGACTCGGGTGATCAGTCCACTTCAATCTGTCGGGATTGCCATATTTGGTGATGCACCCAACAAAGTGTCCCTTGACACCGCGTGCTCGTGTAAACTGTGTATCGCATCTTGGACAATGATGCCGACCGCCGTTCGTTCTGACCTTCTTTGGGGAGGCTTTCTCCTTGGAATAGACGCCGCAGGCCTTTGTATAGACAGTGGTGTCAGTCCTACTAGACTGTCCATCGGTACAATATCTATAGTCCTTGTGTTCGGCAGATCTTAAACTGACTGTGAGCTGCGATATAGGAGCTAGTGGGCGGACATTGGGCGTGGGGATACGCGGTGCAGCCGTTGGGGTAATTTTGGAGCCATGGCTGGAGACCTGACATTTGCCGCTGGCGTCTGAAGTGGATCTAGTACTGAAGCTAGAGTTCGACGGGCAAGCATTGTCATGTCCATTTCCTCCCTTGATACGAATGGTAGGCCGTTTGGCAAAACTTTTCGACTCAGAGCAATGTTCGTGAGCTTCCGTTGGATCTGAAGTCGACGTGCCACTCAGGGTCTGTTTCGTAGGAAGGCGTATAAGCAGGCCTTTTCGTGGGCTATCCTCCAACGATTCAGGGTTTTGTCTCTTGGGCTGACTCAACCGAAGCCGAATGGGACGGACCTCCTCCACTGGTGTGACGGTCTCTTCATGTCCTTCACGACAGTGGCGGGGGAGTTGCAAAGGCTTGCTGAACGTCTGATGGCGAGACTCGTATCCGCACGGCTGGAGAATTCTGCTCATATGACTATTCTCATGGTGGATCAATCCCCCACGATCACAGAAACTTTTGTTGCAACCTTCGTGAGTGCAAGCAAAAGGTCGCTCTCTTGTATGCATCTGCATATGGGCCTCCAAAGATTCCCTTCGAGCGAATGTCCTGCTGCAAGAACCATGTTCGCAAGCCAAGGGGCGCTGCTTGTGCGCGCGGTGATGCTCAGTCAGTTTTTCACGATCCTGGAAAGCCTCGCCGCACGAGTCGTACTTGCAGGCGAAAGGCCGCTCGTTTGCATGAGTTAGGTGATGCTGATTCAAGGCCCCACGGTCATGAAAAGCCTCGCCGCAAGACCCGTAGTCGCAAGCATAAGGACGCTGATCCGTATGCCTGCGGTAGTGGGCCTCGAAAGTTGATATACTCTTGAAGCTCTGCCATTGAACAAAGACTAAATCAGCATATATTTATTCAAAGAATTGGATAGCTTTGTTGCTTACCTTACTACATCCATCCCACTCGCACTGGTACGACCAAAACTTCCGAGCACTGGCCATGGCAGCTCTAGTTTAGCACGCCACTGGTCTCTACCACAATTGGTTTAGTTGCCTGGAATCTGCCCAAAGGGAGGAGCACAATGCGAGTTTTTTGCTGTGGTCGTACACAGGCCAGGTAAGCGAGACTATGTGGATCAACCCAAGGTAAGCAGCGAGGTGGGGTGTACGTGGAAAGGCTATCCGTGTTTCAAAGGTCTCCTAAGTCGATTCAGTATAATAGAAAAGAAGATAGATATTGGAAGGGAACGGGAGCACGAGTGGAGAGAAGAACTGAGACGTAGGGGACTGACAGTCGAGGAGGCTGCTCGTGGTAACCGTACGGCGAGGTGGTAGGCTTTCGGAGTTGTAGTACAAACTACTAGAATGACGTGTTTAGCGAGCTTATTTCGAAGAGGATGGAATCTCAAATCTGGCAAACAAGACACCTGAAGTATTTATATCGATGGGCAATATAAATCGTTGGTTAAGTAACAGTATTTGAATGGCACCGACCACTCCATGAGAGATCCGCCACCAGACACTTCCCACCCTCACCGGCGCCCTCTTCACAAATTGCACAAACCTCCAGCAATCCTGCAGCCGCAGAGTCCATTCGTAAAGACCCATAGCTTGTAAATCTATCGTCTCAATTTCAAATATGTTTGAGATCGAGACATCAACCTTCATGCATTTCCTTCTGAAGCGTCAACCCTTCCTTCTCGGCGTCTTTGCATGCCGACTCGCGCCTTGTTCTGCGAACGATGAATTTGAGCATATAGCTTCCCGAGAGGGAATAGTGTTCCAAAGCCGCTGTCAGTCGTGCTATATTGCGGAAGCCAGCTCGTTGGAAGACTCCAGCTACGGATGGCCAAGCTTCGAGGCGGGCAACCATTCACTCCTAGCGTCCTTTCTTACTATCTGGCCTTGGGCCTGCGCACCATGAATTTGAGCTGATGTATGTCCAATTGCGGCTCGAATCCGGCAATCTGTTGGAACCCAGCCCATTCAAAGTCCGCCACAGCGAAGAGCGGAACTTGGGCAAAGACAGAGAGTCCATCTTTGTCGGCACTGTCCGTAACCGAACAGATGAGCTTGGGCGTCACACCGCCAAGATCATTCTCCGGATCCGTGGCCACATTGTTGATGACCAAGTAAACGTCATCGCCCATGGCGAGCGATTGCGCTACTTTCGTTCTGGACACGATCGCTTCTCGTAACATCTTCCGCTGTGCCTGACGAGAATTGCGCTCGCTCTCTCCAGAAGTCCTACTAAGCTTCCTCTGAGCCTCCGCCGCCTTGAATGCTGCTGCTACCGTCCATGCAAGCTGAGCAAGTCCGTCCCATTCTGAAACTCCCGGGTACCCCACGACACTACAGCAAAGCCAGCCGACGACACGACCCAGTCTTTCGTTCATGGCTACACTAATCGCGTAGGGTCGATTTTCGAGACGCTCGCCGAGCATCGTGTTTACAATAATCCAATGGATTTCGTCGCTACATAGAAACTTCACACAATCGTCGTTGCGGAAGGCAGCCAGATGAATCCTGGCCATCGGAGTAAGATGTTTGGATTCTGCGGGCTGAATGCTGATAGGATTTTCCGCATGCACCCTTGCAATCTGAAGCTCCATACTTTCCAAGGTATATAAAGGTGGGCTTTGAGGCGATTGTGAGCTTTCAAGAGGAGCGGAAATGGTGGGTCTTATATTTCCTGAGCAGAGAAACTTTAGCATTCGTGCTAGAGGCATGATGATCGTCGGCAAGATGCCTCGACTGTTTGTCAAGCCCACCGATCAGTGCTTGGGACTCTAGTAATCGAAGGGATGACCTCGAGATCAAGATCTTGTTTGCCCTTGCCGACGTGTTAGCAGGTTTCTGGAGACACGTAATCCTACGTACAACAAATGGAGTCTCGATGTCCTAGGTTCGAGTCTTTTCACTGATGCAACAACTGACACTCTCGCAGTGCAACGACGTCATTCTCTTCGTATTGCGAAGAGCCTTAGTGGCTAGGGACCTATTGATTTTGCGCAAACCCTACAAATTCCTAAAGCCGCTGTACAGCCTGTGGCTGTAGAGTCGGTACTGTACACGGCCTCGTGGTTGTACGACGAATTCGATCACTAGTGGTTTTTCCAAGGATTCTTCGACGTTGTTTCTCTTCGTTCCTGACGTGGCAGACCAGGGTCGTACCATGAGGTGGTTGCTCCGGTGTGGTTCTGATTCAGAGATACCCAAGGCAGAGTTTGAGATTCTGCATCACACGAGGATCCTAGGTTCATCAGCATGAGGTAATGGTCCAAGGCTAGGAAATCTAGAGTGCTGAACCCAGTGGGGTGACTCACAAGTTGATCTAAGAGTGAAACATGCTCGACGATGCGTTGTCCTGCCGCGTGATGAATTTGTCAGCTTCACTGTAACGTTCGAAGGTCAGAAGACCACTGCAAGCGGGGCCAGCAACATTGTACATCCCCAGCGTCCTGGAGATCGTCGACGTCCTGTTTTGTTTCGAAAACTGAATACCCGAACACCGATGATAGAGTCTCTAGAAGCTCAATGCCCTAGAAGTGGTATGCTACAGTCTTTCGGTGTTTACCTCAAGGTGAAATTAAGCCTATGAGACGGCATTGGTCCAGGTTGCAGCGCGCTGGATCCGATGATCGTCAGCCACCTCGCTTCCGACATAATGCTGCCACGACACTAATATCATCCAATTTGCCTAGCGTTTCTTCAGCCAGATAAGAGACCCTCAAGAATTAGTGGTTTTTACCTCCTTCCATTGCTAAACCTTCTTCCACTGCTCTTTCCATGAAGGGGCTTTCAGCATAAGGGTCTTCGGCGACGATCCGAGCAGCTTTCATGAGCTCTTCCGCTACAAAGAGCATACCACCAGCAGCACCACCTGCTCTGTCTCCGGAAGCCTCCCCGCCTGCTCCAGACTCCCATTTTCGTATGCTGTCAACGACATTCGCGAGAACCTCATGTTCCCAGAGATTGTCAACGACACCATCAGACATGGCGAGCACCACGTCGTTCTCTTCAATGATTACCTTGTCCATAACAGCGTTAGCAATGGGCGTATCTGGACTGTTGGTACCCAGTTGCCGTGGGCAGTCGAACCAGTGCCATTGCTCGCTAGTTTTGTAAATAAGGCTCTGATTTTTAGGGCGCATAACTAGACACTGGGAGTCTCCTAAATTCGTTACATAAAGGAGTGGTATTCTGGGTTCGTTGGTACTGTAGTGAAGAAGAGCGGCACAGGCAGTTGTAGTACCATTCCACTCATTTGGTGACGAAGTCGCTGCTATTGTCTGCTCATATGCTTTCTGTAGATATTCGACCGGGTCAGGCTCCGAAGACGTAGCAGCAGCGTCTGTGACAGAAGCATCCCGTTCTGCCTCCAGAGCCCAGAAATGGAGGATTAATCTGGACCAGAGCCTGTGAATGTCAGCACACAGACATCCATTGACCATTCAAATGGCATCGCTTACGCAGCATGACCCTTTTCCCTCGCAGCCCAAGCCCCGACCCCATCGTTTGCCCCTATAAAGTTCTCTCCTACAAGAACAGCGTCATCTCCGTTGGTGATACCCCTTATGAATTCTCCATTCACGTAGGTTCTCCTATCTCTGCTTCGGTTGTGCGTGCTCAACGGGTCTGAAAAGGATCCCGAAGGCGGAGAGAAGAAAGGTGGAGGGAATGGCCGAGAGGGGCGTTTGGCGAAAAGAGAATATCCGGTGTCGAAGTAGAAAGGCGACTTGGGTTTCTGGTTAAGGGCATTGGCTGGCAAGGGGGTAGTCGTGCCCGAGACGGAGACTGTAGGTGAGGAAGTGACCCATCGCTGCTGCGTGGGAGATTGAAAGGCACGGCTTCGGATGGCAGCTCTCATACCAGCTGTTGGCAGAAGAGGACGTGTCGAGGGAGAGACCGATGTTCTGGGTCCAGGAACTTCTTGTTCATGGTCGAACAGGATCAGGTACGATCGTTGTTCGATTCCATTGTATACAATTGCTCAATCGAAACGGAAATCTAGACAGTCTCGAAAAATGGACGCAAGAATCCTCCCCGCAAAATACACTTATTTAGCCGCTCGGTAGGTTAGCGCACGTCGGCATACCAAGTGACCACACCTCTTATCCAAATGTTGAACTCAGCTTCATCGAAGCTTCACCAAGTCAATCATGCCGACTGAGCGCGAGCTGGCCATTTCCCCTCTAGTCCAGGAATCAGTCCAACATAACACCCAGGTATGTGTACTTCCTACATCTCTCTTGCAACCCAATTCCAAGCCCTGCAACCACTGACTCCTCCCCATAGGTGATCTCCAACATCCGCTCCCTGACCGCCTCTCTCTTCGGCGTCGCCTCCGGTATCCTCGGTCTCGAGTCCTACTCTGGTTTCCTCTTCTACCTCCTCGGCACCTTCTTCGTCTCGATACTCATCTGGAGCATATTAGCAAAGGGCAAACAAAGGGATTACTTCCAGGGAGTGTGGAGCGAGCTGTGGGCCGGAGATGTCTTGAACGGCGGTATGAGTTTTGTGCTGACGTGGACGCTGTTCTACGGGTTAGTAAGGGCTTGATGGGTTTCTGGGGAGCTTTGCGGGAAATAACACCAGGAGAGAAGGGGGAAGGGGGGGTTGAGACGACGGGGACTACCAGCGTCCGTGGTGGTTTGGGGGCTACGGCCCAAAAGAATGACTGCAGGGGACCGGGTTGCGTGATACCCATTGAATTTGCTCTTTTCAAGCATCCCGGGACAGGTCTCGACCTGACGATGGTGACTGGTTTGGTCTGAATGACCGGACTAGTAGTCATTACGATTTGACCAAGATCAACATTCTGCCACTTAAGCCACATATGTATCATTGCCGAGCGAACGATATGTCAATGAGCGTCCGTCCGCATCCCATCGATACACCCCTGAATACTCTTCAACCTTACATACCACACCAAAACCGCCAAAGCTCTCCTCCCCCCAAACAAAAATATTGGGGGCCTCCAATCTTTTAGGGAAATCATCTCGTATCTGACTAAGATCAGAGCTCACTTCCAAAGGACCTATCGGGCCTCAATTGATTAGCTGCGTGCGTGGTGGACTCTAATCTAACTGATGCAGCGCCTTTGCCGTTGAGCCATTGTCGCTCCGTTGCCCGAACGGATCTATTGTAATGTGCCCTGATTTTCGATGCGTGAGCTTGCTTTCCTTGACTTTGGAGGTCCTGGCAATGCGTGGATACCCTCAAAACTGTGCCAATGGACAAAATGCACCCTTCAACCTTGTAGATGAGAGAAAGAGATATTCACGAGAATAAAGGGCACACTATACGTCTTGAGCATTTTTCTTTGGATCTTATTGGTTCTACAGCAGCCTCAAGCTACATCAATAAATCCCCTCTTCTTCCTCCCCTTACCAATCACCTCTTCTTCCTCCCAGACTTTCTCATCCACATACTGCTTTTGACCCATCTCTCCCATTCTTCTTCCTACAAACCGCAACGCCGCAAGATTAAATCCCATCTCATCCTTCTGCGCCTGTAACGCTCCTCTCAATTGCTCGCGGATCCCATCCAACATCACTTTCAGCGATTTGCTTGCCACGAGCTGCTTATGATGCGTCTTAAGCATGAAAAACAGGATACGGCAGGTCAATGGCATGTTCCACTGCCTCTCAGCCCAGATGCGCAGGAAGGTGAAGAGGGAGACGACTTTATCAAAAGGGAGGACTAGGAGAGCGTCTTGGAGGGCGGCAGCTTTGATCTTTTGGATAACGTTGAGGAGATGCGATTCGGCGGAGATTTGGTTGTAAGCTAGGAAGATGGGATCGCGCTGTGGTAGTGCTAGATTCGGCTGCGTCGCCTTGGCTCGATGATACTCATTCATGATAGCCAGATCTGTGATGCCGACTTCAAGTGCTTCGGCAATCTTCTCGCCCGCCATGAGCGTTTCAACGGTCTGCTTGCCAGCAGTAACGGCTTCGCTTTTCTCATCGCCGGCTTCTTCTTCTTGCTCGAGGGAAGTAGTGAGTGTGCTTTCGTAGAGCTCCTCCAATTCCTTTTCTCGCTCTTCCTCCAGAAATATCTGCTCGTCGGTCTGATTCCAGGTTCGGATACTTTTGTCATGACTTGCGCTGACGAGGAACTCTCCCGTTCGGCTCACGGCTAATGCCCAGATCTCTCCGTGATGACCTTCAAGTTTTTGTATTTGTTCGAATTTGTCACCGTCCCAGTATTTGATGATATTGTCTTTGCTTGCACTAAAGAAGTGATGACCATTGCCGTCTTGGTTGTGAGGAACGAATGCCACTTGCATGATACTGTCTTGGTGTGCAAAGAACGCCTTATGGCAATCGCCGAAGTCTAGACCCCAGAGCCGTACGTTCTTGTCGGCTGAGCAGGTAACTATCAGCTTGCTGTCGTAAGAGATGTCCATGCTTAGTACGGGCAGCTTGTGGCCATACAAATTGAGGAAGAGTTTCAATGAGTCGACGAAGAAGACTTTGACAGTGTTGTCAAGGAGCGAGAGAGCAAGGAGCCGTGAGTCGGGAGAGAAGCGCAAACTGAGTATGTCGTCGGCGACTTTGAGGGTACGGGTATGGGCGAGCTTAAAGCGAGGCGTTGAGCGTTTTGTCCCAGGTATTTCCTCCTGGACGACCTCGAAGTTGAAGAATTTGGCGGACTTGTCAGCACTGCCAGTAGCCATAGATCTGCCATCCGGGTGCACATGTAGTGTCCACACAGGTCCCTCGTGGGCCTTGACAGTGTCTATTAGCGTAGACGAAGCTATGTCAAAGATCTCTAGCTCCCCATTCCGATTGCCGACAATCACAATCTTGTCTCCGGGTAGAAAAGTGGCACAAAGCGCGTAGCCACAATCGAGTGTTCGAATGCAGCTTTGTGTGCGTATGTTCCATAGTTTCAAGCTACCATTACTTGCAGACGCCAGCATCCTGTCGTCAGAGCTGAGAGCTAAAGATCGCACATCTGTGCGATGTCCCGGCATATCGACAGAGAAAGGCCGAGTATAGTCCGGTGGCTCATCAGCTTTAGAATGCTTTTCCTTTTGCCTCGTCGTCACGTTGTAGAGTTCCAGCTGATTGTTCGTAGTCGCCGCCAGTAGATGGAGACTTGTACCTGATCTTCGGCCAGCCCAACTGAATGACCGGACCTTACCAGCGGTTCGGACTATAACATAGGGAACGATGACGTCCGTTATGAGTGCTGATGACAGGTCTTCGGATTGCTTTTCGCTGTCCATTAGCTCATCAATTCCTTTGGTGTCTTGACTTGCTGCAGCCACGGCTTTCTCCTTTCGTCTCTTCCTCTTCCTTGCCAAGGTTTTCTGTACTTCGCTCTCGCTCCGGATTCTCCAAAGCTCTACAGCTTTTTCGGAGCCATGTGCTGCAATATAGCTGCCGCGCGGATGAAAGCTCACGCCTAGGGTGCGGTCTTTGCCTTGTCTGTACAGGATGCCTCTTTCTTTAAGAAAGGTCTTTGGAGAGCTTTCGGAAACTTCACTGGCGGCCTCGCTCAGACCTACCAGGTCTATTGACCAGACTTTTAGCTCGCCATCGTTTCCTGCTGTGATGGCACCTGATTGATCAGCCGATACTCCCATTGACCAGCACTCGCCATTAGTCTGAGCAACATGCGTTTCTATACAATGCTGCGATTCGATGTCCCAAAGCTTGATGAGCGCATCTTTGCTGGTAGATATCAGGAAGCCTGCGTGCTTCTCATCGTCTCCGTTATAGCTGTCGGTATGTACTCCGTTGCCATTTGTGTCGCCGTTCACGGTCGAATGTCGATGACTTGTATAAAGGTAATGAAGGCCTGTGATTTGGTCCTTGTGTCCTCGAAGTTTGAAAAGTCCAACCTCGGCAACTAGATCCCATACGATGGTGTCCGTATCTTTTGCACCACTGGCAAGGCGAACGCCTTCTTTGTCGAAGGCCAATGCAGTGACGGCAGACTTGTGACCGTTGAAGCCTATTATGACCGTAGCTATTCTGGAGTCCCATACTCTTATGCTTCCATCTCCATACCCTACAGCGTAAATCTCTGGATCGGCGTTACTGCGGGCTATAACTGTGACCTCTGCGCTGCAACTACTATCTTTCCACCTTCCCAGGAGCTCCCCCTTCTTCAGGTCCCAACATAGTACCTCCTCATCGGCGCCCACAATGGCTCTTCCTGCACCCGAGGAACGTAGCGCTGCAGTATGAACATTTTCGTCCTCACACCAGACAGCGTTGGAAGAAGCAGACGTTATGAGGCCAAAGGTATTGGAATACTCATACTTTCTACGACGGTCAGCAAAGCAACAAATAGGGTGTGGAAATTGGTAGACGCACTTACAGATAAGACTTCACCATGTTGCAGTGACCTTGTCAAATATCGATGTCCCGTTTGTCTTTTTTCGCACTCCCGATTCAACTGCCGAAGATTTACCGAATTAAAACCGACGCGTTATCGCGTCGCGTGAAACTAGGCCTACGTGAAATAACCTCGAAATGTAGCCCCATCTCGACCTCATGTACTTATCTGAAGACCCAGGGCCCACAGAAACATGTGCAGAAGATGGCTGAGCCGGAAATCATCAGTATCGAACGGGCACGTTTGCCCAAGATCTGGAATCCACGGCCCAGCTATTCGCAGCATACGCTGATTCACTAGGATTGGATCTTCCATTTCAGGAATTCGATAGGGAGCTCAAGTCCCTTCCAGGAAATTGTGCTCCTCCGACTGATGAGACTTTAATGGCTCGTGGCAGTCATGGCACTGTTATGGGATGCGTTGCTGTACGCCCGCTTTTCCCGCCAGACTTCTGTGAGATGGACAGGCTTTACGTTCTACTCGCAGGACGTGGCTTAGGCGTTGGGGAGAAGCTGCTGCACGAAATTCTTGACATAGCAGCCTCGTTGGGATGTAACGAGATCAAATCAGACGACTTGCCGTCTATGATTTAAGCCATATCTCTCTATAAATCTGCTCCTAACACACCGTATTAGCCACAAGACTCCTCTCATTGGAACGGTATTCTTGGCTCGAGAGCTGAAGACATCTTCCGCAACAGCCGATTGGTCGTTCCTGGGGTGCTGAAGAGAGTAAACACCGTTGGCACGATAACGGTTGTAGCGGTACAGATCCACCAAGAAGACACTTCGCCTGACTTGCCTGAACATATTAATAGCCAATGCTTTGGCTTGGAGATCCGTGAGCCTTCGCACTTCTAAACTGACTGAGTGCAAGAAGGCCTTGGTCTGGACTCGTTGGCTGACTGTCAATGCTCAGAGCCTTCGTCCCCTACGTGCTCTACCTCTAGTGCTCGCCATCTACTAGTCCGCACTAGGCATTGAAATCTAGGTACATTTGGAAGGAATGTGCTTGTTCGGTGTCGTCAAAAGCAATGCACACCGGTCAAAAAGGAGTCTGAGATGACCTGAGGAACCAGCTCATGCATGCAAGACCCGAACTCTCAATTGCTCTTCAAGACCAAATTTACACCTGGCCTCAGCTGCTTCCTCCCTGAAATGCTTCTAAACCCAGCGAACCATCCTCCGTGCGCTAGCCCCCAGGAACCCAGCCGTGGATCCGGCAAGAGATGCTCAATAATAGAGCCGGTACTGAAGTGGAGATTGTCAAGCACCATCGCTTGACCCGCTATCCCTACCCATCTCCTGCAAGCCACCAGCTGCAACCCAGCTGAGCCCGAGCAGGCGTTCCATATACACGCGGAGATCAACGTTGGCGTTCGCACTCGCGAGGAGCGGAAAGCTACATGGAGCAGGGCCCAGGGCCTGGACGTACGCCTCATCCGCATCACAAATAACGATTCCACGGATAGAAACACGTACCGGCCGTGTCTACGATTGCGTAGAGAATTCCGGAATGACGGTCCGGTAGATTACCAGTCAGCCTCTGATCCTCTCCTGCTTTGAAAGTGATGGCATCATCAACACCACCTCTGGAATGACCCGTCGGGGCTCCGTACAAGCGCGAGTCGTGACGACGTTTTCAAAACCTCGAGGCTGTAGATGATCCTTTCGCATCGACGCATACTAGTACCAAGGATCCGGAAGGAATTCGAAGGTAAAAAATGACATGCTGCAAAAGCGGCCCACGGATTGGCTTTCGGAGGACCGGTCATCTCGAAGAAAAAAGGGGGCTTACTTTAGGGTTCGTGGAGATGGTGGCAGACAGGGATGGTAGTGGGGATAGATTTCATCAGAAGGATTTCAGGTACAGTCAGATTGTGGGTTAGTGTCAGATTTTGGTGCTTGTTCCTTGCGGACGGTCGACTACGGTATGGCATTCGCGAACGGTAGCTGGGGAAGTGCGTCTTGCCGCAATCCTTCAATCTGCGAGGGAAAGGGGTCAGAGACTACCGACGTGAGACGATGGAGTAGGTGGATGCATAAGGATTCGAATACGGGAACATCGATGCCTCAGGATTTCAAGCTGAGCAAAGCTGACACCTTTGACTCTCTGAAACGGTGATTAGTGAAGATGTGGCTTCTGATGCCTGAGGAATTTATGTGGTGTGAGCTTCTCGATGCTCATGGACGCATGTGCCCCGAAGCTCCAGGCTTGGGCTACGGCAAGCCCTGTGTGCACGCCGGATGCTCCTCCCAACCAAGGTCCCATGCTCGCTAAATCTCATCGCAACGAACGAACGAACGAACGGTAGTAGCCCACGCGGGGACATATACTCCAAGCGCTTTTTCCCTCCGAATGCGTCGCTAACCAATCAATCCTACAATGCCGTAGGTAGAAGAATCGCTATCAATAAATCGTAAGAATGGAAAAGAGCAAGAGCTCGCTCGCTTCTTTAGACCTTATACGGATCCGACCTGCTCTAGGATGGAACATGTGTACTCGGCGGAGCATAGGTGGTCGCTGGATCCCAGTCATATGCTGATGAGAAAGTCGATCCTCCGCTTTCTCTTCTTGTTGGAGGAGAAAAGGGCCTCCCTGGGCTGGTACTGCCCATTTGCGGTTGGTAAGATCTCCCGTAGCTCTCCCTTGAGAAGGACCTACCCGCACTCGGCGGTCGTGGGGTTGAAAAGCTCAAAGTTGGACTCTTGTAGTCTGCTTCTTGAGGCAGGGAAAAGCTCAGTGTTGGACTCTTGTAGTCTGCTTCTTGAGGCAGGGAAAAGCTCAGGTGCTGGCTCTTGGAGTCAGCTTCTTTATTGAAGTAGTCGCTTGTATATTGACTTGAGGGTGATGGTGGCGATTGTGGTAATCCCTCCTCGTGTTCTGAGCGTGGGCTCGTGACGACGGGGTCGGATGTTTTGGGCATACCAGACGTGGTTGGTGGTGAGGTTATCATTTCGTAATTTTTGGGGCTGTTAGAGTAACCGCGGGCATCGACGGAGGCGAAGTCATTTCGCTTTGTGAGGGGACGTCGGACGAGGTCTATCCAGCCAACGAGCATGGAGGTTCGGCCGATGAAGAGCAGAGTCCATATGCCATTTAGCTGGGATGAAAGTCAGCCACAATCAATATTTGTCTTTGGACTAGGTCCACTCACGGAGAGCAAGACCAAGGCCGCCATGACCGTTCCTTCGTTCGCTACTAAACCTTCTTGCTTCACTTTGTCCAAGCAGGGGGTCTTGTCGCCGCCATTGGTGACCAAGCAAAGCAGCCATGGCTCTGCCTTTTGTAAATCCTGCACAGCCGATGTGACGGTATTGTCCATCTGGACGAAGACGATTGACAAGAACACAACGTTTATGATAATGATAAGCACTATGGCAGTTCCTCGCCATTGCAACCGAATGACTTTCTTTACTCTCCGATACGCTTGTCCGGCAGTTACAGTCCTGATGCTGCCACTGTGAGATGAATGGGTGGGGAGACCGGAATTGACTTGCGTTATGGAGTTGGTGCTTCCATCGTCAAATAGTGATTTGATGTATACCTTGATACAGTAGCCGAAAGTAGCAAATTGCAAAATCGTCGAGATGGCGGCGAAGGCCAAAAGAGGTCCCCAATAGTCTTGCACAGCTTTTGTGTGGTTGATGTGACATGTGTTCCCGAATCTGTACGAGGTCCCGGTAAGTGGAAGTGTGATTGCAAGGAACAAGCCCGGTAGACCCCATCCTGCAATGAGCGAAGACCAGAAGAACTTTTTCCCCGTCACAACTTGCCAGCAGATCTGCAAGTGTATCGATAAGGAACGAAGAAAGCCTTCAACGGCCGGTATGTCAGTATGTCAGTACCTAAGATTAGATGGATGTACTCACCCCACAAAATCGCTGCAAAGCCTCCGAACAGCAGAAAAGCGCCGGAGAAAGCACAGGTCATATCTGAATACATATCGTTTGGTGTGATAGCATCATAACACTGCTCTGGCTCGACACCCAAAGGAATGATGAAGCCCAACTACGGTGGTCAGCTCCTCTGTCTGAGTACTTGGCATCGGACGACGTACTTGCAAGAAGCATATCGCGACTACCAGGCCAATTGTAAGGTAATGCCGGTTGGTTTTCTGCACCGGTAGGACGATGAAGCTGAGGAGCAGCGACATTGAACACACCATACCCGCAACATTGAGCCAGTTTGCGGCTTTCGGTATCGTATTGAAGTCTATGCATGCTCTTAGTTCCCCGTATCAGATTTCTCGATCCAGCTACCACGCACCGTCAGAGTATACCCATTCTGTTATAGGACATGGTAGGCAACAATCGACGGTGCCTTCGGCGGACGGTACAGGAGCGCAGAATCGGCCGTCGAGATCTGAATGCACGTCAGCAAGAAATTGAAGAGCATTCAAGATTCTCTAAAAGGCACTTACATCCCACAGTGCTAGGGAAATTTGACAGTTGCAAGAAAGGCGCAGTGCAAAGTCCTCGCGCCACCGTCAAGTTTGCCATTGGATAGAGAGCGCTTGCCGTTTTCGCGTCGAAATATTTTGGCAGTTTGATGGCAGTATGTATGTTCTGGTCCAAGGTCCATCAAAGACTCTCAACATCTCATCATCACAAAACACATGCTCCAAGTTTCAATGTTCTGCATCCCAATGTTTTGTGTCATAGATTTTGAAAAGGCTTTTGTGAGTCTAGAAGAGCAACAACGCGTCGCAGCACAGGCATATGGAGTCTATAGAAGCACGATGGAAAAGGCACCAGAAGCTCATTTGAAGATGCTGCAGGACGTCACATAGATTGCATAATTGAATTGAAAAGAGAAACGGTGATTAGAGATTGGGAATTAAAGTGATTAATACAAATAGAGATATCACCCGCCATTGTCAGAGCTATGACTCTATTGGGGAACTCGCACGATGGCGTTTTGGCAAAGTCTGATCCATACTGATCCCTTGTAGACCGCGGTTAGAAGGGTGTGCCCATCGAGCGTATCTCGAGGGAGCCAGTAAGCACGAGAGCATGGGTGCAAGGTGATCCTGAGGACTGCCATGTTGAGCCTCGTCGAAGTCCGGGCCCAACGGCGCGGGTTGAGCATGCGGCCAATGAGCTGAATAATGACAGGGTGGATTAAAATGACTTTCACACCTGCGAAGCCTCCTTCGGCTCATGTGTCGTTGAAGAGTTGCAGGCTAGAGCAGGTTAGGGAAGAGCGAAGAAGGGCGCTAAGGCGCAACATCACAGTCGAAGTGATTGAATGGGTGGGAGATCAGTCGCTGGGTTCTGTGGCGAGGCGCCGGAGGAGATGCGACTTTGGAAATAGCGCAGCGGAGCCCTGGAATCCGATTGGAGGACCACCCAAAGAGCCCCGAAAGATTGGGGCAATCCTTACCTTCCTCCGGGCAGGAGGTGGCTAATAGGTCCAGGCCGCAAGGCTGATCCACACCAGCGCTCTTCCCATCGCCGAGCTCCGAACCCTCTGCACGATGGCGCATGCCATGCAGTAGACAATGCGTATTTAAAAGTCGCTTGAATCCTCTCGCAACTTGCACTCCGATAGACTGCTGATGGAATACGCTCCAACTGTCGGCCTGACCGCAAATAGCAGTCAGCTTGGCCAACACGGTCCGTCGAACGGCCCAGGCCAGAGGAATTCCATGAAGGAGTATTACGAAAGGCTGAGCCTCTCAGCTTTCGTTTTCGTGTCTAGGTAGTTCAGCGTTCACGCGTTGGAGGTCCTTTCGTCTGATGTAGCTTGCCCAGCGAGCTGACCTGTAGGAGTACATGCAGACACTTCTAGCGGAACGATGGACCCGCCGCATGGTTTACTCGTAGGCATGAGGATCCCATTTCTCGTGATCAGGCCAGTCACGTTACGAATCACGGGTTTGCCAGGGTCGAATGCTTGCAAAGAACATTCGATATGATGACCGTTGGTGATCTGAGTTCTGACTGGTAAGGGTATGGGGCGACTTTCTTTTATAAGCGTCAGCGGCAAGAATGAAGGAGCTAGGCTTAACGGGCTTCCAATCATTGTGCATAACAGAACTTTTCTCTTCGTACCAACTGTGGGGTCATGCTGGCCGAAGGCTCCCTTGTGGAGACTCTTAAGGTTTCTATCTCATCGGAAGGGAGAGCGGAGCCTCCTGACTAGCGAAATTCTTACAGTTCATGGTTACGAATGCGAGTGTGGCTCCTGCAGTAATCTTAGCAGTGCCGACTCGACTTCGCGGAAATCAAAATTGTCGAAAGTCGAACTTGAAAAAATTCTCAACGCCCACCAATTGCTTCAAAGGCTTCAAAATTCGTCGACGTTGTTCATCAGATTGTGAGAAATACTCAACAGAAGTTCAACCCTTTCAGCTCGTGTTTTGATAGAGTTATACATTGTTCAACGATACTAGCGGATATCTGAAGTCGGCAATGTACTCTGACACCGACCCTCGAGCGCGCCGCTCACAATGGAGACTTCCCCCTTCGCAGACCTCTCAATTTTGGGAGAGAGAGAGTGGCGACATCTTTGGCTGGAAAAGATGGCAGACCGGGCCGGTCATAAGGAAATTAATGGGTGTCTGCCCTATCGGTATGGAGTCTCTGCATTCCTGCCTCAGACATTCCCGTGCAGCCTATCGTGCTGACTGAAGCGGACGGCTTCATGGTGGTGCACTTTCCACCTCCTTCGTACAGTCAGCAGTTGCAAGAGTCTGGAACCAATCACAGAGATCAAAACGCATCGAATGGGATCGAGGCGATTATGCAAGACCGATTGCCACCACGACTCTGCCGGTTCTCTTATCGTCGTGAACGATGTGTCTATGGAAATTGCGAGGTACTCTCACGGCCCCCACTACGCTGTCAATCAACATGAGTGTGTAAAGAATTTTTTCTTTGAGCCGGCGAGTGCAGCCGAGACGTGAGACCCCTATGACAGGCAGTGTTATCACATCGATTGTGACGAGATAGGCTTGTGATGCCAGGCCGCTTTGGCCTTCTCGTAATGCCTACACAACAAAGTTACTTGGGAATGGATTCCGAATGACACGTCGCCGCATAAGTCTGCCTGTAGGTGTACCAGGCATGACTGTACATTGGAACAAAATACTTGGACATTTATAATACAGAATCTCCAAGATCACCGCTGATGCAATTTCTTGATCCTCGTAGCACCCTCGTACACCCCCCGGTCTATCGCCGCAGCAACAGTCAGAGTACCTCCTATGACCGCGCAGACGCCCGTTAGGAAACCTGCAAAAGTCTTCGTTCGCTCTTCTCTGTTAATAACCTTCATCGGCGATATGTCGTAGCTGAAGAAGACGCCTGGGATGCCGCCCCTGGTACACCGTTAGCCAAGATTATTTGGGAAAGTCAAAGGGGGCGGCGATCTTACTTCGCATGCAGCCTCTCCTTATGCCCCTCCTGCGAATCGCTCCCCCCACTCAGACTCCTCTTATGACTAGTCACCGAATACTGGTGCGTCTCCAAGCTCCCATCCTCGCCCCTCCCATGACTTCCCACTGGCAAAAGATCATTCAACAGCGCATCATCCTGGCCCCCAAACGCGCCGTTCTTCCCCTGCCACCCAAGTGGGAGATAGCTCGTACTAACCACCTTGACAAAATACATATAATTGAACGCGGGATCGTCCGTGAGCTGCTCCGTCTGATCCAGCGGGTTCAGATGATGATTCGTCCAGGGCATCGCATTCTTTGCTCCGAGCCTCTGTGTCACACTTTCCGGTACCTGGGGCCCAAAGCGCAGATGATGGATGTGATGCGTAAAAGTATGTGGGTTCCCATCTGGCGTATCCAAATAGTTATTCAGATCATGCACATGCATCGCTCCATTGCTGAAACTCCTTCCTGGCGCAATGTGGAAGTTTCCAATGACCTTGTTGACGCGAAATCCGCCTTCGATTCGGCAGCCTTGGCCACGCTGGGCGTCTAGCTTTTCGCTGTAGTGTTCGCGTTCGCATTGTTCGACGTTTTCGCCACGGCCAAAAGCCCAGGAGACAGAGGCGTAGGCTTCACGCACTTCTTCGCAGGTGTTGCAGCAGCCGGTTTTGATCGCTGTGGGGGGTGCGATGGCGCCGTAGCAGTTGCCGCAATAGTCGGGGTCGAGGTGGGAGGCCGATTCTTCGCCGTGACTGGGAGGTTGTGAGAATGCCAAACTCGGGCACGGGTTGGGGAAATCTTACAGATTCAATGACGAGACTGAGATTGGGAGACCACCTTGAGATACTGGTGCAAGCTGGACCTTGCTTAGACCATCTTTGACGCCTGTTTGTTGCTCGCCAGATACGTCCATTACGTCGAGTGTGAGGAGTTCGCAGGGTATCCGGGGGAAAGAGACATTGAGATGTATCTCCATTCGCTCTCCTGCAAATTGCTATATTAGCACTTTTGGCTTCCACCACTCTCTCATTGCCTACCTCGCCCCTTATCCACTATGAGCTCAGGATGCACCGTCACCCGTCTGTAATCTGACCATTCTCCCCATACCAAATAGAAGACAATGAGCAAAGAAGCTATTGTGACAATGCCCCCTGATGTCGTCCGTATTCTTGCATCTTCTACTGTCTTAGTAAAGGCGTCTAGCCGAGTGAAACGGGATTTGGCGGGCATGTTTGCTCAATGAATGTGAGCTCGAGCCTCGAGGCTGGTCGCCGAATCGGGTGCCCAGTCAGAGGCAAGCCTCCTGGGCTTTGACGGCGAAGAAAATATGCAGCAAACAAGTCCAAGGCGAAGAGAACGATAACCAGCACGGCTTAACGCTCTTGGAAAGTTGTTTGTCAAACAAAAGTCAATTGCTATTCGTTGAGAGATTTGGACACTTCTAATTTCTCCAGTGCATGTTTTGGCGCGTGGCACGGTGAAGGTTTCCGCGCGCTTGCAGCACCCCCCGGATTCAGAAAGCAAACTCCACATTCGCTTCTGTCTTAACAGCTGTATTCCGTCATGCGATGGCCACCCTGGACGTCCAAGGACCCAGACGAGAAGAAGCCCGTCAAATGGAGCGACACCCTCAATGCAACAGACTGGACCCACTATACCGATCCTCGCAACGTGATCCCCGTCGTTCTCCTAACAGCAACGGTCCTCGGTAGCTACTCATTCTACCGCTCCTACCTACGACGCATACCACAAGCTGCACTGATAGCGCCGAAATTCTGGAGAAAGAGGAGCCTTTTCGGGAGGGTTACGACTGTGGGCGATGGAGATGGCTTCAGATTGTTTCACATGCCTGGGGGCAGATTGGCGGGATGGGAGTGGTTGCCTTGGAGAAGGGTGCCGGAGGGAAGAGCAGGGTTGAAAGACAATACCGTACGTGTGGTAATGGTGTAATTGGGCGATTAAGAGGCTGATGGCAAAGGTCTCAATACGAATAGCTGGCATCGATGCTCCCGAAGGCGCACATTTCGGCCACCCTGCGCAGCCATATTCGAAGGAAGCGCTGGATTGGCTTACAGGATACATACTACACAGACGCGTGAGGGCCTATGTATACAAAAAAGATCAGTATGATAGGGCGGTCGCCACTGTGTATGTGCGAAAGTGGTTGCTGAGGCGAGATGTGGGATACCGGATGCTGAAGCTGGGCCTGGCGACGGTATACGAGGCGAAGACGGGTGCCGAATTTGGTCCAGGACTGGAAGAAAAATATAGGACGGCGGAGTGGTGGGCGAAGATGAGAAGGAAAGGTCTCTGGGGAGGCGCCGACGAGAAGGAGTTTGAGACTCCCAGAAATTACAAAACCAAGCATGGACAAAGTGACTCAAATAGCAAGACCGGTTGACCTTTGATAATTGAGAAGCATGAATGTTGCCCTGTCGCCGTGATTTGGCTACCTCTTGATCGGTAACATACATATGGAACAATCATCCCTGGACTCTGAACGTTCGACCGCTTGCTGTCTTCCGCTCTTTCTCCTCGTTCTCCGGTCTCGCCCTGTTGAGTACTATAAGGGATCAGCGTCATTGCAAAGGCCAGAGAATCCTTAAGCTACTTACCCTGCAGGAAATCCGCCGTCCGTCGTCGCATTCTCGAGTGGATGTAAGCCTGCAGCATGTCATCTTAGCTTGGGCTTCGACATCATATTTGCGGAGTACCCTTACCTTTGAGGCTTTGATATGATAATGGAAGTAGTCTCGAAAAGTCTGGATGTGGGAGATGGTTTCTTGCCTCCGTTGCAGCGTGAGATGCCTGGGGAATAATACTACAGTCTGTTAGCTGCAACCTCACCACGATCAGCCAGTCCGCATTACCAAACGTCACGTAGCCCACTTCTCCATTTGTTCCATCCGCCAGCCCTCTCACACCTTGTAACTCGAGCGGCGGCTCATTCCTGAAGAGCACTTGAGGAGCATTCTGTATTGCCCTTCTCCTCGCATCGACAAATTCCTGCAAGAACACCTTCCCGAACACCCGGTCCGTCTCTTCTCGGAAGATAGTACTGAAGATGACCGTAACCCTGTCGTGACTCGCTTTGATGTAGATAGCCTCTTCGTCTCTGTAGTGGATCGCCATCACCTCTCCACCCTCTCGTACGCCTTCTGGCGCAGACTCGCTCGTAAACTTGGAAGCCTCCTCTTGCCTGCGGGCGAAATCGGCGAAAGCTCTTTCGAAAGGTGCGGCCATGGCATTACGCTTGAGAAGTGAGACTCGGCGTACTAAGTCCTCTCGTGCTTCTGCGACGTGTTTCATGAGCTGTGCTCTCGTAGCCTTCAATCCCAAAACAGCTCACCTTGGTCGGCAGGCAGGTTGTCCAGATCAATCAGCACGGAAAAGTCATAGCCCGCTTCCGGAGATACAATATATGTGCCGTATTCTCTCTCGAGGACCTCTTGAGCGCCATACTGGAGGAGCTCTTTGTAGCATTTGACTGCAATAGAGATGAGGATTTTGGATTTCGTTTCGGGCGTAGAGACGTGAAAGGCGACATTGTCGAAGTCTGAGACTACTTGATCAATGGATACTGGAGGGGCTCTGGTCTCCAAATCAGCAACTGCATTGACGCAGACGTTGGAGGGAAGGAGGGCCACCCTGAGAAGCGCTCTGTGAGCAGGGATTGGATGAGCACATTCTGGTAGTCTAAGAGAAGCATGGTGCTGGTATGGGTTTTTCACAGCATGTTGTGGCATTCAAACTGATCATACGAAGAAAGTCGAGAAAGTCGTTGTGGGGGCCTCGTAGGCATGGGCTTGGCGTAAACCTGTCATGAGAGGCAAATCTGGTCTCAACGAAGATTGGAAATTATTTGAAAGGCAGAATAATCAAATCGAAGTGAGCATGACGCCATATGCGAATAGTGCAGTTGTTTGGATAGTTCTTTTGCGTGGTATTATCTAAATACACATTTTCACAATTCCATCCCCCAAGCCAACGCTCTTGCGCCGCAGAGTAACGAACAATACTGTCGTCTAGGACAATAACATGATGGACACCCCTCCTGACTCTCTCTCTCTCTCTCCCTCTCTCTCTCTCTCTCTCTCTCTCTCTCTCTCTCTCTCTCTCTCTCTCTCTCAAAGAAGTACATGAAGGTTATAATCAACCCGTGTCTCGACGTGGTTCGTTGAAGGTGATGGTAGAGAAACGATGAACACTCCGTGGCGATGCATCGCTCTGCGGAGACATGATCCTGCGACATAAGAGACATTATGAGTAAACAGTAGAATTTCGCCCCGTAGCCCTCCGGATTAAATTTTACCGCCTGTGCCGACTCGCTTTCTGGGAGTGGCTAACCAGCATTAAGTAGAATTTTTCCTATACAATCACGATGATGAAAATGAATCGTTACGCCGTCGCTAGAGGTCTGAACGCCCCGAAGAGAAACGCCGATATATTAAAGGAGTGGGTATCATGTCGTCAGATCGCTGAAAGCTGTTAGAGCAATGGAGGTTCTCTACTCGCGCCCAAGCGGCCGAAAAGATGTTCCGGCGGTATTCGACCCATGTTGCTGGTCTTGTCGAAGTAGTGGGTCGGAGCTGGGGTGTAGCCCTCATGCTTGCGTCTATAACGCTCGATGAGAATGCCAGCGACGACAAGCAGGAAGATGGCGCCTAGAGCGCAAGCGAGGGCAATGAGTACAACGAAGCCAACAGCCATGTGGCCACCTAGATTAACATTAGCATAGGGATTGGGTGTATATGTGGAAAGGCGTGAATCTCACCTGGGTTCTTGAAACTGATTGCTTTCTCGGAAAACAAACTAGACAGAGTTCCTGGACCATTGCCAGAAGTGGACAGTATAAACGGAGAGAACGTGGTGCCGTTGAAGAGTGCGGCAGAAACATTGCCAAAGGTAGGAAGATTCAATTGACCGGTCACCAGGAGGACCAGGTTACTTTGGACGAGGTCACTGTTCTCGTGGTTCTTGCCCAACTGAAGCACCGACAGGCCCAAGATCGTGGTTTCCTTTCCTAAAGAGTCCCCAATCGACCTGAATTGGCTGCCGTCGTACTTCATAAGAAAGGCAGATCCATTAGTGCTTTTACCGGCAACCCAGAACTCAGAAGCATCATTGTTTGCCGGTCCAAGTGCTGTCACCGGTCCTGGAACGTCGCTGGCGGCATCAAGAGCTGTCCATGCAGTCTTGGAAGCGTCGTAGGTAGCTAGAGTTGTGGCATTGTTGTTGATTGTCAGGTTTCCACCAGCAAGTAACTGGTTGTTTCCTTGCCAAGCAAATGCGGAGACACTCCCACCAAGCTCATTGCCTGGCTGATTCCAAGCCCCGTTCCGGAAAACGCAGACAGCGGGACAGCCTAATGACCCTGCCGTGGCAAAGTTGCCACCAACGTAAATCTCGGGTTTATTTGGTCTTACAGTAATCGCATTTACAGCAACGTCGATGCCCCCAAAGGCTGGCGGCTGAGGGTATGAATAGTTCGCTAGTCCCATATCATAGACAATGAGTCCGTTGACAGGAGCATCATTGACGGTTCCTGAGACTGTTCCACCAGCATACAGGACAGTGCCCGTCGTAGCGAGAGCGAGAAAGGTTGAGTCTGAATCCAAGCCTATGGGTAAACCGGAGACAATGCCAGGGTTGCTGCCAGTATTATTCAGGAGAGCGAGGTTGTCGATTGTAGTACCATTGGTCGCGATGGCTGTGAAGGCGCCTCCAAGAACAGTCACGTTCAAGCCGCCATTGTTATAGAAGAGCCCTGTCAACACACCGGTAGTATTTTGTCCGCTGATAGCTCGTTTGCGGGTCACTGGCCCAATCTGTTGGGGCTGAATGCCCACTTTGAGAGCATTGATGGCGACAGGATCTGATGTGAGAGAGACCGCGTCCTCAGCAGACATGTCTTGTGAAGACAGTGTCCCTGCGAGAAGAGTTGCGCTTCCAGTCACATTGGTCATCGCACTTAGCTGACCAGAAATCGCAGGAGACTGGAGATTCAGATTCTGCAGCCAGTTCTGTTGGGTAGGTACCCAGATGGCGAACCCCGCCACCGAAACCGCTTTGCTCGATCCTGTAGGCAGTATCTGATCGAAGAATCCGTTGACGGATACACAAACTTCTGGCTGATCGGTCGTAATGTTGACTTGTAGGGTGACTACACTGTAAACAGCTCCGCTGACTCCGGCACCAAGGGCTTCCCAAGTTTGGCTTGTGGTATTGAATATGGCGATATTGCTCAAACCAGGTACACTTCCGTTCATGGTATTTGTGAAATTGCCTCCGATGAATAGCAGGTCGGCGTATGGTATCATACTGGAAACCTCGGCGTTGAGGCCGCCATTTGGCAAAGCTGTAGAGTTGCCATTCCCGATCGAAAAGATATTTTCGAAGCCAACGTCCTGGTTTGAAAAGTTACCACCAACGTACGTAACGTTGTCCTGCACTTGGATGGTTGTAATGATGGCTCCTGCACTCAACCCCATGCCTGCACTGTCAATGGCAGAATTCGAAAAATCACTTTCAGTAGTGTTGGCATTGGGATTGAATTCGTATAGACCATTCAACCCACCAGCCGAGTCTGTGAGATTGAACTGGACTCGTTGAGCCACAAGTGTGACGCCGTCCTTTTGGCCAGATAGAGCTGCAAGTGTGACTGTAGGTCGGAAACTATCGCTGTTCGCATCAACCGGACCTTGATATATTATGTCATATTTGTCGTAGTTGTTGGTTTGATAGATGTTTGTCGGCGTCGATACGCCCGATATACTATAAATTCCAGTGACGTTGACGATACCGCGAGTACCGCAAGTGTTGTCTTGCATACAGCCTGGAGTGAATAAGGTAACAGAATAGTTGCCTTTCTGTCTAATGTCTGGCTCAAAGGTTACCGAGACACCATTTGTGCTGACGCCTGGCCCAACAAGATTCGCAGTGAGGTATTCCGAGTTGCTTTGCAAAGATGGCGTTACTGTCCATGGACCAGTGGAAGTGGCATTGGAGCCATATTGGATGTTCGCGCAGCTCGGTTCGTTGGACGTGTCTACGGCATAGGCAAAGATATCTGGAAGGATTAGCGAGCTGTAAAAGTGCACATGGAAATCGAACTTACCATTCTGGAACAGCTCAATTCCATCAAGCCCACCTCCTTGGCCGTACCAGGCGGATACATCAATTCGAAATGCGCTCATACCGACGGTATTGATGAATCTGAAGTCCTGGTATGGCACTGATGTCCGTGATGACAAAGGACATAGAGCATCACAGTGCCCTTCTACGCCAGTGTCCGGGTCTGTATAGGTAAAATTCATGATGCCGTTGATTGGTATGGCTGTGAACCGGAATGTCTGCGTCCCTCGGCCATCCTGGTGCGTGTTCCATATCCTTAGCAAGCTCGGCTCGTACCCAAAGTTCATGTCCGCTCTCCACCACCCAGGCGAGTTGTCTTCGAGGAGCCACGTATTACCAGGTCCATCATCCCCATTCGTCTTGCAAATGATGTTTGATGGGTTGTTGAAGCCGGGTGCGCTCGTGTTCGATGATGAGGAAATGTTAGCAGAGGCGATGTTGATTACTTGCTGGTCGAGCTGTTCAGGCATAACTGTGGTCGAGTTCCCAAGTCCAGTAAACGATCCGCCAAAGATAACATTCCCATTGGATTCCTTGATGATCGAATTCACTGGTCCATTGAAGCCTTCAAAAGGCAGATTCGCCCATCCAGACATCCCAACCCAAGCGACCGCGTTCGTTGAATTTGCGCCTGTGAACTGGCCGCCAACGTAGACTGTGTTTGTGTCTTGATCGCAGAGAATTGCGTTGACCGTGCCATCAAGGCCAGGCAGGGGGGTGATGTCCCCAGTCGTTGTGTCGTACATTGCAACACCCTGCGCCGGTATGCCACCCAACTCGGTGAAATTTCCTCCGACTACTACTCCTGCCAACTTTCCACTTGACATAACGAAAGGACACAAGGCCTTGATATACCCGTCGGCCGCGGCCGTAGTCGCAAAGTCTCCATTAGGTAGTTGTGTGATGAGCGCTTGCGTGCCGTTGGTCGTGAATGCATTCTCCGATTGCTGCTGGTAGGTATATAACGAGATTGAGTCAAAGTCACCTGTGAGAGCGACGTGACCTAATTTTGAGAGGTCGAGGTCTGGAGATGGAACAGGCGTGTAATTGACTCCTTGCGTCGGTCGAATAAGAGTTATAATCGGCCATAGCTGTATGATACACGCGAATTCAGCCGCCGTCGGGCCAAACAACGAGGAGAGCCTCATCGGTCAGGACGACGGTCAATGGAGGAGTGGTGGTTATGAAGCCAGGTTGGCGGATCTTCGAGCGATGTTTAGGGGTTCTAGGGTGTTACAGGTACCTCAAGTTAGGCATTAATTAAAGCGAGCGACAGTGAATCAATGCACTGTGTCTCACTTTCAAACCTGTCGCTGTCGAGTAAGGAGAAATTAATGATGTCGATGTCGTGGAAGTTATGGAGGAAGTCAGTGAAGTGAGGAGGAGGAGGAGGAGGAGTGTTCCCGTTTGCCCCGTTGAGTATTTTCCTATGAGGTACCTCTACAAGTCTACTTTACTCCTACCTCCCGGCCGACCTTTTCCTTAGATCTGCGGCTAAATGCACTAGTTAGATTAGGCCAACACCAATCGCAATGCAAGCATGACAGGATAGTCCCTACCCGTCCCTTGAATTTTAACATGAAATTGCGCTCCCTATGTGCCTTATATCATATTATTATTTGGGTATTCAATAATCACGGAACGATTCTCTTTACGCAGGCTCGTAAACCAGATACCTAGGCCTTTACAGGCTTTTGTTATGGTCAGACTCGAGGACACATTCTTGATATAGTGGGGAGAATCCAGAATACCTTATCCCAACTGAACGCTACATTAACGTGGGCTGGCTTGGCCTGCCCACTTTCCGTCGAACCTTCAATTCTCCTTCCTCTTCAGGTGGTACGGACGCACGCGTTGGTCCCAAGGCTGCAAGGTCCCGGTCGCCTATTGGCGAGGAAGACGCAACGGCACCTGGAATCTCAGATGATCGATTGGGCCTTGAGCTACCACGCAGGCATGCGCTGTTGATTAATCGACGTATAAGAAGTCAGACTCAAAATAGTCAGGCATGAGCATAAACCCACCATCATCATCATCACCGATTATCAGAAGACGCAGTGAGCAAATCGCGCAAATAACAATCATTACTCTATCGGTGACCGAGTTATTTCTGTATACGCGCACGTTGTTCGTTGTCGCTTCACTGGTCTCTTTGCTGTGACTGCCTCGACAGCAATCAGTGGCTTCTCTTCATCCTTAAACTCTCGCTTCACCTTGATCGGGGTCAAAATCTCAGCTTTAACTTGAATCTCTGTGAGGACCAGTGCATCTTCGTCTTCCTTGATCTGTTTCACTTCAATTTTGGCGGTAAGTCTTTCTGAGAACGCTCTTAGATCCGCGGTGAACAAGACGCTGTGAGCCCAGCCAGCCTCTTTCCCCCAGAGGCCCCGGAATTTGTCACCAACAGCATCATAGGTAGCTTTGGTCAGACTGCTGTGCTTCCCTTTGCCGAATTTGTAGTCGCGCTGAGCGATTTGCCAAACTTGATTGGCGTCATCAGCAAAAATGGTAACAAGTCAATACCAGAAGCTGAATGAGAGGTCATACCATGTGTATCAACGGGGACGGCTTCTCCCCATCCAAGACCCATAAGGCAAACGCAGTCGGCGACTTTAGGTCCTACTCCTTGTAAGGTTAAGAGCTCTTCGTGAGCCCTGCGATATCCCTCCCTTCCACCTGGCAGCATCTCACCAGCATCGGAAGGCTGGGCACCCATAATAGGGCTTTCAGGATTCCTCAGACTGTCCAGCCAACCGGCCCCATGCTCTTCTGCCACCATGACTGCTGTCCGATGTAAGTACTTAGCTCTGTACCCGAAGCCTAGCTGCCGGAGATGAGCTTCAACCCCAGGAGCCGTAAGTGCAGAAGGCGCAGGCATGTCATGGAATGTTTTTGCGCCGATATGGCCGACTTCAGGTCCATAGTGAAGGCACAGGTTCTCCATCTGCAGATAATCACTTGTGTCAGAAGCATGGAGAACTGTATCTAAGCAGCCCGACGTACCATCTGGGATATCCTTATTATGTTGTTGTTGCTGCTACAGATGAAGCCAATCAATGCCTCCCAAGCATCCTGCTTCAGTATTCGCACGCCTGTGAATTTTGGCGCTTTCTTTTTGAAATTCGCATCTGCGGTCGACCATTGCTCGTACAGTTCCGTCAGATTCGGAGCGAGATTGAGGTAGTGGTGCACCAAGGCTTCAGTGTCATCGTCTTCGAGCGAGGATACTGCCGTCGATTTTGGCGCCGAGGAGGGAGGCGTCAATGGAGCCTGGGCTTTACTAGGAAAGATAGCTTTGTAGTGCAGATGCGTAGAGTCCTGGCATAAACAAAGTATACGTCCATGAAGAGCACAAGACCAGACATTGTCCTCGGACTTTCTCCACCTAGATCCATTATAAATATGGAGAAGAACAGGATAAGTGGACTGAATACCTGAAGGATTGCCCACAGCGCAGTGTCGTATCCAGTGAAAGCTCTGCCAGACTCACAGGTATCTTTCGCCATTGCAGCGCACACGTTGTAGCCATGATGGAATACTTATGTTTCAGCAATCATAGTGAAGGGCCCTGGAGTAAATCGCGAAAACACGCCTTGCCCCTGGCGCGTCCGTATTCATTAGTGATTGATTGAACCGAGTGTCCTGCTGCTAAGAATTTCTAGCTTAGAAATTTGCGAACCACTCGAGCCACTCTCCCGTTTGGTGCTGCACCTCAGAAGGATTCCGATCACAATACAATTCTCTGCCTTTGCCTTGTTCGTATCAGGCCAGTATTCACCACTATTGAGCTCTTGGCTCTGCACCTGCTAGAAAAGTTGGTACTCAAGCAGTTACAACACTTGCGCAACATGAACGGCGACAGCTACTCGTCAAGAGGCATGGCAACAAACGCCCTACCGAGGATTCGGAAACATGAGACTGATACAAACAATCCCATGAGCGCAGATTCGGGCAGACATGGCTCATCTAGGGATCACTATGTAAGCTCCATGAAACCTTGAATCGTCCTCAATTCACTGAAAGATAATCTGTACCTAGTCCTCAAGAGACGATCGCCGAGACAGAGATAGGGATCACCAACGAGGCGGCGACAGAAGACGTTCGAGGTCTCCCAGACATCGAGATTCAAGACGCCGCGAGCCTGATGTAGACTCGTACTCCTCCAGCCGTGACTATAGAGCGCGCGAACGTGAAGACCGCTACGGTCGAGAAGGCACTCGAGATGATAGGGCATGGGACCGGGATAGGGGAGACAGAGGTGGCAGAGGCGATAGGGAAGACCGAGGAATGTCACGGCGTGATGCTAGGCGTGACGACTATGATCGCCCACCGCGGAGGGACAGAGATCTATTTGAGGGTCGCATGGACCGAGGGCCAGGTGCCGGCGGCCGTGGAGGTCCCCCGAGAAGCGATCGTGACGAATTCGCAATGCAAATGGGAGGTAGAGATAGGAAGAAGAGCGCCAGTCCTCCACCAAAGAAGAAGGAGCCCACACCTGATCTGACTGATACTGTACCCATTACTGAAAGAAAGCGGAGATTGACACAATGGGACATCAAGCCACCTGGCTACGAGAATGTCACGGCAGAGCAGGCAAAACTTTCAGGCGAGTGATTTCAATCTCAAGCGATCAAGAACGTCAGGATTAACATTCAATATGAAGGCATGTTTCCACTACCGGGCGCACCTCGCCAGCAGCCGATGGACCCAAGCCGATTGCAAGCTTTCATGAACCAGCCAAGTGGTTCCGCCGGCAACGCGGCACTGAAGCCATCAAATGCTCGCCAGTCGAAGCGCCTGTTCGTTCACAATCTTCCATCATCGGCTACGGATGAAGGCATTATCAATTTCTTCAATCTACAGCTTAATGGACTCAATGTCATATCCGCACCAGATCCTTGCATATCAGCACAAATCTCGAAGGATAGGACGTTCGCACTGTTGGAGTTCAAGAACCCCACCGAGGCTACCGTTGCCTTGGCATTGGATGGCATCAAGATGGAAGATAATGACAACATGGAGACCTCGAATGGCACCGCTAACGGCAGCTCTCAAGGTATCTCGGTCCGACGGCCTAAAGACTATATTGTACCATCCGTTGTCGAAGACGAGGAGTACCAAGAAGGATTGGTGTCGCCTGTGGTACCTGACACGCCCAACAAGATAAGCGTGGCAAATCTTCTTCCAAGCCTGGCGGACGAACAAGTAATGGAGCTTTTGACAGCTTTTGGACCGCTCAAAGCCTTTGTCCTAGTCAAAGATAGTAGTACCGAGGAATCTAGGGTAAGCGATAAGTACATTGCCGTTATCCATTATTAACGTCTTCGCAGGGTATTGCCTTCTGCGAGTACGTCGATCCCGCTGTCACAGACAATGCGGTCGATGGCCTCAATGGTATGGAGCTTGGTGACACGCATCTCAAGGTTACGAGAGCTAGTATCGGAGTCACTCAAGCTGCTGGACTTGAGATGGGTGTCAACGCAATGTCTATGCTTGCGGGCACGACGTCGAACGACCTTGATGAAGGCCGAGTCCTACAGTTGCTCAATATGGTCACACCAGAGGAGCTCATTGACAATGAGGATTACGAAGGCATGTTGGACTACGTGCTTTTCTTCGCGGCGAGTGACTAACATATTTTAGAAATCTGCGAGGACGTCAAGGAAGAGTGTGACAAGTACGGCGAAGTGCTTGAGATGAAGGTCCCAAGACCTAGTGGTGGAAGTAGGCAGTCGAATGGTGTTGGCAAGATTTACGTCAAATATGACACTCCGGATGCTGCGCGTAAGGCCCTGCAAGCACTGGCTGGTAGGAAGTTTGCAGACCGAACTGTGGTCACTACCTACTTTTCTGAAGTAAGTTTGGCGCCTGACTTCTATGGCCTTACAAGATACGCTGACCCATTTATAGGAGAACTTCGAGGTCGGCGCCTGGTAAGACTGGAGGAGAATGCGATGAGCAATTTCTTTCATACAGGGAGCCTTGAGCGAGGGGAGGCTATGTAGCCAGGAATCTCAGCATGCTGTTGCGTCTTCCAGGCTTGTGTGTCGTCCTCTGAGTTCAAACTCGTTTGAGGTGCTTGAGGCCTCTGCTCATTGTAATTGTACTCTATCTGCGAGTAGTTGAGAACGAAATCAGGAGGAAAAGCATTGCAATGAGGCATTTTCCAACCTTACTGACTTATGGTAGCTAATATCAGCCAACATATGTCAATGTGTCTTCATTTTCCGTAGCTACTTGCTTATCACAAAAAAAACAAATTTGACGGAGAAAGACAAGGCCGTTACAAGAGCTGAACAAGATGGGTTGACGACTGGCTGCGAACAGGGCTATGATGCTGTCGGTGGCGTCAAAGCGACAAGGCGAGTGCGAGTCTACTTACGAGTGCTGGCGAGGCTTTCAAAGAATCTGGAAAACCATTGCAAGCGTAAGCTGTCACATTGCTATTATGTGGAATGATAACGGTAATGTTGGTATGTGGGGAACAGTCCTGGCCCATTTGGCCGACGGTCAGAAAGCCATACGCTTCGATATTAATATGGTTTGAATATTCGACACCTATGCTCCCACAAGAGTTGCCACCCAGAACACTGTGCATTTTGTTCAGCAAATCATATGTTGTGGATCCGTTGCCGGTAGCGACGCCTCGGTAGAAGACACAGATGTCGGGGCCGCCATTATCATTGCAGTATATAGGTTGAGTGGTCAGGGCCCTGATGTCAGAATCCTTGTAGTACAGTTTGACGGCTTCCAGGAGTATCCCAATAGCGCCGTTGTTGTTAGGTCCACAATCGTTGCCCCATCTATGATTGTTGAGGCCGGAATTGTATTCATTACCTCCGGGTGCGGGCAGGGTAGTAGGGGCCGTTGCGACGCAGTCGTAGAGGTAGTTGACGACGATGCCGGCGACATGAGTACAGGGAGGTTGAGTGGCTCGCTTGCAGTCGAACCATGTGTTGGTGGTGCCACGCTCGTTCAAGGTTTGCTCCTGGCTCAGGTAGTCGAGGAGGGTGTAGCCACTGCCGGGCCCGTAATTATTTTGGTGAGTATCGTTCCACCACGTGAAAGCACCGTATTGTTGTTCAGTGGCTGCGTCAAACGGAACCCAAGGTGAACCGGCATTACCCCAAAATCTAATGATGAACGTTAACTAACTACAGGGCCTGGCACAGTGGAACAAGGCGAGTACCTACGCGCAGGGCTGGTCATCTTGACATGCATACTGTGTGCATGTGTTGATGTCGAAAGGTGTGGGAGTGTTGGTGTCGGAACCAGGTAGAGGAGGATAAAACTGGGCCGGTTGAGCGTTTTCATCCGACCCGGGGTATACTCCGTATTGCATTGTATTGATCCAAAAGCCAGAATCCCAGGGCTGCGGAACCGCTACAGTGGGATCGCTGCCTGCCGTGAGGAAGGCCGAGTATAGCGAGCCATTCATGTAATAAGTACGCATACCCTGATCTGGCGTAGTCGTATATTTAGTTGTGCCAGTGGTGCAGATTTGTAAGGCCTGGGCAGATTTATTTGTCAGATCACGGAGACAGGACTGGAAGAAATGCGGTTATTGTTACTCACGGTGAAATGATAGCCGGGTTGCGGCTCAACAACGCATTGCCCCGTGTTTCCAGGAGGGTACGGGGCCCACGGGGAGCTTGCTACAAGCCCGAGTTGAGCAATGACGGTTGCTGTAGCTATTGTAAAGTAATTCATGGTAAGTGGAGCCAAGGCTTGATGGTAGAGACGGATTATTGTTTTGGAGACTGTGGAGCGATCGCTGTAAAAACGACCAAGTCATGGGTGAGGGCGATGCCAGGCAGCTTTATGTCGAAGTGATCAGTAGTGAACCGCGCCATATGCTTCCAAACACGAGGCGCCACATAGCAGGTGAGGCTTCCTCGCAGGCTGGGCATTGTGCATATCGTACGGAGGTATGTACTCGTATAATCCAGAAGTGAGCTCTTTGATAGAGTGAGGACACCAATGAACCCTTCCACTTAGCCGAATATCGGTTAATCTATTGGTGTCCTCACTCTATCAAAGAACTCACTTCTGGATTGTACGAGTAGATGGACAAGCCTTCGACACCATGCCTGTTGCTGTCAATAAAAGATGCTAATCATTATAAGTTGGCTTTTGCGGGGAAGTCTGGTCGTTGAAGTAAAACAGGCTAAAAGCTCGGATACGAACCTCGTGTTGGAGGTAGTGATGTGATTTTGACTTTGCAGTAATTACACTTTACAGTAATTACACGTGTAATTACTGTAAGACACATGAGCCTGACGGTCACGCTAGTAGGGCGCTAGTAGGTACTGGCCTGAAAGCCTCCTATTGGGAGGTACCATTTCCGTGCCATTGACGGCAAGATTCGAATATTTAGTGCGAAATTTGCAGCTGGTAAGTATAGCCGAAGCCCCTGAAGGAGGACGAGACTCGATGAAGGCATTTCAGACCGTCTGGTCTCTTGTATTGCTTGGTCCATGACGAGGCATGCTTGGTAGAAGGCCTAATGGTGAAAGGATGACTGTAAAAAGGTGGATTTGAATAGAGAAGGCAAAATTTCTCCGCAGAGAATTGCCAAGACCATGGATTTGACCAATCAGAAGGCTTACATAAGGATTACTAAGTGTTTTACATGATTTACACGCTGTCACGCAGTTTTTGCCTTACATTACTGTAATTACTGTAAGGCACATGGCCTTACATGTAAAATCACATCCCTAGTTGGAGGCTCTCACTGCATGACTGTGATCCTATCGAGCGAAGACAGCAGGGTAAAAGGGCCCCTTCTGCAACCACCATATTTTGGAAATAACCCCTACATATTTCCACTAAATAACGCCACCACTTGGCTAATAAAAATAACGCTTAAAAATAACGCTATAAATATTTCCAAAACAAGTAGAATATGTGTACGGTACTACGGTTCCGTTCTGTAACCCTGTTTCATCGTCGCAAAGATTGTGTTCTCCGTAAACAACCATTGAATTCTTACCATTTCACATCACCATGGCCGAGATACCTGCTGCTACTGCTGTATAGGCTTTGGCTATTATTGATACTTCTATTACTCCCATTATTGCCCTAAATGAGCTCTGCTCTCATTGTGTCTACCGGTACCGGTGTCTTATTATCTATGATTTGGAGTTAGACTATGAAGGCAACATTGTTCCTCGAAATAATTAATTTCTGCAATAATGCTCCGGCGAATACACATTCCCGTGAGTTGGTAACCGTCCAGGCGCGGGGACAGGGAACATTGTACTTAGTCAGCGGGCGGGTAATAGCGCGAAAATTTCGAGATCCGAATAGTAGTCGTAAATTTTATAAGCTAGCTAGATTAGGGAAAGTATTAATATCCGGCGCTAGTCGTAATCTTCTGCGAAATTTTCGCTCTAATTTTTTTCTTTTTTCTTCACATATAAATCTCTTTATAATAAGATATCTATTAATTTAATAATTAATACTTCGATTTCTTCGAGGTAAGCTCTAATAATATAAATAGCTAACGCGTTTTTTTCGAAGTATCTTTTATCTATCCCTTTTCTTATCTTTAAAAAATTCAAATTTTTACTTCTCTAGCTTTTCTCGAATTATTCGAATTACTTTATGCGAGTAAATATATCTAAAGAAAAGAAAGCGTAAGTAATTCTTTGAAAGTGCGAATAATTCGAATCCTTTAAAGGATTCAATTTTTTTAAACTTCTTCTATACTAACTTTCGATTTTTTTAAAAAATTCTAAATTTCGATATAAACGATCTTAAGGAGAAGAAGTATTATAATATATATTAGATGAAATCGATAAATTCGATTTATTTAAACCTTTATTTAAATTTTATTAATTCGAAAATTTCGAAAGATAAAAAACTTAGATAACGCGGAGGCGAGATAAAGATAAGTTTTATTCTGTTAAAAGATTTAAGAATTTCGAATTAATTTTTCGAAAAGAGTAAAATTCTAAACGAGTTAAAGCTCGAAGTATATTACTTATAAAGCTGGCCGCTTAATTCGTAATTCTCGAATACCTATCCCTCGAAAAAATCGAAATATCAAAAATTAACTTAGTAGATATCTATTATAGAGAAATTAAAACTTCTTTATTATTAATTTTTACTACTTCAAATTTTTCGAGCTCTTTACTAATTTGAATTTCTCGAATCTTAGAAAATACTAGAGAATCCGCTAATAGAGTACGATATAGATAACTTTTTACCGTGTGAATATTATTTTAAGATTCGATTATTTCGAAGCTTTTCTATTTATATTACTAATTTAATTTTTTTATAATACGCTATTATTAAGCTATAGCTTAAGGAAAATAATTTTCTCGAGAATATTTATATTTTTCGAAGTTCTTTATTAAAGATAAAAATTATAAAAATTAGCTAATTCGAATTTTTCGAAATTTAATTCTCGAGAGAGTTAAATAGAACCTTTAAGCTTATAGGTATATTTTTTAAAATTACAATTTTTTCGAATCTATTATTAATTCGATTTTTTCGAAAGCGAAGTAATTCTAATTGTCTTTAGCGGCAAATTAAATTATAAAGTCGTATATATTTTTCGAATCTTTTAATAATTCGAATAATTCGAGATAACGAATTTTAGATAGAATTTATTAATCTTAGAGATATCTTTAGTTAAAAGATCTTCCCCTCGAATCTTCCGAAGGTTCGTTTTTTTTGAGCTTTTATATAAAAAATCACTAATTCGAATTTTTCGAATTCTAAGGCGTTATTACTTAAATTGCTAAAAATTAAATCTATAGATAAGAGATTAAGGGTTTAACTAGATAGGCCAAAAAAAAAAAAAAAAAAAAAAAAAAATAGCTAGTTCATAATTCGAATAAAAAAAATTATTCGAGAATTTTAAAACTTCACTTTTTTCGATTTTTTCGTAATTTTTTTTAGATATAATTTTCTAGAATAAATAATAATAGTAGTAATAATAATAATAGTAGTAATAATAAAAATAATAAAAATAATAAAAGTAATTATTATAAAAATATTAAAATAATTATAAATAATTTAATTATAAAAAATAAAAATAAAAATATAATTATATTATATATAAATAAAGATTTATAAATTAAACTTATAATTTTTATTTAAATTAATATTATTAAATAAATTTAATAAATAATATTTTAAGTTTTTATATTTTAATAAATTTAGATTTATAAATTAAATTTATTTTTTATTTTTTTAATTAGAATTATTATTAAGAAATATTAATAATTTTTAATATTATATAATATTAATATTATATAAAATTATAAGTAAAGATTTATAAATTAAATTTATAAAGTTAGATTTTTCTAAGTTAAATCGAATTTTAATTTTAATTCTAAATTAAATTAAACTTTAATTATTTACTATATATTTTTAATCTATATATAAATAAATATATATAAAAAGAGACGTATTAAGACTTAATTAGAAAGATATATTAAGTATAAAGAATTAATCTATAATAATTATTTATAAAAAATAGAGAAAGACTATATTCTTATAATAAGAAGTATTAAAATATTAGAAAGAAATAAAGATAATATATTAATTAGTGATATAAATTTCATAATATCTTCTATCGTAGTAAAATCTTTCGAATAATAAAATAGCTATAGATATCGAATAATTTTAATTTATTTAAATATATATCGTTTGATATTTCTTCTATAGAGGCCTAATTAATTATAATAATAGATTCTTCTCTTATAATATTATTATAGTAATATATTATATTAATATAATAGAAATAATAAATTAAGTTATAATAATATTCTTCGCTTATTAAATAATAATTTAATATAAAATTATAAAGAGTATATAACGTAAAATCTTAAAGAGCTAAGTTATATTCTTAATAATAATAATTTTATTATTACTTAATTTCTTCGTAATATTCTCTATATTTATCTATTATAGTTTCTTCTTTTACTTCTTAATATAATAAAAATAATAAACTAAATTATAATAATATTCTTTACTTATTAAATAATAATTTAATATAAAATAATTAAGTTATAATAATATTCTTCGCTTATTAAGTAATTATTTAATATAAAATAACTAAGTTATAGTAATATTCTTCGCTTATTAAATAATAATTTAATATAAAATTATAGAGAGTATATAACGTGAAATCTTAGAGAGTTAAGTCGTATTCTTAATAATAATAATTTTATTATTACTTAATTTCTTTATAGTATTCTTTATATTTATCTATTATAATTTCTTCTCTTACTTCTTAATATAATAAAAATAATAAATTAAATTATAATAATATTCTTTATTTATTAAGTAATAATTTAATATAAAATTATAGAGAGTATATAATATAGAATCTTAAAGAGCTAAGCCGTATTCTTAATATTAAGAGTTTTATTATCGCTTAGTTTCTTTATAGTATTCTTTATATTTATTTATTATAGTTTTTTCTCTTATTTCTTAATATAGTAGAAATAATAGATTAAGTTATAATAATATTCTTTATTTATTAAATAATAATTTAATATAAAATAACTAAGTTATAATAGTATTTTTCGTTTATTAAATAATAATTTAATATAAAATTATAAAAAGTATATAACGTTTAAATATATTTAATATAATTATAATATTTAAATATTAGTTTAATTTATCTATCGCTAACTTAAAAAAAATATATAAAAAAGAATATATTCATTTAGATTCTTTTTAAAAGCTTTTTA